GCTTCGAAGACCAGTTGTTAAGCCCTAGGTCCTTGTATAAGCTTGGAAGCGTGGTTTTCCAGAGTTTCTTTGCTCTCTTTCTTATTCCCTTAATCGAACTCTCTTCGCTCTTTTTCTTACTCCTCGAATATTTTACTTATAAGAGATCTAATTATTTAGTATAATAGTAGTTATCTTTAAGGTTTTAGTAGTAGTATATTAAGATATTAGAATAGGTTTACTCTTCGGGTTTCTCTTTTAGGTATATAAAGTATAATATACTACTTGAAGTTTATACTTCCTAGAATAGCTTACTTTTATTATAGTACTCCTAGTTATATTAGATAATATAAATATAAGGTAAAAAGATAAGGTTTATTTACCTTTCTTTATTAGTATTAAAAGATTTAATAAGCTTACTATACTTTAATCGAAAGATATTTTATTTATTCCTCTAATCTATAACCTTCCTTTCCTATTATTAAGATAAGAAATATATAAGCGTTCCTTAGTATAAGGGGACTAGGTCTAGGGTCTTAGTAATAGATATTTATTACTATAGCTATAAAGGCTTCTATAATTATCGGTTAATATAAATTAGGAATAACCTTAGGAGAAAGAGTAGGAGTTTAAGATATATTAGTAAGTATAGTTTAAAAGCTTTTCTTTAACTATTCAAGGATCTTATTATTAATAATCTTATAATATCTCTCTTAAAGAGATATTTTAACTAGAGTTATAGCTAAAAGAGATATAGTAATTATATAAATTAATATAGGAAATTATATTAAAGTAGTTACTTTTATAATAATTATACTATAGGATTTAGTAGCTAGGAAACTTAAGTTTATATAGAAGATTATTATAATTGTCACGGATGCCAACAAAGGATAAAGTGTATACAGCTTTTGAATCAATTGCTAGAACTAAAACCGTAGGTACGAGGAAATCAAACTAAAGAGAGAAGAGAATCTGAAAGGAGCGAACTTATTTAAGTTGTTCCAATGCCAAGTCTCGTCACGTGCTTGGCCAAGCGAATGAAATCCTGTCAAATGAAATCCAGCTCCGTCACAATAATTAGTATTCCTCGCTTAATCTATAACTAACCTTTTATTACTTCTTTATAGAATAATCCTAGAACTTATTCTACGTTTTATTCTTACTTTAAGAATATACTTAAATTATAGGAATAGAATAGGTTTAAAGAATAGATAGATTAAGTAAGGTTAGGAGTAAAACATAGAGGTTAGGAGAGGAGGTTAGTAAACTATACTAAAAAGTAGAGTAAAATTATTATATAAGATATTAGTTTTTATATAAGATATAGTTTAAATAGGCCTTAGAACGGATTTTTTATTTAAATAATAGTATCTTATAACCTAATTAATGCGGTAGCGTAATCGATAGTAAATACTGGGTTTACTACCTAAAATTATAGAATATACCTAGGTCTTTTAACTAGATAGAAACTTAGACTATAGACACTTATAAAACTCTAGGAATAGGGTATATAAAGCGCTCGTAGGACGATATTAAGGAGGACTTATTAGTCCTAAGTAATAAGTCCTTTTGTTATATCTTTTAGTAAGAGAAATATTATACCTTAATATACTAGGAATAGAGTTTACTAAGTACCTAGCGTCTATACGTGGACAGTGTCTTAGAGAGCTAAATATATAGCCCATATAATATACTATTCGACAATATTACGGCTCAATATCGTCTCGGAAAACAGGCCCTAATATATCCTAGATGCCCTACTAGTCTAAGGCAAAATACGAGCTTCCTATTAGCCTACCGGAGCGGAGGGACTTTCCCCTGGGTCATATGACAAGTTCTATCTAGAAATTCTATATATTCCATGGAATATATGCCTCTAGAATGGAATAACTCCAGCAAAGTCCTAAATAGAATGGAATTATTCTAGAGGGGGGGTCTAGAATAGAAAGGAATTCCAGTTGCCGAGCGTTGCTTTCCTGGAGTTTTTATTCAATGATTGATTCACGTGAAGTTCCTTCTACTTTGTATCAGTAAATCTTCTTGACTTTTTTGATGATTGCAACTGAACAACTATATCTGTCTCTTTTATCAGTCTTTTGAGAGAGGGGGGGGTGTAGCTTCAGCTTTGGGAAATCTGTGGTTCACTATTTGAGTATACTGTAGAGTGGTCTCTGGGCGTGGTGGTAACTACCATAATGCCTGCAACCTAGATTATTTCTATGGACGCGCAGCTTTTCTTTCTTGGCCTTCTTCTCTGCCTTCTGTACCTTCATTCTGGACTCTCTGTTCCTTCCCCCGTTGTTTCTCTCAGAGACGGAGGAAGGAGCAGCGTTGGGAGATCTGCATTTCTGTGCTGGTTGGCATGAGAGAAGGACGGAGAGACTTCAGGTAGTACGGTGCCTAGGTCAATGTTAAGAAATCGTGGGGAAGGAGCGATGTTGAACTTGGGAGTCTCGCTGTACCGAGGTTCTGAGCTGAGGTCAGAGACTGGGTGATCATAGAAGACTGGAGAGGGAAGGCGCAAACCTGAGTGCTATGCTCAGATCAATATCCAGACAGCATCCACCAATCAGTCGCACTCAGTCTGCATTTGATGAGGTTGTTGAGTTCTAGCAACCCCACCCATTCTCCAGGAAAACACCTCACACACTCCTGTCAGCGCCTACTTGAGAAGTAGCTTGATATTGGATACCTTCTAGTCACTTTCACAAATATTTGTTGCACATCGCTTTGCCCCTGTACCTTGTACATTTGCTATTTAGTTATTAGCTTTCTGGAAAGCTCCATCTAGCCTCACACAAGTGGTTTCAATATGGCGTAGTTCACTTTAGTTGTAATCTTGTAGATTTGTTGCACGTCGTATTACCAATCACGTTTGAGTTTTACTGTAAATTTGAGGGAGTTGTCCACACGTTAACCCAACTTTTCAAGGGGTTATTCATGATTGGTGTAGTTTGTTTAGGGTCACTTTCTAGTTGTATCTGATAAGTCTTGTTGCATATCGCATAATTAATTACCTTGTAGGGCAATTATTCCCAGCGTGGCTCACGATTGGTGTAGTTTGCTTAGGGTCACTTTCTAGTTGCATATTATATGGTTTGTTCCATATCGTATATCCAATCACGTTGAAAGCTTGTTGTTTAGTTGGTGAAGCGTTTGAATAGCTTGAACTATTCTCCAACGGGTTGTCCAAAGCTGGTGTGGTTCATTTAGGGTTACCTTTGTAGTTATATCCACAGAGATCTTTTGCAGATCGCAGCACCCCTGTACCTTACAAGTTTGCTACTTTTAGTTCTGGTGCGGCTCCTGATCAGCTTCAACTACTCATTAACTGGGACTTTAGCCTTGTATAGTTTACTTTTAGTCGTATCTTCAAGATTTTGCTGCATTTCGCTGCAATTGCCACCGTGCACGCTGCTAGCATGTTTTCTAGTTTTGGACTTCTGGTGCGATTCCTAGAGCTTTAGTAATTCTTTGGCTGGTATCTAAGTACAGTATAGTTTGCTTTTAGTCTTGTACTCAAGGCTTTGTTGCATTTTGCTATGCCCCTGTCCCTTGTATTCTTTTTCGTTAGTCATGAGTAAATTTCTGGATGACGCCCATTGTGCTTGGAACGGCGGATGGTTTAGAGCCAATTTAGTTGAAAATAAGTATCATTCTAGGAGTTTTGTTGCAATTCGCTGGGCCGCTGCACCTTGCTAGCATGGCTTTGGCGAGATGTCTAGATGGTGTAAATAGTGAACTGCTTCCGTTATAAGTAGTGTCTGGATGAAAACATCAAGATTTAGTTTACTGTTAGAACTGTTATGAGGATTTTGTTGCAATTCGCTGTGCACATGTACCTTGCTAGTTCATCATATCATTGTAGCGGAAATTCTAGATGTCGTGAGTTCCTTTCGCCAGCTTCCTTCCTAGGTGTTCAGTCATGATGTAGTCTGCTACTTCTAGTCCTGCTGTGAGAGATTTGTTGCAATTCGCTACGTCCCTGTACCTTGATAGTATATTATGTAGTCTTCATGGAACCTTTAAATAGTATGGGCAGTGGTTTTCTAGTACATGGGCAAGATGTAGTTTGCTTCTAGTCAGTTTGTGAGGTTTCTGTTGCATTTCGCTGTACCTCTGTACCTTGCTAGCTCACGATCAAATCCTGTTGAAAACTCAGCTGTTAGCTTGAATATTCCAGTCATCAAGTACCTAGCCATACTTTAGTTGACGTTTGGTATCATTTTGGAGATTTCGTTGCATTTCGCAACACCCCTGCAAGTTTGTCAGGTGGATCCACAAACACTCTCTACAGTTCATAGGCTTATCTACTCTGAGAATAAGTTCCAGATGAAGCGTTTAGTTAGTCGAATTCTGGGAGTTTTGTTGCATTTCGCGATTCAGCTGGTCACGTTTCCACTGGATTGTAAGAACAATGGAAAAATGAAATCTAACCTGGAGAACTTGGGAGGGATACAGTACAAGTACCGCACGGAATTTAGATCAGGGATTCACAGTGGGAAATCCAGTGCTGTATTACTACTTAGATTCGCACTCTGCCTTCGTAGTGTTTTAATGAAAGTCGCCTCGAGGAGACCCTATGTGGAGAAATGAAATAGACATCATACACAGGTTATTTTTTCAGCCTTCATGTTGGTTCTGAAGCCACCAAATAAGGTCATAAGCGTGCCCGATGCAGGAGATCCCCCGCCACCAGTATGTGAGATGATTTGCAGTGGTCAGGATCTTGGATTGAAAGCTATCTTCGACGGCAAGCCCAGTTGAGTATTTTCCAAGTTTCCCTGTCTTTCTGATAGCTGTCAGTTGTTTTGTACTTCATTCTTCGCAACAGCATTCATATACAACATTGCTTGGACTCCAATGCGGGAAGAGTCCACTTCTAACACTGTGAATATCACGAGCTTTTCATACACCACTAAACATACATCAAGGCGAGCCTTCTTTCTGGTCGTGAATATAGGGTATTTTGGAGAAGATATACATCAAATATCATTAGCCTAAAAATATCATCAAAACCTCTATTTCTCGAACAAAGCAACTTTGCACCCGTTTCCATTTCGACAAGTGAGCTTCATTTCGGCGCGGTAGTCGCGATCATCTCGACTTTCAATCCTTTCAAACTTCCTTGCAATTCTCACCATCACGTAACTTGCTTCCAGCATAGCCTTCTCCTTTCCCATGCAAGACCGTGGCCCTCTGCCAAATGGCATGAAAATCCACGAATCGGGTTTAATAGTGTCCCAACGCTTAGGGTTAAATTCATCAGCATTGGGGCCAAATATGGCTTCGTCCCGAAAAAGAGCATAAAAACATGTGTCGGCTCGAGTTCCAGCGGGAACGAATATCGGAGAATTGCCAGAGGGGCCACCGCCAGTTGGAAGCTTGGTGTCGACGAGAGACGTGCGACCAAGGAGGGGGAAGACGGGATAAAGCCGAAGCGCTAGAGTGTCAAGGTAAGCATTAAACAACAAGGGAAGACCATAGTTCCAAGTGAGATTTGCAAGATTTACCTTCAAAAAGCACGTTTCGTAAAAGTCCAGGTGAGTTGAGAGACTCCACCGTAGGTGCTTGTGGGATCGTGGATATAATTTCTCGTCTTAGCTCCTTCCAAATTTCAGGATTGCGGGATAGCAGAAAGATCGTATTACTCAAGAGGATCGAGATGGTGTCAGAAGCAGCCATCAGATTCTGTATTGTCTGATTTCTAACATCTATTCGATCATCAGTTTGTCGGATCAAGCCTTGCACCAAACTTCCATCATCAGCTGAGGCAGTGCTTATTTTCTCAGAAAACGCTTCGTTGATATGAAAATCGAGGAATTCGTGTGAGGACTTGAAAGCCTTTTCCACTTTCATTCGAGGGACCAGAATACGAAGACGGCCCAAAATGATTCTCAAGCCACAGTAGAACATGGCGTCGTGGAAGTCTCGTACGAAGCTCCCTATATCACCATACATTCTGCTGTTCTGTGGATCACCGGACCTTGACAAAGAATTGAATCCTAAGAGGAATTGAGTAGCGGTATGGATGAACTAAAATTATCAGCACCTTATTGGAAAGAAAGCTGAACAATTAGAAAACTCACTAGCTATAGGTTATAGAACATCGGTTGCAAATCCACCGTACTTCCATCAATGGGAATATGCGAGAATAACTCATTCGTAGCGAGGTTCAGAATAGGGAAATGCACAATATTGCTAGTACGGAACATGTTCTTGAAAAGTCCTCTCGAATGCTCCCAAGCTGGGCCATCCGAGGTAATTGTTCCCTCGCCGCAGAACAAATCCATGCCTGGAAGTCGAAGCGGAGCAACTCCCCATTCCTTATTACCACCAATTATGGCTTTGATGTTTTGGGGATCACAGGTATTGATTTGTGCGTCAAGGATGAATTTGGAAGCGAAAGTCTTTCCATAGCGGGAATGGTGTCGAGCAATTGAAGGGATACCAAATTGTGTCCCTAATGCACAGTCTAGGCCGAAGATAGGATCCTTATAACGAAAGTTCGGTGGAGGCTCGCAACCTTGCTGATGGGCAATTAATCTCTATGTTCGGCGAGTCCAAACATAATAGAGAAGGCAAGTGACTCCACCTAGAACAAGCGAGCTGAAAGGGGGACTCATGTTGACATGTTGACGTACTGGGACTTTTTTCTATGGAATACGTGAGTTTGATCCGAGGTAGAAGTGGCACCATGATCGAAGCAATCAAACAAATAGCTTGTTGGACATTGTTGTATTGGGTCCACTTTTGTTGGTTATATTTGGTCAGCTTACCATGGGTAAATGCCTGCTACTACTAGTCGACTAGATCTGAGCTCCTTCCTCTATTTCAAGCTCCCGAGAGATTGAGGGCTATCCCAGGGTTTGAAACCCTTTCTGGAAAAAGGAGGTATTATTCCATCATCTTCCCGAAAAGGCACAAAGCTTCGACATTCTAGAAAACCCTTTCCCCCTCCCTCGCGCCCCCGCTTGACTAAACCACCCAAGGACAGAAACGTTTCCGGGTAGCCCTTAATATGAAAGAGTCGAATTTGTTTGCTCTGCATACACACACCTCTTCGTCCTAGATCTACTTTCTTAAAGCACTCTAAGCATTATAAAATAGTGAAGCTTGTTTTCTCTACCCTAGAATAACTTCCTTTACCAACAACACAACAATTCCATTGTGCAGCGGGTTGGTCGTTGGCTTTTACTTGCTCCCTAAACCTCCCTTCCTTAGAGAGTATTGCTACGTTCAATGAAGATATCAAGAGTGGCTCAGTCTAAATCAAGGGAGAACCAAACACAGACCTGAGACTACTCATGGCAAGAAGCTGAGATATTTGGCTACTTATCCGGCCCATATTAGGTGCACCTTCCGATGGGAGCATGTGATGCGATATTGTGTTTAATGCTGCAAAAAGATCTGCGCCATGTACAAAATACTATGGAGGATGACTTTACATCCGTACTGACCTGTGATGTCCTTAGGGACACCCAGACAGAATAAAGAACTTAGAAGAATACATCCGCTGGATCACGTGTAAGAGATCTTGATCAACAACTATTTTACTGCGAACAATGCAACGTATCCTTGCGGTCTGCCACAAACCCAATCGTCTTGGATGGAACACATGAATGCCAATTTACACATGAATGTAGTCATTTGCCAACACCATGACCTATTTCTTGACACAATAGCTGTGCATCTACATCTAAGGTCGTATACAAAAAGGTCTTCTCTCTTCTCTCGCTATCAACCAAAAGAAAACAAATCGACAACAACATTCCTATCGACAGCAAGAAAACGCCCCATCTTTTTCAGAAGAAAAAAAAAAGATAACCTACAAAAACAAACAACCTCTTCTCCTCTCTTTCATTGAGCATGTATGTAGTTTCCTTCCATTGCTACCAGGAATTCGTTCCCAGCCACCGTGCCACATGTCTGTTGATCTGATCTTGATCGTATCTCGTAGCATCATATACTGGAGTCTGAACCCCTCCCCCGTCATTATATACTTAGTCTCCCACTCCTAAAAGCATTGCAGAACTCCATCAAAGCCCATCCGTCACTTGCCATGTAATCCTCGTGGTACTTGTACTGGGTTGTTTTATCTATCAAGTATGGAAAGTTAGTTCCATCCTTTTAATATCGCTCCCCAAATGCTTTGCCTCAATTAACAATCTACCGTCACGTTTGGTATAAGAACTTTAGAGTTCGTACCTAAATATTATTTATACACCCACATACTACTCCACCAAATCACTTCAAAGTATATCAAACAGTCGACCTCACTTTCATATGTACACAATACAAACTTCTCCATCAGAATCCCATAACTACTCGGTCAGACTCAAGTTAATTATAAGAACCATTTCTCACTTCCCACATCTCCCAGAATCATCCCCCCTACTTCCCCTTTCCTTCGGTGAAAGTTGAGGTTAAGAGTACTTCTAAACACGACAATGAGATATTAGCGACTACCAATAAAAGCCATAGCCTAGCTCATCGTCCTTCTATTTCTTGTCAACTACAACTTGTAGAATCCTCTTTTGTCCAGATAGCCAGTCTTCAATGCCCATACACACCCCTATCTTTTAAACCCCACAAACCCCACAAACTCCCCATCCAAATCGACAAACAAGACAGGTGAGACCGTCAAAATACGTGTAAATCCGCATTTCCTTCTCTAACCTACCCCCTTTCATCTGTCAAAACAAAATCCCCATAGATAGCGGCACGCTCTCCATCCCCTCATTCCCCCTCCTTTTTCCCTCCAAAATCAAAATCCATGGCCCCCATACCCCCATTCCCTCAGCAAAAGAATGTACTGTACAGACTTAAGCCATATGTATCCCACCCACGCGTACCACTGAGCTCCAGCCAGGCCACAACTCCCCTTCACGAACCTCTCCCCCAGGCACATCTCTCCGAATTTGAACTTTCAAAAGATCAATCCTCGTCCTTGATATAGCCCACATCGCCGACTTCCACCAAACATCCCTAAAAACCCAGCTACAAAGGTCACGTGAACAACGTAAACAACCTCAGCCCGTCCCGTACAGCACAATCCACAGACGAGAAAAATGTAGATATAGACACGAACAAAATAATATTCCATCATCGATTTCAAAGAAAGAGGTCCAATAACAAAAATCAAAACCCACAAAGATAAGCGTCAGAAAAAGACCCAGTTACATTATATACCCATCCTCCACATCCACAGTACCTACAGAAGAAATAGAAATTTCAAACTCTAATCCCCTCTCCCCTTTTAACACCGCCACCTCCATCAACACAACGTACACTTCTGCGGCGGACCTCAACAAGGAAGTCACTCCGGAGTTTGACCCCCAGGCCAAAACCCCATCGACATGACCGGATTGAACTTTGCAAGGGTTTAACTGCCCCTATAATGATGGATCTCCACCTTCTAAATTGAATAAGTCTACTTTACTAGGTCCAATAAATGGAGTAAAAGGAATTGACAACAACATCCTAATCGACAGTAAGTCCCCTCCCCTCCCCTCTGAAAAATACAATACCACCATGTACCCCCGCCAACCAATCCCCCATCCCCCTTCCCCATCCCTAACAAACACCCAGCTCTCCACACCCATCTGCGATCCCCTGGCTATCATAGAACGACATACGAACACTACCACTTCTTGCTCACACACAGTCTTTTATTTCTCGGCTATAGACATTCGCTTCATCCCAAGATACGGGGGTATAAATTCATGTAACCTGTAACCTTGAGAAACATTTGAACGTATTCCTGGTGCGAGGGTGTGGGAGATTCGAGAATGAAGAGATGTAGGTACCGTACCACGGTGCGTCGGTGGTTAAGCTTACCACCTTCTTAATCACTCCCTATATACCATGTATACATAAACCTGCCCCTTAAAACTTGGACCCCTCAGAACTCTAGGAAGAGCAGTAAAGCACGGAGTAGGGTCATCCTACTGTCCCCCAAAAACGCAAAGTACAAGCACTGTAAGCCCTTCACACATCACATGACACATCATAGAAACCAGATCACTCATCCAATCCACCAAGAACAAAAGTCAACCAGGGGAGCAAATCAATCATGAAAACAAATCTTAATCAATTGAATTCCCTTATCTTTGCAAAGGTACTCATACATTTTTATCCACGCAGGTGGCCGAGGGGGTATCATTTCATCCATGCCATCCCATATTCCCATCCCAATTTGTTCAAGAAACCAATTCATCCATCATAACAACGGACAAATGAAAAGCATGAACACCCCATCCCATCCCTCAAACCACCCGCCATTTTCTCTATTTTAATAGGAGAGAGTTGAGATCTGTCTATCAATAAAAAAAGAGCCATGCCGCTTATAAAGAAACCCGACATTGCAAGAACAAAACAAGATTTCACATAGGCCGTAATCTGTTGTAACCCCCCATTCCCACACCCAGATCCAAACGCCGCAGCTCGATGTTATACATTAACAGAGCACAATGAAAAGAGGTAGATGCAAGAAAAAGCAAAAGAATTTTGTTTTGCAAACAAAAGAAAACGTGGGCCGGTCAAGAAGAATAAAACCGTCCCGATACCCAAGCCATTATCGAAATGTGTATGTGTGCAAAGAAGGCACGGGTATCAATTGAAAACATGAACAAATGAAAAGAAAGCCAGTATCTGTGAGTGCATCAGAATGCGCGTGAAATAAAAAAAGAAAAATGATGCGAAAAGAGTCTGCAATTAAGCAGCATTCTCAGCGTTTCTACCTCCTAGCAATTCTAGAACCTTGTTGGAGACTGCACCTGGGTAACCCCGGCTCAACATCTCCTGAACGACTCCCATGGCACTTGGTCTATCTTCGACCGCTAGGTAAGCTCTAGTCATAGCTTCATATGTACTTGGCTCACGCTTCTCACGGCCGACGGATGCAAAGATAGACTTGCACTTTCCAATCTTCATCAAGTTGGCCCAGCCATGAATGAGAGTGTTGGCGATATATGGAGTCAGCTCAACACGCTTTGAAGACATATCAAGGAGGACTGATTCGGTATCGGCTACCTTGTGGTTTGCAACCATGGACTCAAAAAGAGCTTGGTAAAGGCAGGCTTGAGGACGGATTGATGTATCGGCAAGAACAGAGTCGAAAACTGTTCGGGCGCCTTCCATATCATGCATAACACAACCCTTAGCATGGATCAAAGAAGAGTAGTGAACAGCCTCTGGGCTTTGACCGGTGCTACGGATGATGTCAAGGATGGCCTCAGCAGCCTCCATGTTGATTGGCTCAAGAGTGGCGTGAGTGTCGACAAGGAGTTTGTAAGTGTGGTTGGTTGGTTGAATTCCCTTGCTCTTCATTCGTTCGTAGTAAGAGAGAACCTTGGCCTTATCGCGCTTGGTTGTAAGGAAGAATTGCATCAAGCTGTTGTATGGTGCTGGTCGTGCCTTGTAGTTTGGCATGGATTCCATTTCCTCAAACAACTCTTCAGCAAATTTCTCATCGCTAACTCGGCAGAGAGCGTTGACGATAGTTCCGTAAGTAACACTGGTTGGTCGAATGCCGAGACTTCTCATCTCAGCAAAGTAAAAGAGGCAATCATCGATACGGCGGGCCTTTCCAAGTTTACCAATGAGAGCATTGTACAAGAAGGAAGACGGTTCAACTCCCTCGGATTTGGCACGGTGAAAGATCTTGACAGCCTCAGTAGCCTCATCAAAGGTCTTCGTTGATTCCTTCAATGTGGTAATGTAAAGTCCGAAAGTGTTAGCGGTAGGTGATGCTCCCATATCGAGAAGTTCTTGGTGATATTGGGCAGCCAAGGTTCGGTTGCCAAGAGTGAGACAAGCTCCTACCATAGCATCGAGAATTGAAACCCATCCATATCGAACGACGGGATATTGAGGAAGACATGGGATATCGGATCGAGCCATCCCAAGAATATCGTGAACCAAGTTGATTCGCTCGTCTTTTGCAGCGGCAGAAATCAGCTTGGCGTAGGTTATGTATCGTGGATGACGACCGGATCTGCGTATGTTTCTGAATCGACCCAAGGCCTCATTTAAACGAGAAACCTTGGCACGACCAATATTGCCACGCTCGAGCTCGTCGGCAATAACAGAAGAACCCTTGAAATCGGTTGATGCGGCGTAAGGGTCGAATGTGTCCTCGTAAATAGATGCGGCCGGGTACGCGGTTGGGGGAAAGTTCTGTTGGAAAGAAGGGACTTCAGGAGCCATCTCACGAGGATCTACGATGCCGTGGAGAGCCATGAACTTGTTGATCAATTCAACACCCTCCTCAATCTCGTCACTAAGATGAGTATTGCTCTCGGCGGCAGTCAATCGGATACGTGCAAACATTTGTTCTGATTGCGAAAGACCCTCGTTGACTTGTCCCGATCCAATCATAGCAACAGCATACATGGCAGCTGGCTCAATGAATGAAGCTGAAACACGCATCTCAGGATGAGAAAGAATGTGCCAGTATCTTTGAGCAGCTGAAACATCACCAGCACGAACACTAAGTGCGAGCATTGCCATGGCTGGGGTAGCAATACCGTTGAAACCCACAGGTACATTTGCGAATGCTGTAACAGCGATCAATTTGTCTCCTTTGTCAGCTGCAACAGTTGCAATCTTGCTCATTGCAATGACCCTGGTGTTGTCGCTCAAACCCTCAGCCCAATTAAGAGCTTCGGTTAGCAGACCACGTTCTAGCATGCCAGAAACAAAGCCACCGTCAATGATAGCATCCCTGACTGATGTGATATTGGATCCATATTCTGCCAAGATTTTCTTGTAGAATTTGTTGGCACCCTCAACTCGGTCAGAAGTGATGTACGCCTTGATGACAGATGCGTAAATTTCACCATCGCGACGATCTTTGAGTTCAAGCTCCCCCTTGTCGTTTGAAACGGCAAGCTGCTTGTACTCATTGTAACATTCTACCGCGCTACTAAGATCTCCCGTTTGAGTAAATCCCTTGATCATAGATGGAAATGTAGCGGCCAGCGGTACGATATTGCTAGATTCCATGTGATCATAAAGACGAATCATCTCTGGGACCCGTCCTGCTGCGGAACAAGCCTTGATCAGTCCGTGATAAGTCTCTGGTGGGTAAGAACGATCCTTGCGGTAGGTGATGGATGCCTCGAACAATCTAAGAGCCAAGTCGAGTCTGTCATCCTCGGCAAGAATGGCAAATTCAAAATCATTTGATGGGAACATGAACTTGCCAGGCTCTTCCATACCGCCAAATCGAACACGCTTCTCCTCCAACGACTGTTTCAGTGAAGAAACCTCGAGAGATCGGGAAGAAAGCAGAGTGATGAGAGTGTTGTATGTTGACGTGTTTGGGAGAACCTTGCGTCGAAGCATATCAGAGTATACATCAAGTGCCTTGGGGACAACCTGAATACGCTCTGCTGGAAGGTTAATGGCAGCATCCAGGAGTGCGTTGTAGGCGACTGCGGTAGGCTGAATACCAGCTACAAGCATGGCCTCGAAGACAGCTGGAATTTCAGCATATCTTTGAGCGTTTGACAACTTGGTTAGATGATCTGCATAGCTTTGTGACTGAAGGTCGGATGCGGATGCAGAGGTAAGACTACTGAAAGTGCTCGCTGGTGTCTTGTGGTAGTTGGACTCCTCAACTGAAATGGCAGGAGATTGACCACGGGCAATAGGTGGGGTTGGTACTTGAGAAGCAACCACACTCAATTCGGCCTCGAAAACAGCTTGCTCATTTCTTGACTTGATCTCTCTTTCAATGGCAGCATCAATTTGGGCGAGAGCAGCTTCCTCTGCAGCCTCAAATTCAGCCTTTTTCATGTCATCAACAGCACTCGCGCTGAAAGCTCTCTCCACCTGCTTCGGTGGCTCTTCCTCCAACACCTCAGCATCTTTGCCACTTGATTGAGCACTACCTTCGGCATCAACCTGGATCGTTGGCTTCCACTCAAGGAGCTTTGTGAATTGGAACTGGGTCCATTCCTTCTCCGTTTCTCCAGCAGCTTGGTGCTTCTTGTAAGCCTCAAAGTAGGCGTCTAAACCTCCATGATTCTTTGCTACCTCGGCCTTCTGCGCCTCCTGTACTATAGTACTTGTCGCTTGAGTGCTGCTATGGAAAGCATTTTGGAAAAGATATTGGCGGGGACCAACTTTGCTCTGGCGACGATTTAAACCGAAACGAGAGTTGCGGTTATGGTTTGCATATGCCTGAGGGTGAGTGGCAGCAACAACGGATTGAGCGTAACCGTGGGTGAGGGTTTTTGCAAGTCCTTGACGTGCGAGATTGGAGTAGAGGTGAGGAATTGGCATTTAGTGATGGTTGAGCCTCTCAAAGATTGGAGAGGGGACTGCGACGTGGTCAGCAATCGGACGAACTTTTATCTCACGATATTTTACGGCGCGATCCGAATCCGTAATCAACGCGCGAAAATAGTGTGGAAGAATGCACTCACAGTAGTATCTCAATTTAGTAGCAATTGCAGGTTCATTTGACAGCCGGGCCGTCAAACAAACGCGCTGATAAAAAATTGAGGGGTGATTGTGGATTGGAAGTGGACTGGAACGGATGTTGCAGCTCCTGATATGAATCAATGAGGTGATTCTGGGTGCGGTGGCGTGAGGAATTTGTTTGAGTTTGGGAGGCGAGTCTCTGAGCCTAAGGTCGACTTGTCTTGATCAAGGCCAAATTGGTGCCTGGGAGGTTTGCAATATTAACAACTCGCCGAGGCGTGTCTACAAGTCAACGAGGCAGAGGGCAGTGGGAGAGGCCACTAGTGATGACGAGTCGAAAATGCGGGATCGGGTGCAAGAGGGAAGGTAAAAGATTCACACGCGCCGCAATGCAGCAGGGCACCTGCTATTCTCAATGCCGTAGCCTGTAGCTTAGAAGCTGCAGGTCTCAAGGTCCGTCAGTCCGAATACAAATGCAATTGGCGAAAAAAAGACGGATGACGAAATCCAGTCTATGAGCACAATTCTGGTGTGTAGAGTACAACGAGCGTGAAGAGATTTTTGTGTCGTGTTTATTTTTGGGGAAGAGCTTGAATTGCTGGAGTGGGCGTGGGCGATGAAAAAGCTCATGGCAGGTGCGTGGGTCTCCGTGGACTACCGGCTCCGCAAAGACTTGGCTCACACGGTAACAGCCCAGTGTACTGGGATGGCTTACTTCTTCTGTACCCAGTAGATTGTACTGTAGATGCGATGGAAGCGGAGAGAACAGGCACATTTTGACTCATCAGCGAAAAGAAGTCGGGTCAGCAACCCTCCAGCCACTCAGCGCCCACCACTACTGCCGGCCAGTCAGTGCCAGTGTCCTGTCAAAGCCACCCTAGCATACCTAAGCCCTAAGTAGACAACCTCGACAACCTTCCATCAGCTTGGATTCGGTCCCGAGTGAGCGGCGTCGTTAAATTGTAAAAGCCGTGTCTCGGCCTCGGATTTACGGTCCAAGCTGCTGGGTGTCTTCCGTATGGCTGGAAGACGACAATACGCTAAAACGAACGACAACACCACACCAGATGAACATCCCGACATTTTCTTTCGCCCACGACCGTATCCGAGGATTTTATAGCCCCAGCCAACGAATCTCTTGCCCTGACCGCGGTGGAAAGATCAGCCAATCTGAGTAATTGGTGCCTCTCTGTCACCTCGATTCGCTCCACCTTTGCACATTTGCATAAAACAAGGAAATTGTTGTTGTCATTATCCCGCGGCCCCCGCAAGGGATAGATCTGATAAGAACCAGGTACAAGGTCGGCACGTGTGATAAACACACCACCATCAAAAGAACAAAAGAATCTCAGCTCGTCCCAAAACGGCAATCCTCAAACTCCGAAGAAACAAGGCGATCTCCTCTCCCAGGGCTGAACCCTCACTTCGAAAACCTGGAATTGCACCCTTGGACCCCTTCCGATTACCCCTCACCGACAGCAATGGCAACGGCTGTCTCTGCCCCAGGAAAAGTCTTGTTGGCAGGCGGGTACTTGGTACTAGACCGTACCTACACCGCCCTCGTCTTTGGCCTTAGTGCGAGAATTCATGTGCTGGTCAACGACATTGATACCAGCACAGGCGTGGAGCTGTCTGAGATTGTCGTTGAGAGTCCTCAGTTTCGAGAGGCTTCTTGGATATATGGCTATCACCTGACGAGTGAACAAGGAGGTGTGAATATCACTCAATTAAATGGGTATGAACACTTCTCCTCTCTTCTCAGCCTGATTCCTGCACTCTCCTGTCGATCTCAATATCCCCCCTTTTTTATGTTATGTCACGTGCAATTACACGAGAATTTGGAATCATGTTGGACTCTGGAGTCAAGTTCACATGATTCGTTCAGCTCAATCATGCAGCGGTTTCCGGTTGCATTTAGAAAACGATTTCTCTTTCTTTTGCATGATCTCTCTGTTCCTGTCTTGTTTGTTTGTTTTGAATTGGTTTTGTTAGATCTTAGCAGAATCTATCCATTCAAGTCCAAATTGCCAGTTCATCATTTGCGTTGACTTTTATTTTCAGCCAAAATACCCATTCCATCAACTCACATCCCACCAGCGTTTCCACCACCCTTTTATCCCGTAACCCCTTCGTCGAAACAGCTCTCCTCTACGGTCTAACCTACATATCCACCATCCTCCCCACAGGCACAACCATCAAACCTGCCAAACTCACCATCCTCGCTGACGACTCATACTACTCCAACCCATCAACTAACACCATAACTCCAACATCTCGCTTCTCAGACTTTAATGTAACCCTTAAAGCCGCCCACAAAACCGGCCTCGGTTCCTCTGCTGCTCTGGTAACTTCCTTCACCGGCGCCCTACTAACACACTACCTCCCTACCTCCAAATTCAACCTCTCAACCCCAGCGGGACAATCAATCCTCCACAATCTTTCTCAAGCAGCTCACTGCGCCGCGCAGGGGAAAGTGGGTTCTGGATTTGATGTCGCGGCTGCTGTTTATGGGACATGTATTTATCGTCGTTTCTCCCCTTCCATCCTCTCCTCTCTCGGAACACCAAACACCCCCGGATTCGCTACCAGAGTCAAAGAGATTGTAGAGAATACCCCGAGTAAAGAGGGCTTGAAATGGGATACAGAAATATCACCAAACAGCGTCACGATCCCCAAGGATTTCGCACTCATCATGTGTGATGTAGACTGTGGATCCGAGACAGTCGGAATGGTAAAAAAGGTCCTCGCGTGGCGAGCCGAGAACCCCGATCTCTCAAAGAAACTCTGGGACGACCTCCAAGCTCGCAACGAGAAATTGGGCACCTGTCTCTCCACGGCCGCGGATCTGGAGGAGACCACCGAGGCGTTGAGCGCTATCAGAGAGAAGATCCGGGAGATGAGTAGTCTCTGTGGCGTCCCTATCGAGCCCGCGGAGCAGACGCAGCTCCTGGATGCTCTCACTGGGATTGAAGGCGTGGTTGGGGGTGTTGTGCCTGGTGCCGGGGGGTACGACGCGGTGGTCTTGTTGGTTCGAGATGATGCGGAGACGAAGGGGCGGATTGATGCTTTCCTGAAGCAGTGGAGGGGGGATGGGAAGGGGAATGTGAAGGTTCTCGGTGCGCAGGGGGAGTTGGAAGGTGCGAGACTGGAGAAGGTAGAGGGTTATTAAGCTCTTTTTTCTTCTTGGTCTGCGGTTGGGCGGGGGCGTGGTGTAGAGTGTATATGGGCCTAGCTGTGAATAGCACGCGTTCAAGATCTGTTTTTTTGATGTTTGTTTGTTCATATGCAAGATTCGGAATACATACTGGCAACAATTGAGAAGAATAAAAAGCTACTCGTAATAACTAACAGGTCATTGTCTACAATTACACCTATACCTACCTATACTTCCTTATCCTTCCGCACCTTCTTAGCTTCTTTCTCAGCCGCTAGGGACCGTAGGTCTACCTCAAACACCTCTCGCGAACAGAAAATCTATATAAAGAACTCAGAGTTCGACACATCGCATTAAACGAGCTAGTCCTCAAGAATTACTGGTATAGACATATCTAGGCTACTAAAGCAAAGAAATATCAGGTCCTGGTAGTATTCGATAATTATCCATCTAATCCAAAGGAATATAATCGTTCGAGTACCTACCTATACTTAAGCTAGGTAGGTACTCAAATAAGTGTGTCTAATCACGTGCACGTGATGTAAATAACAGGTATCGTACCTATGTGTTATAACAAGAATCGAACCCGACTTCTCCTTAATATTACCATAGTATACCATACACCTAGATTTTGCAGCTTGGTTCTGTAAATCAGAATCAGCCCCGAGAATATTAGTAAAAACCGTCTTACAACTATCCGCATATCCCTTCAAGCGCCTTTATTATAATTCTTGAGGTTATTCTTTAGTTCTTTACTTCGTCCCACACACGCTTTATCTACCTACACCCATACAGTATCGGGATTTTTCCACCTCGTTATCCGACATCGTCCCAGGAGATCATATGGGGTCCCGGCACGCCAAATCTGGTTACACAGAATAGAAGTAGAAGTCCATTCTTGCTCCCTACGAAACTGAAGTACAAGAAGTTTGATATACATATTTTTCTCCACTCCACCCCACCCTTTTGGAGGAGGCAAGTAGCTAGTGGGGAGAGGAGAGAGGAGAGGACGTGTGGGATATATATATCTTGGTGGGATTTACGGAGTACAGTGTATGAATGGATGGATTTTGGAAGTGCTAAATACTGGTTTAAAATACATCCCGCGAACAATGGTCTAGGTAGGTTGGTTACTTTATCTACCTTTTATGGATTTAGTCGCTAGAAATGTAAGATAGTGGTCGTTGCCGAGGGGAGTGGATGTTGTTGTCCCTACAAGTAGCGCTTAGCGAGCTAGATTGTTGTTTTGTTTTCGATACGGAGAGTGCTGGGATGAATCATAACAGGGACTGTCTGTCCTATATAAGGAGTAATAGTTTATTTCATGAAGACGTTTAGCTAGGTTTTTCTACGAGCACGATTATAGAAATTATCAGTGTTTGTTGCGAGATAGTCCACGCCTTTAGATGACGTTATTTCTGACCTACTTTGTTCGAGGACTTGATACGCGAACTCTCACACTCACTTGGCTCCTTGATAATCGAATCATATATAACCACTTTGCTTGTTCACAACAGGAAGATTACGCTGTTGATATCCCTCTGGGGGATCGACAGATATCTCTATATATACCAATAGTAATATATTTTCAGATATATAGTAGGTATACGGTACTCGTACTTTAATTTCATTATTACAAGCTTCGCGTCGCATACAGGGGTGTGTCGCGTAGAAGGCATCCACCAGATCTACCTCGCTAAGCATTCTTGTAACCGTACAAGTAATAATTCTCGGTTCTCCGGCGGTTTTACCCTGTTACAAAAAGCCTTACGAAGTTACGCGTTGGTAATTCACGGTGGAATTTGGAAAACTCGGATTTGCATGGAAATAGAAAGTGCCAATGCTCATCCGTTTATTACATTGAGATTTCGAAGATTGAGGCTTGGGATAACTTGGACCTTCTTGTCATATTATAATAAGTTAGTCCCTATTTTTTGATCGGATATTGAGAATTTGAGCCTCGAAAACGTGATTTAGGATAAAGCGGGGTATAGCTAAAAGTGCTCCATGTAACGTCGATCATACGTAAAAAATTATCCCTTTGTATGTAACACACACAGCGCCCAGGCTTGGTATAGGGCTTTAAGCGAGCTCTAGCGCCGTTATACCTCATTAGGACGTGCCAAGTATTAAAACGCCTTATCTTATAACTAGTAATATACTTATACTTAGATAGAAATCACTAGAATCATAGAATCATTAAACTAGCAAAAGATATTAGTTTAAGCTATACTATTTCTTATAGTAAATTATAGATTTATAATGTTTCTATAAGTACTTTAATAAACAGCTGGAACTTCAGGTATAACGTACTAAGCTTAGCCTTTTAGTTCAAGAGAGCAAACCAATCATTTACAGTCGAATGCGCTACCTTGGATTCTCAGGCGATCACTTAGGGTTTTGAGCCTATTTAGCCCTAGTACTCTAAAGCTACAGCGTATGTGCCCTGAAAGACTGAAAAGCCCTTTTGAAATTCTGGCCCAAGATCCCGCTTCATTTTTCTACGTGCCTAGCTTTCAGACCCACTGTCCTAAGGGGCTGTATTGTGGACCTTCCAAGCACTTCTGCCCCTTGGATATTAAGGCTTGATCCGTATCCTCGGAAAACAGAACCGAGCTAGCTATTCTTGATGTATCATACTACAGTAGATATCTTCTTATATAAGATACCTAGCTAGCCCAACGGTTAGAGAATCAATCGTATTCAAGTACTCACACCGACCGCTTCTACATACCACAAAACCTCGCTCTAACAACGCATCAATTCTACTCCCTTCTCACTTCGATAATCCACCAGCGCAGTCACCATGCGACTCACCTCTATTTTCATGCTAGCCTTCGCCTCCTCAGTTCTCGCTCAAGCGGGTCAAAAAGTCAACGACGAGCGTACCAAGTCGCCTGTATTCTGCAACAACGGGACGGCCGGAGATGGAGCCTGCGAACAAAATGGCATGATAACCTACTACTGCCTGAAAGCACAAATACCAGGATTCACTGAATTACGAGCACTTTATGCTACTGGCAGAAACCCCGAAGGGGATGATCGTTGTAGGAGTGAGGGGAGCGAGTTTTTTGGAACTATAACTTGCTCCAAGTAGATGGCATCCGGTTGCCTTCCAGTTGCTGGAATGCAGATGAGCTTCTGGGAAATATGACATTGCCGAAAAGAACAAACCTCGAACAGGAGAAGGAAGGAGTGGCAACTCGGGGTCGGATATTGGGGATTAGGATCGCTTTGGAGAAAGAGGAGAGCAATTGGGATAGACTGTTGTCTTACTAAGTGATGGACAGAGGACAATTCAAGGGTTCTTTTGATCTAGCTTGTATCTGTGTTCATTCCCAGAAGTTGCTATTAAGGCTCTCCTGAAGGGGAGGAAAGAGTGTGTCGCGAAGTGTGGGGGTATGCTGCGGTAATGTGCTTGACGCACAAGGGTCATTGGCACATTGGCTATTGAGAGATAGCCGGTGCAATAGCATACTGTACTGAACATGTGGTTATTATGATCCTGAGGCAACGCTGGTACTACACTAGTAGAGTAAATAATCGAGAAGAGAGTAGAAGCGATGCCCTCAAAATGTTAACCGTAATGAGAATAAATATTTCTACTAAGATCAAGATAGTTGATAGTCGAAGGATAGATGTACTTATTCCTGAAACTAGAATGACAACATAATTATTTCAACAATATCTCAACCACCAAACGAAATCAAACATTCATTCCTGATACATAGAGAAGAAAAAGCACTCTACAAGTTAACAAGGTCAAGGGTTCTCTACAACCCCAGGTTTCATGTACCAGCGCGCAAACTCCATATAAAGCTTGCGCTTATCGATACTATATTATCGATATACTATTCGGTAGCTCGTATGTACTACTACTCCTCCATCTCGATTAAGAAACTCGTCTTCAGTCTGTATCCCTCTGGTTTCTGATATCGGGTGAGGATATCACGAGAATCGTCGCTCCACCTCATGCGAGTAAAGTGACTTAAGTACTCAGGACACTCCCACTCCTTCAAAAACAACTCGAACATCATCATATATTTCAGTCTTATTACCCCTCAAAAAACGACCTCGAAGCTTAGTCACACATTGCACAAATATTTGGTTCAAATAATGCCACCCCTCGGGTATTTCACCAGACGTTCCTAACGCAAAGCGAAAAAGACACTATTTCGAAATCCTATACTTTATTTATCCTGCCTGGCTGCCAAGTTTATCAAACCTGCAAGGTGGCTGCGAACGAATCAAAATCATCATAATTGACCGAAGTCCAAGTCTAGATATCAGACCAAGCTCCTGGATTCAAGGATAGATATTCTCAGCGTATTGTATCGCTAGGTGTCGTGATACCCACAATTCGAAAGAGAGGAATTTATTGATTGAGACAACCTCAAGAGATAAGGCTGAGCAAACTCCCCAGGTCAAAAGAACAGCCAGAAGAACCTGAAAAGAACTAGCAATCCACAAAAATCCGCCAACACACTACAGGAAAGCTCTTGAATCATGTTAGCCTATCAGGCCCCCCAATACCTGACTTCCTTCCTTCACGACTCGAGTCATATTGTCTGGCTGCTCACCGCAAAGTGGCATGTTCACCCTTCCAACAGTCACCACCAATTTAGCAATTTACTCCCATATATCAGAAGTTCAAATACCTACCTACCTTGTCCCTCACGAAGTATCTCACACGAAAGCCAACCGACATCCCAGAACTCGAACGAAAGAACAAAAATCGAGAGCACCAAGAGTTTCAACAGCAAGTAAATAATCACCTTGACTCTGGGATAGCAATAGAAGAGTATAGACTTTACAGAAGATATGAGGCGGATGAGAAAGGCTTGGGTATGAACACCTGTTTTTGTTGAGGGGGAGAAGATGGTGTGGAGACTCTTGATGGAAGCAATGTAACGACCATAAATTGTCTTGTAGGACTGCATGAAAGACCTGTGAGGGTTTCCATTCGTCAATACCTGAAGTTGATGTATGCCAGTCTACAGGTGGTATCAACCCTGGACTCATATTTGGGTAACGAGATTAAAAGCACTAGACAGTGCCTTTAGGATGATAGTGAAAAAAGGAAATAAAAAATCAAGAAGGCTTATGGCTATACAAATCAGGTTAGAGAATTTCGCTACTATTCGTTTTAAAAGCTCTTGGTATATGCTACTATACGTAGCACTTGAGAAAGAAGTGGCTCAGCTCACGCTCAAACACCTCTTTTGCTAGGTTTGCTTCTCTCCTTCGTTCCTTCCTCCCCAACATCGCACTTTCCTCGACTCCCCACACATCCTTAAATATCGAAATAAGAAATATTTCTCAACAGAACTCAACCCACTAGGTTGGTCTAGTGGTACAGCGTTTCTTTCGCACTCACAGAAAGAATCCTTCATACAAGTACGGGCTGGCTAATCCCGAAAGGTGCCTTGCTAATGGTAGCTCCGAAGAGATCCCCAAATCAAACCAATTCTTCTTGAGCTTCTATTTCCTTCTATTGTGTAATTTTTCCGCGGATGTTGATGATGGAGGTGAGATGTGGTGGCAATTTTTGCCTTGGTGCTTTGGTGTTGTGTTGTTTGGAATGCGACTTCCTTTTTCAGTCGTGGTGTTATTAGACCTGAGCTCACTTTCTGCTCGTGAATGCACAGTAAGAGGATATGAGAGGGCGAGAGTGACAATGGAGCGGTTTCCAGCACATATGACGGACACCTACAGCTGCTTCTATACATTTCAACTCCGTATTGCTATCAATCCTGGTGTGGAAAGGCGAGCCTGCTTAAGGGGTATTTCCTATTTTGTTGGATTAAGAATAGAGGAATGGAAACAGCCTCTTAGTTTTGATATAAAACTTCATCTGCTCGCAGTATTTTCCAAGGATTGGCCATATGCCAAGTGTGAGGTACCTGCCTAACTATCGTTATGTACTCCCCAATTTGGAAGGTCGCGAAACCGTCCTATTGACGTGTCAATATAGCCGGAAGACTGGAGGGGTTCATAAAGCACCAGAAGACGTCGCAGTTGGAATTGTTTTGCAATGCCACATTTCTTCTATCAAGTTTTGCGCTTCCAAATCCTGTTTCATCATTGATTGTCCTTTTGCGAGGGAAATGCGGGACTTCTACTGTGGGCACCGGTCCTTGCGGTGCGATGTTGTCAATTCCAATTGCAGGAAACCCATTTCCAGCCGCTTGGAGCTGTCTGCAGTCATGCTGGGACCGACCAAATATCCACCTCCTCGTGGCATTTGTCCCTTTGCCAGCGATCCGGTTCTTTTCGCGGTCATTTCCACTTCCAATCGCCGGCCGGCTGTTGCTCGCAGGCTCAACTGTGCCTCTCGTCTCGGCGCATTCGTGATCGGCAGGTGTTTGGATATACCATCTATCGGCCGTCAGCTCTCGAGTCTGTCTATGTTGAATGTGGTAAGGGTTGGGTGTACGTGTCCGCAAGTATTTGCCAATGGGTACTTACTGCAGGTACGAGTACCTCGGTACGGAGTACCTAGACCATACTATACGTCAGTGTCGTCTGGTGTGTTGAGTAGCTGCTTGGCTCAACAAACGTCCCTTCAACGACAGACATGTGGGGGGCCGTTTAGCGGTGCAGCGCATTCTTCCACGTGCTCCATACGCATACGCGTATCTTATCAATCAGATTGAGGTGCTCCAAGCGCCCAAGTGCCCAAGTGCCCAGCTGCCCAGAGTCCTGACAGTGCATGCTTACCGGTAGCAGCACACTGCCCGGAACCTCGGAACCTCCTTCCGCGTTCTACTGCCACCGGGACAGCCAATCAGCGAGTCGATATTTCCAATTTTTGTGACGGACCCACTTCAAACCCAATAGCGACCCCCCGAAGTAATATCTCTCCCATGTCTCGACCGCCTCACCGACTTCTTGCCTTTTGCCCTTTGCGCATAACGGAAATTTCGTGTGCGACGCTGTGTTGACCGGAATCCCGTTGGGCTTCTTCTACGCCAGAGAAGCCAGAAAAACCTGCCATCTCCAAGACAAGCATCCCCCTTTTCTTGGGTCAACAAGTGCTTCGTAGAACCTGCGTAGACGGGTTGGCGAGGGTTGCATTGACCGGAGAAATACAATCATACCCCCAGTTATTTCAGCCGCAATCTGGGGAAAGAAAGCCAACGGCCAAATCCAATCTGGCAATATTCGCCGCCCTCACAATCTCTGTCAACAAGTCGCTCTGGTCACTAGATCATCCAGATCTTACCTGCGCCTGCACCTCGACGACCATTTCCAGCCAGGACAGCCCTTGATCACGAGATTATTAATAGGGAGAGGGGCAACCGAGGAAGACTGGGCTGGGGGGGAAAAGCTGAAGTGACAGCATCGACCAGGGCATCTATCATCCCACCTCATCTCAACGTCAAGTCATTCGCTTTCCGGCATCACCTAGGATCTCTCCATCTTGACGCCACATCTTGAGTATTCACTTTGGCCACCAGGGATCACTTGTCTCAAGGTTCTCTATAAGCGTCAATTCTCCGCGAGTGCCACCCTTCTTGAAGGGCGCCTGTACAAGGCTTCGAACCCCCCCTCTTGATAGAGCTTTTCTAGCTGAGTTGCACTGCGTCATCCCCCAGCATACCTGATTTATCATTATCCGTCATATACGAGACGCCAGGTACAATTCGACACCGACGACAATCAAAGATCTGTGTTGCTGAAACAGAAAACAACGCCTTATCTGGTATCCGTTCCGTGGATCCGGATTGAAACTTGCGAAATCATCCGAGCGCCCAGCGATTCGATTTGATTGACAACAGAACGCTGTTCAAAAGCCCCCAATTCAGCAAGACGGGCTTTCCTGTCAAGAAAGCCTCCATCTTGGCAATTTACTTGCACAGCTCACAACTTCTGAACTCACTACGCACCACACGCCTTGCAATAAACAACGCAATAAACCCACCACCAGACAGAGTTGGTCGCCTGTTTTTCCTCCATTATCTGGTGTTCCCAGCCCCTGGTTGGGAATATCATCACACAGCCTAGACTGTAATACCCTTCACCGAGTCGACATTCCTCTTCTCTTACCGGTCCTCTAGCTGCATGAATCATCACTCAGGATTTTCGCACCGCATATTGCCCGCCAAGACGACACCTTACGTTTCTCTTAAAGTCCAGACGCTCCTGCTAAAGTTAATTTCACAAAGATTGGAAGCGTATCTATGAACTTGGTCTTGGCGACTTGAGAGAACCACCAAATTTGTGCTGAGCCCCAACAGAAGCAGCGAGTTCTCTACGCTCGCTTCGGTCGACTTTAGAATATCTATGTTTTGCGCATATAGGAGTCAACCTGTGGCTCTCTTGACGCCCGATCACCATTATCGCGGTATGAGTGACAAAGTGTCTTCATCGCCAAAGCGGCATAGAGGGGAAAGCATTCCGGTCAGGTCGGCCGTTATATCAGAACCATCACAGGAAGATATCGATCTTGCTCAGCAACTGATAGGTCATGCCCAAGGAAATGGAGGAGAGCCTCGGAATTCTCATTCGAGAAGTCATCTTTCGTCACCTTCAAATTCTCCTACGCCAGATGCACCAAGTCCGTCGAATTCTTTGAGCAGAAATCAGAGAGAGCAATCTCAGACTCCGCAATCTTACCCGCCTGTGAATCCTACTCAATCGGATCCAATTCCTGCCGGCCAAGTGTGCAGGTAATAAGATAAATTTCCCTTGATGGAAATCATAACTGATCAATAACAGTAACTGCGGTACAAGTCGAACACCCCTTTGGAGACGTTCACCTCAAGGAGCCACAATTTGCAATGCCTGCGGTCTCTATTTAAAAGCGCGAAACGCATCAAGACCAACAAATTTAAAACGCTCACCCTCACTTGTCCCTCCCTCACAGCGCACTCCAGAACCCGGCCGCGCCTCACCCACACCCACATCCGCATCATCAAACGCCTCATGCTCCAGTGCCGCCGCAGGAGCAACATACGTAGCAGCTGACCAAACATCCAACGGCTCCTGTCCCGGCGGTGGGAAATGCAATGGCACAGGTGGTGCGGAAGGATGTAGTGGCTGTCCAGCGTTCAACAACCGAGTTTCTAAGAGTGCACATTTCTCAGTGGCGCAGGATCGATCGGCTTCCAACTTCACCACCTCTAGAGAAAATGAGGGTCCCAATGATGCGCCAAGTCCCATCGATGTTGCTTCGTTGAATCTTCAGCCGCAGAACACCACGGTGGTGGTAGCGTGCCAGAATTGTGGGACCACTATTACGCCGCTTTGGAGAAGGGATGCTGGGGGTCATACGATTTGCAATGCTTGTGGTACGTACTAACGACGCCGTAAACGTCCCCAACGGTAACATTAATTTGTCGAATAGGATTGTACTATAAACTTCATGGCGTCCACCGTCCCGTAACAATGAAAAAGTCCGTCATCAAACGCCGAAAACGCGTCATGCCAGCTTCACAAACCGATCAAGCCCTGCCCATAGATGCAACCAGTAACTCCATGGATTCTCCCGAGTCAGATCGTCCATCTCCAGAGATCGATATGAGGGGCTCCATGAATCCTGACGGTTCAATGAATCTAGGATTTCGAAATCGAGAAAAACAGTTACCGCAACCTTCCAGCTCTGCACAACTCCCTTCGCGTGACCTGCTGGCGTATGCCTCTTCCTCTTCAAATTACCAAGGACAGGGTATGGGCGATAGTCTAAACAATGAAAATCGACTCCCGCCAATGGCCTCATACCCCTTCCCCACGCAAGGCGGTCTTGCCCTATCCTCTAATGCTTATCTTTCACCTTCACAGAAGCGATCGTTCTCGTCCCTGGATATGGAGGAACGCGATGCTGGGGAGAGGGAGAGGGAGAATACGCAGCCCAAGCGGTTGAGTAGTATCAAATCTATACTTAATCCTGGGAACGATGATGATGATGCGAGGTTTTCGGCTGTGGGGAATAGCTATGCTTCAATGGGAGGGAGTAGTAGTGGGGCAACCAGTGCAAGAGACTCCCAGAGTGAAAAGGAGAGGGCGAAGATTGAGAGGAGAGAGATGTTGCAGGCGGAGGCGAGGAGGATGAGGGAAGCGTTGTTGGTGAAAGAACGGGAGTTGGAGGAGATGGGGGAGTGACGGCTGCGAGGTTGCATTGGGTCGACTTGATTTTTTCGGAGGTCGTTAGCGAGCGGGTTTAACGCGAACATGATTTTATGGACGATGCATTATGGACTAGATGGGTGAGGGCAAGGGTATGGCGAATAGTGTAATTATAGCGCGAGATCGGTTGGTCTGATACGATAGGACCTCAATCTTATGTCAGAATATTTAATGGGCTTCGAGACCTTGCTAGGTTGCTCTGTTATTTGTGTTTTTCACAACGTCCCGCAAATATGGATAAAATACGGACTTGGAAAGTACATGTCTGATCTCGTTGACTTTAGTTAATGTCCAAAGAAGGGTGCAACCCTCGAGCTTGACCTTTGCATGCTAATGTGGCTCTATGCTATCATTTTGATAGCGCTTGTGCAAATGGTAAAGAGTAAAGGTTGGAGCCATATACAAAATGTAAGTACTTGACTGTTTGTAGATCTTTGAAAGCAACTAACATGTCTTTCTTGACATGTATTTTTAAACATCCTTGTTTGTGACTGAAGCCTGTACATGGGAATGAACCGGGTATACCTACTAATTGGTTACTCGCAAGCTATAATATTCCTTCAATTTCAAGAATGAATAACTACGAAGATTTGATACGCTAAAACATTTGTTCGGCAGTACTCTGGAAGTCCACGAGAGATCAATTGTCGCCCTGGAAGCCGTATCCTCTATGATCTATTAAGTCTTGTACAATAAAGATCTCGGTTCCTCACATACATCACAAACGTCACAACAAAAAATCTCCTTCATGAGCCACATAAAAGTAGGGAGATTACACACCTAGACTGCCATAGTATATTCCAAGTCATCAACGTCAGACTCCAGATATCCGCTGACACGTTCCAAGTACAGTATCACTATCGCTCCCGACACAATACAGGTGGATCTCCAACCTCGGACCACTTCTCAGTCCCAGGAGTAGTCTCAGCATAGAACACACCCGAAGGATCCCACTTCTTCCGTATCTCAAATAATCTAGGATAATTCGTACCCCAATATGCGGTCTGCCAGTTTGGTTCATTCAAATCACCCTCTATGTTATTCAGTATCTCCTCATAAATCAGAAATAGAAGGGAAGTGGGAAATTGAAGCATACCATTCACATAAGCACCCCCTCCAGGACTAGCATCTCTCAACGGTCCACCAACAACATTCGTAACCACCTTTCTCGCCTCCGCCTTCTGAGCGAACGTGAAATTCCTCCCAGTTGGAATAATCGTGATGGAGAAGCTACTAGCATTCCTCCATCGCGGGTGCGTGCTACTTTCCGCTACTGGCTTTCCTACGCCGGGCCCCACGATATGGCCTACTATGAAACCATCCGGCCAGTTGGGGATATGAATTGCGTTGTGGAAGGCATCGACCAGGGCTTGGGAGTTTTGAGCTATGTCGTCGTGGGACATGAAGCGGCCGCCGATTATGGAGATGTCGGATCCTTCGTTTCCTTCGAACATGTCGATGTAGAGCTCGTAGAAGGTTGGGAAGTCTTTGGCTACTGTTTCGTAGGGGATTTGCAGGGCGTCCAGTTTGGTGAAGAGAGGGGTGAGTGTTGCTTTTATTTGCGTGGAGTTCGTGTAGGGAGCGACGAAGGGCTGGATATGGAGGCGAAGTTCGGAAAGTTCGTAACTATGTGTGTACCATTAGAGCAAGTATCCTGAATTGGCTCGCTAGCACGTAGCGCTTTGGGGGTAGACACTTACTAAACAAACATCCCATTGTCGACATAAAGGTTTGAGAGGCCATGGAAAGCTTCTACCGCCTTCCAAAATAGAGCGGAGTCATTCGTATGAGTTGAATTAATATTGATGATCATCCCAGCGCAAGGAACTTCCGGTGGTGTTTTGACAGTCATTCGATATGCAATCGCATAGGTTGAGGGACCACCACCTTTCAACGCCCAGTAAAGATCAGAATGACTATTAGCATTCGCTGTCACAAGATCGCCTGTCGCTGTCACAACATCGAAGGACAGAACTTGGTCTGCTCCCATGCCATATATAGTTGCAAGCGGACCATGGCCTCCTCCCTGGAGGTATCCACCTGCGTATCCCACTGTCTATTTCACGATCGTTAGCTCTAGTTTGCTAAAATTCCAACATTTGGATCTCGTAACTCCGAGGGGCTTACCGGACACTCTCCCCCAACAACCACAACCTTCGGCTCCTGCTTGAAAGCCAACGCATAGAGCTCAGCACCCTGAACCCCAGCTCCCACGGTAACAGCTGATCCATCATACTTACCAGGTCCCTTATAACGCTTTGCAAAGTCGACTGTCTTTAGCTCATGTGTATTCACAGCCAAACTTCCATATCCCACGCTCCTGCCCATGAAGTCATGGCCAGTGTTTCTGACGAGAAAACGGATATTCTTGTGACGAGCGAAATTTATGGCCAAAGAGAGGTCGGTTGGAGCTGTGGCTGTGGTTGTGGGGATATAGAATGAGGAGAGGTAACCGATTGTGCAGGTTTCGTTGGGGTTGGTGGTTGGCCAGCAGGTCATGTTGGAGTAGTAGGGACGGATTGGGTTTAATGTCGTTTCTATACTGGGTATTTATGAGTACTGTTTCCGAACTGACATGGTTGCTCGTTGTTACTGTAACAGAAATCGAAATATTGTATCAACTCACATAGCTTCTTGAACTGTCCAATTCTGGATCAACTCATCACAAGCCGCTTTGTCATAGTAAGACTTGCCCTCAAACTCATTATAACAAACCGCAGCAGCCGGAACTGCCTTTCTCAATCTCCCTCCAATCGTGAGGTTGAAAGCTTTCCATTCTTTTTCTGAAGGCCAGCACTGATCTCCTGGTACGCATTTGCAGGCGAATTTTGATGCATTGGGAACAGTTGGAGCTCGAGGGAAAATCGAGGGGGTCTCGAATGAGAGTGCCAAATGCGGGAGCAGGAGAAGGAGGAAGAAGAGTCTCATTATCAGGAATATTTACCAGCTGAGAATAGGGATCAACACTTTATGAGAAAAGATCTCCCTTTATATTTGTGTCCCGCTGCATACTCTATGCCACCACTTTCCTCCCCGCCTCTCAAATCTGCAAATTGTGAAGGTACCAAAAACCTAAACATCGGTACCGAAGCATCTTAACGATTGCGTCAGAGTCAATTTCCCAAGCCCTATCTACAAAAGAACTGATCAAGTCCTGCGTAATCAGGGGTTCTCCGGCTGACAAACATACAGAATATGCAGCCATGTTTCTTGGCAGTAAGCTCCAATTGCAACTCTATTGAGCGGGCATGCTTGCGATTGCTCACGGGAACGATGGATTTATTGATGAGGAATGGTGGGATTGTAAGGGGCTGTTGTAGGGCTTTGATGGCTGGGTTTGTACGCGATTTTATCGTGCATGCGGAGATTTTTGCCGAGTTGGCGGTGGGGTTTCAGAAAGTGGCTTTCACTTGATGATACTTTAGGGTTTGAGTACTTAGAGATGGCAAGTCGCGTAAATTTGCTCGCAGTGAAAATATTGAATACTACCGCTGAATGTAAAATTTGTCTCCACCTTTCTTCTTTATGTACAAAACCATTCCCACCCCTTTACAAACCTCGCTTAGCAAACGAGACACGAAATTATGTTATTGAAAATGCCGCAATACCCACAGTCCACTCACCAGCCTCTTAAAACGTGCTGAACTTGTATTGAATATGGCTCTCGAACGGCTTGGTATCAGGGCCGAAAATTTGCTTGTCCAATCTGCCCCATTCTGGATGATTGATACCATCAATCCAGTCATGTGGTTCCACAGCAACACAACCATTACTCTTTACAAATCCATTGGTGGCGGGGCCAAGTTGACTAGCTTTCAACTCATTGGAGCCTTTTTGGTCATTAGCATGAAATGAAGACAGTATATAGAGAGTTGGAACCCACCTCCCATCCAATAACATGTATAAACCACCACACCAGCTTGATCAGAATACAAATCCCATTTTATACCACTCCAATCGCTTGAGAGCGTCGCAATAGGTTTTTCGGACTCTTTTTCACTCCTGTCAACAATCCATTGATTGTTGTAGCCACTGCACCCACTGCCTGTTCCACAGTTTCCTACCCATTCCGCTTGTACACTATTCGTGCCCAAAGCCTTGGGTGCGCTCCAGAAATCATTAATGCTTCCCTTTGTAATCCTCGGAAGCGATCCATCGGACTGAGTACTCGGGTCAATCCCAATGATCCTCTTTCCGAATGGCAAACTAAGGGTATGGTTGAGTACCAAGTCCGTGGACGGATTACCGAACGCATCAAGATTCCAATAAGGATGAGTCGTCAACATCAAAGGCGTTTTGTGCGTCTTAGCAACCCCAGTAAGTTTTGTAGACCAAGAGCTTTTTGACAAAGTGTGGGTAGCAGTACCGATGACAAGACCTGGCATGCCAAGAGAAGAATTCCTTTCATCCCGGATGGTAAACGTTATGCTGTTCTCGCTCACGTCAGAAACATTCCAAGTTCTCCGGGACCAGCCATTCAGACCGCTGTGAAGTGTTCCATTCCCATCGTTGGCTTCAGTGTAGTATCTTTTGCCGTCAATGACATACGTGTGATTCGCAATTCGATTTGTGTAGCGTCCTGGGACTGGGCCGTAATCGGGATGGTTTGGGTCGACGGGATAGAATGAGGCATTGTCGTACCCTAGAATGATATCTCGATCGATTCCATTGCGATCTTTCACAATCAAGTTGCTGATGCTTGCACCGTATGCGATGAATTTCGCTGTGATTCCTGGTGCTGTTAAAGTGTACTTTCCGTCTGGGCCAGGTGCTGGTGCTGAGGGATGTGCTTCTATCGAAAAGACGAACAGGGGTAGGAAGAAGAGCATTAAGAGTGACCACATCATGAATCGTCTTTTAAATTTGAGAAACTCTCCAAACCAAGAATCAGCCCTGAGACCAAGTTTCATCCGAGGCACCATGGCTCTATATATACCAAACCAGGCTGATGTTCGATCCCCTGTATCAAGGATTAATGGTCCCGGAAAAACTACTTTTTTATTGCAGGCATATTGTGTATTTGCAATCCAACTAACCCCACAACCAGATACCCGAGCACCACATTGGGACCCAGAAAATGCCTAAGATGTGCGGTAAGAAACATGTTCGTTACTCTGTACACACCTCTCTTAGAATAAAATTATTCCAAAAACGTCGCATAACTAAAATGGTTATATAAAGAGCTTGAATATGGGTTAGCTCTTACTTTTCACTGACCTAGGTATCCTAATACAATTATCTTGCTTGTACTACAAGTTTAGTATAATAGAGTTTATATAGTGTGTACAGAGTAACGACCAAGTATCTTACCTGGACTTGGCCCATCAAGCTCCTGCCTAGTGATCAAGTCAATTTAGGCTAAACGAAACACAGTAAGCGTACCTACTTCTTAGCCTGGTACAATGTGAATAACCCCCCAACCCCCTCAGGTTAAAGCAAAAAACTTGTTTCAGCCACGTGCTTAAACACGCGGAGAGTCAAACCGATTCGTGCTTTTGATATTGCCAAGTCATGAGTACAGAAACTTTTGCTCTACAGAAAGCAGAACCCGGGGTTTGTTGCAGATGATCCGGAACTCATTTAGGATGGTTAGAACTACTGCGTCGCAGCGAAGAGTACTTTGAAACTTTGAACACAATGTCGTGATGAAATTTGATTCAATCCTAAAAATGAAATGGAAGAATGGAGGCGGGTTTTGAACTATGCGTCATTTGGTCATCTAATGGGTTGTCAAAAAACTAGAAATATAAGGGTTGAAGGAGAGGCTTCTCATGCAGGGGATCATTACGCTAAATTTCTTCGCGGAAGCTACTTCTAAGATCATAAATTTCGCTTCTGATGAAGGTGAACATAGATCACGTGTCGCGACTGGATCATTCAAGAAGCTAAACGAGGGCCCTTTCACTTTCCAGTTTTTATCACTTCAAAATAATATTACTCATATCCAAATGAGATATGAGTATGTTAGTACTCGAAGCTATGCCTGACCACACCAACTTATGTCACATGACCTTCAACCAAACTACAATGGAAATACACAAAAGCTAAGTCTTCTGGGAAGCAAGCTAGATTCGGCCAGCTATCTACGGAGCTTGCTGTATGTACCCATTGCATGACCCCCATTCTCTGGGGTTTTCCGTCACAATTACTAATACGCTCCGAGGGACCTCGCTTTTCGCTAAACAAGGCCACCAACCCCCTACACAGCTTGAAAAAGCCCTCCGTACAAGAAATCCCAGTGAGAAGAACCGTTCCCACTCACTATTCTAGACAAGATATCCGCAAACACTCTCATCCCGTTTCTCAAATAGACTCAACAAGCCAACGCAATAGTCCGCTCGAAGATTCCTACGCGTCATCAACTCCCTCCCTGCCATCTCCTTCCTTTCCTTTCGTGCTATCCTCAAAGGACCCCTCTGGCTTCTCCAATACTTGTTGAACATTAAGCATGGCCTCTGCTGGCATACGATCCAAGTGATGCAGCTTCCCCTCTCTATGCATAGCCAACAAAGCTTTCTGCATTTGGTCTGCAGTTTTTCTGAACATGGCCTTGTGGTATTCCTTAAAAGGATCCGGAACCTTTTGGTCTGGTTCGGTCTTGGTGGCGTTCGTGTTGGTTGATGAAGACATGATCGAGTATTTTTTAAAAGATAGTTCCTTTGGACGTGGAAATTTTGTAGGGAAGTATGAAATAAGGAAAGACTTCTTGGCGATAGGTGGTGGAGGAATCTCGTGGATAATGGATGTTGATGAAAAGATTTGACGGATGATGATCAATGTGGGGTATTCTCAAGCAGTATCAAGGTCGAGGCGCCTTGCTCGTAAATTGACAACACCTGTTTGGCCTCACTTATAAGAGCCAAAACAAAGAATTGGTGAATAGCGTCTCGTAAGAATATGTCATACCAAATACGGTGACAGATAATATGAAGGATTACTTTAGCTATTTTTAGAGTAAGAGACCAAGTCACCGCTCCAATTGATTTCCGGAAAGAATATATTTTACTAGGTTTCTATCATCCACCAACCTAATAATTACACAGAACCTGGGTCACTGGCTTATCACAGGAGTCGACTACCACAAATTAATTTCAAAGTTGATTGACTTGTGTGTAAAAAGCGAGTATAGCCTTGGTTTAGTAAGATGTATGCAACGAAATGACAAGGCCTCTTGCAGTACAATAACAAATCCTGCGGTTGTGCTCAATTTTGTACTGTAAGAGATGCGGGCATTGCTCTGTACACACCTGAGTTATAAAAATATTATCCTAAAGTCCTTATACAACTAAATCAATCATACGAATAGTTTAGAATAATTATTAATTTCCACTCCTAATTGACCTAGGTAAGATAGGGCAATCCATTTACTTGTGCCAGACTTGTGGCATAATAACATTTAATAGCGTGTACAGAGCAATGACCAGGTTTCTTACAGTGTGTTAGTATAAGATTTCGGAAAAGCTTGGAATCAGTCAAAGGAGTATTTGCTAAGTAAGGTAACATTCCAGTTCAAAGAGCGCAGGTGACATTTCTCCCACAGAAGTTAGTGGGCTTACCCTTCCTATATAAAAAAGAAAACGCAATGTATTCACAGTACACTAGAAAATTATCACAGCCGGCTGATTGAAATATGATGAAACTCACCTGAGTACATTCTTTTTTGGCGCTGGGCAAACTCTTGTGACCCTTCAACTCACTTGATGACGATGAACAAAGTACAATAGTCAGAACACATAGGAACAGAAAGTCACAAGTAACCTCCAACTCCCCAAGATTTCTCTGGTGTTAGCGAATTGCTTGAGCCAAGTAAAGATAATTGTGATAACAATCTCTATAAAGGGAAAGTAATAGACGCTCAATATACGCTCTTGCCTGAAGTCTCACTTGGAATGAGAGTTGTGCTTGAAACCTCGCTTACACCTTAAGATAATCAATGCTCTCCTAGACGCTCTACAATAATCTGACTTGTCTACTATAGGGTATATAGTATAAGTTGTAATGAACTATCTACCTACGCCAAATAACTTATAAGCAAGCCCAATTATTCGAGGCTTTCTACTCCACAAAGTGTTTTTGAGATTGTACCAGAGCAACAATTATTCTAATAAAACAAAGCATGCCAGAGTAGCTACTAGCATGATAAGTTACTATAAGATCAGACTCAAAATACGCATAAGCGAATCTCAAGAATCCACTGGAAATACCCAAATTACCAAATACGTCGAAGTAGACCAGAATAAACTACTTATCCCTTCCACAACGCGAAAGCAATTGTAAGAACCCCACAAGAATCACAACCCGTCAGGTAGATCAATCACCTGAGTATGTAGACGGGTTGATGCTATCCATAACAGTTAGACTACCTCGCGTTCGCGTGATAACTTGCAACCGCCCCTTCCCCCCCCACATGAACCCGCACCTAGGACACGTACGTGTATTAATTGCTGCCCGACGACCACAAGGGAATGCGTTCGTGCGAATCACTCGATATGGCTTCGCGCTTGCACAGTATTCACGAGTGGCGTTGAGGTCAAGACCGATAGTGGGCCGGTTGTGACGCAAGTGCTCCTAGTACTTATTTACCTGCCCCTCTTCTATTAACGAGGGGTATTCATGTGTTCTAGTCAATTGTTGTAGACTGAAATACAGTTTCAGTGTGGTCAAGTAGAGAAAGTAAAGTCGGGAGATGGTCCGTTTGTATTGTACACATCCTACTCCTTTCCCTCCAAAATTACCCATTTTTATGCAGCTATTGTACATATCCTTCCCCTTTTGAAACATTCCTTTTTGGTGCGTGTAATTTTACATTGATTATTCCTGTTCATTAATTTGATGTAGTAGCATCGTGGGCTGCTTTTGGTACTGCCTCTTTGTGTGCATCAGCACTTTTGGGTGCCTCGACACGCTTGTTTTCCTTCGCTGCTCTAGTCGCCGTAGCGGGGGCCTCTTGTGTAGATTTTGGTGTCTCTTGGATCGTAGTAGGTGTCAGTGCTTCCGATTCACTTCCATTTTCTGAGGCTTGTTCTCTGGCACGTAGCTCCTCTTCAACTTCATCCTCCTCGTCTTCCAATTCTGGGCCATACATTTCGGGATGCGCTCGGAAGCAATCTTGCATACCCCTAGATCTCATTAGCCCCATGTATAAATACACTCACAAACTCATCGACTTACTTGAACTTCGGGATACATTCCATTCCTTTTACTTCCTCGGTCGAGTAAACGAAGCAACTGAATGCCTCTTTAAATTCCTCTCCACAAGGACCGTGTGCCATTCCTCCTAAGCATGGACAATCCCAATTGATCTCCCCAGTTTCTGGATTGAAAGCACCTTGCTGATCAGCTTCTTCCTCCAAGCCTTTTATCCCATCAGCGCCTTCATCCCCCTCCTCGCTTTCACCTTCCTCCTCGCCTTGCCCTTCCGCCCGTGTTTTGGCCTTATCAAGTTCTCGTTGCTCAACGTATTTCTTTTTCTTTTCCGCAATGATACCGTCTACAGTAGGTAGAGGTAATTCTTGGGCGTGATGTATTGATTCCTCAACAGCTTGGATTGCCGCTACAGTCCCGGTCAGTATTGTTATTTGCCAAAGTTTACTATTGCGACAAACCTTCTGGTTTTTCGGCAAAAATGTTGCTTGTGTTGTAATAGTAAACTCCTCCCGCAGCTAGAGCCCATCTTGTCGCACTGCTCTTCCAAGTCCGTGACTTTTGTGATGGCGGAGCTGTGCTTAGAAATCTTCTTGACGGGTTGTTTTTGAGGAGGATTCGAGATGGTATGATGCGCCGAGGTGCCGCTCGCACTGCGGATGTGAACATGTCGAAGAATTGGTTTCAATGAAATTATTACAAGATGTTGTGGACGGGACAAAAGAAAAGGTGGCGACGGTACATTCTATGGACTTAAATATCGAGATGTGATGTTTTGTCATTCATATCCCGCCCGTCACAGCTGGGCGGACCTCGCCCGCAGGACCCGGCTCTTGGAAGCTCCAAGCAAAGTCACGTGTCGATAGCCCCACCTGATATGCGCCGATTGCGGGCCGATAGATTCTCTTTCTCGAGGTGTGCTAAACCTTCAGAGTTGAGCTAGAATCGTCATCCACATGTTCCAGTACACAAAGATATAGTTCCTCTACCGAGACATATACATACACTTTATTGTATGCTTTGCAAGTCAAGTGTTCATGGCGGGCGAAACCACCATCTGGCATCCAGCCAACATCTTCTCAGACGATCCCATAGCACAAGATGACGATGACGATGGCGAATACTCGCTCATCGTCCTCAACCAGCCCATGGAATTGAGCGCCTCTGTCTACAGCAAACTCTGGGAAAATTGCACATGTAAAGTAGCTGCAGACGGCGGTGCTAATCGTATTCACGACATGAACGTGCAGAACCAAGACCTTCTAGATGTGGACTTCATCATCGGAGACCTCGACTCGCTTCTTCCCCCCGTTCGAAAGTACTGGGAGGATAAGGGTGCTCGGATCATTCATAATCCAGACCAATACTCGACAGATTTCACGAAAGCCGTGAAAGCCATTTGGGCTCAATCAAAGGCGAACCTTGTTGTGTTAGGTGGACTCGGTGGACGAGTTGATCAAGGTATCTCTGTTCTGCATCATCTTTACACCTTCCAAAAGACCTACGATTCTGGGAAGATGTTTCTTCTTTCAAGCGAGGGCATTACATTTGTGTTGAAATCCGGAAAGCACAGGATTCGGGCTCAGCAAGAACATCCAGTCATGAAGTTGGGCAAGAATGTGGGCATCATTCCGCTCAAGGAGCCGTCTGTGATAACCACCAAAGGCCTCGAATGGGATGTCACGGACTGGGAGACGGAATTCGGAGGGCAGATCAGTACCAGCAATCATGTTGTAGAGGATTGGGTGACAATTGATACGACGAAAGATGTTCTTTTCACAATCGACATTGAAATTTTATCTTTGAGTTCTACTTGAGTTGTAGAGGGCATTCATTACACTAGGGGTTCACTGGTTCAGAAAATTTGTCAGACACGGAAGAGAGCTGATGCTGTGGAAGTTACTTCTCGGTTATACAAGCAGAATCTAGTCACCACTTTTTGGTACCCTGTTCGGTACGAGGGGCCATCTGTTATAGCCGTACGAGGAAGGTACGGTGGCGTTTCATCTCCAAAAACCAAGCACGATTCATTTTCAACATACGATTTCGAGACAGGGCAGTACCGCTCCTTCCCTCTTATGTTGGCGTTGCGCTGCAATGACAGAAGTCATAAGGGAAGATAAGAACCCTGTCTCAGACCCTAATAACCCTCACTCCTTCTTCATCTTCCTCTCCTCCACACATCTAATTGGGCGAAATTTGACTGTGGCAACTATGCTTAGGAAAGGGGAGGGAGGGCCTCTAAATTAACCTCCCTGTTGTTGCCCATTGAGGATTACAAACAGCGCAGTTGAGTCACCCAAACATCAACGAATTTGGTCATGAGTTTTTGCTTGATAGCGGGGGTATAAGCAATGTATCTTTGGTGCCTTAAATAGAGAAAGTGCAAAAGATTTGAAAATACAGCAACTAAAATTGAGTAGAAATGGGACAGTGGATAGGTATTTGTATCCTCAAGCAGCTTTTTCCTCCTCTATCAAAAGTACATTCTAGGTAAATCTACTATAGCTGTGTTTCTTCATGATGGATAGGCAATCACGGATGTATGAATGTTCAAGGAAATCCAACACTACGGGTTGGTATGGTCAAGGAAAAGTGACTAGAGCGTGACCTGAGTTCATAGGCGAGCTTTTGAAGGAAGGATCTCTCTAGGTTCCTTCTCTGGCTCCTGGAAGTGTCTAGATCTCAATGAAAAGAAAAACCCCGCGGGCCTCTATTTCCGAGCCGACAACGTCCTATTCTGTATAAGCAGTCAGTTCTGCGAGCTCGTGGAATAATTGACAGAGGACTCTAAAGTTTATAGACGGCCAAATGCTAATCTCACCTTCTATCTGGGCTTCATTAGCTGGCTAAATTGGCCTAGGTCGCCATTTCATCTGATTTCATCGTCCTCCAGAATTATTGTCCTTTTCGAAGTAAAGTTCTCAAACGCGAGCGAGAAGGACTAAAAACTCAATTGGGGCTTATCACGTGGAAAATATCGGGACAGGTATCCTGGAATGTAAGATACCTGGTCGTTACTCTATACACACCTCTCTTAGAATAAAATTATTCCAAAAACGTCGTACAACTAAAATAGTTCTACAAAGAGCTTAAATAATTGTTAACTCTTACTTTTTACTAACCTAGCTATCCTAAGACAATTATCTTACTTGTAATATAAGTTTAGTATAATAAAGTTTTATATAGTGTGTACAGAGTAACAACCAGGTGTCTTACACGCTACTTCTACGGAACGAACTTGAAAACAGCTAGGACCACGGGAACACTCCCGTCTCCCAACCTCCTGCCCTCCTGTACTCCTGCCTTCACTTATTCCTAGATAATCGCGACAGAGACAGCGACAACAATAGCTAGTTGGAATACAATAGTCGGGTGGGGGCACGGGGAAGGTAGGCAGTGGCAATAAGGATAAGCAGGGGGCGATAGTAAGGTTTTAGCTAGGAAAGCCAGTTCTGGCTCTGAGGGGAGGTCTAGAGCAAACAATTCAATTTGGTTTTTCTTATATGACAAGAGTGTAGATTGTTTGTCATGTTTTGGTTGGTTGTTGGTTGTAGACTAGTGGCCCCGTCCGTTCAAGTCCGTTCCGTACCTAAACTTCCACAAAAAGAAATCTTGGAGTAATCCGCCCACAACAAACAAGAAGCTTGCTATCTGAATGTACAGACGAACACAGAAATGCCACCAGCCACAAGTTTGATCACAACTAAGCCCGGGGAAGCTGTCCTACCAGCTGAGAAACACTCAATCACTTTTCATCTCCCGGAATGGAGCCATCTCTTACGCTTAGCAGAAAAGGACCCTTTTTTGTTCAGTGAACTCAAAAGCGTTTACCCACGGGTCATCATACATCCTGATGTGAAGCTGGTACGATCTAGTTCCCCTTGTTTGCCAATCCAATCTGACATGGTCAACTAGCTATTCAAAGCAATTCTTGAATTTGCAAAAGTACCAGAGGGCTCAGGTTCATTGGTTTTCACGTCTCCCAGGTCAATAAATATGTGTATAGATTTTGCTACACGCTCTCCTCCTGTTGCTCTAAATGAGGCCCCGGCGGAATCCATTAGCAGTGCAGAAATTGATCATCGAGTCTTTGAGATTCAAGACACCAAGACAAAATTGCATGCCATCATTTTCCCCTCTTCAAAGACGAGTCTCCTATTGCCTTTCTGGCAAAACACGGGAACAGGAATAAGCACACGCCTTGCAGCCCAGTCTCTGAGTCATATCGATTCTATTTCAGAGCTCGCACCTCAAAATTACCCTCCTAAATCTTTTGCATCCGGCGCACACATCGAAATCAAAGACCGTATTGCGAGCTTGCTCGAAAGAGAGACACCGGACCGCCGCGGAATCCCAAAGTCTCAAGAGAGGATGTGTACCTTTTTCAAACAGGAATGACTTCTGTTTTTCAAGTACACAGATATTTGAATTGGCCAAACCATAGCAGTCAAAAGACTGTGCTCTTCGGCTCTGCTTTCCAGGCCACTATCCATATATTCGAGGATTTTGGACCAGGGTATAAACTTCTCGGACGCGGTACGGATGATGAGCTGGAAGCGGTCGAGGAATTTTTGAAATACGAAAAGGAAGAGGGAAGACATGTTCAAGCTATCTGGTGCGAATTTCCCACCAATCCAAACCTCACAGTCCCCAATCTCTTCAAGTTAAGGCAGCTAGCGGATGTATACGGCTGTCTTTTGATCGTCGATGACACCATTGGTTCCTTTTGCAATGTCGATCTTTTTGGTCCTTCAGGGGTCGATATCCTCGTGACAAGCTTAACCAAAAGCTTCAGTCGAATCGCCAATGTGATGGGTGGCTCAGCAGTCTTGAACCCGCTTCGTCCACGATATGAAACCTTGAAAGAGTTATTCAATCGCCTGTACGAGAATGATGTCTGCTCCCTCGATTCAGAAGCACTAGCCAAAAATAGCAGAACCTACCTCTCCACTTCTCAAACCTGCCAAATCATAACCGAGAATCTCATCTCCTTCCTTGTCGGCAAGGCCAATTCTCCCACAAGCGCAATAAAATCTGTCTTCTATCCTACAACAAACCCCGAACCACTAGCAAATTTCGACCCATGGAAACGCCCCGATACCCCTGAGTTCAAGACCGGTTATGGGTGTCTTTTCAGTCTTGAGTTCGAGAGCATAGAGAAGATGAGGGTGTTCTACGAGACTGTGCAAGTTCATATTGGACCTCATTTCGGGGCAATGAGAACTCTGATGTTTGCGTATGTCAAGCGGCTATATAGCAGTCGGCTGGATTGGATCGGGGACTTTTGGCTCAAAGAGACGATGTTGAGGATCGCGCCTGGGTTAGAGGAGAACTTGATGGAGGTGTTCAGAGAAGCTGTGGATATTATGGACGGAATTGCGGGAGCTGCCTGAGTCTATTATCATATCAAGTCTTTAAACACGACATATTTCATATTTAATTGAGCCAATATATATTCAAGGCACACCGGCTCTACTACAAACCAAAATTTCCAAGAAACAAAAAATAGCCCGCCCGTCAAAACGACCTTCGCAACTCAATACGTTGAGCCTCCACTGCATTCTGATATGCTCTGATCCAGATAATCGCTATCCACAAGAAGCACAAGTATAAAAAAACATCCCCATTACCGGTAGTTACAAACTCCAACCTCGCTTAACCCCTTAAACCCCTTTCCCACCTCGTTTCCCCTGAATGATTACTTCACTCAGCATCAACAACTGACGTAGGCATCACAGGTCGAGTTCTCATGCTAAAACTAGGGAACCCACTGAATGATCCCGTAGGTCTAGGAGGGAATGGGAAGGTCCCTGTAAAGCTCGGAAGGGAACCTGTGAAACTTGGGAATCCGCTGGGGAATCCGGTGAAAGTGCCCATGGGAAAGGGTGGAAATGTACCTGTGAAGCTTGGGAAGGTGCCGGTAAAGCTTGGGAAGCCACTTGGAAATCCAGTGAAGGTGCCCGTAGGAAGCGGTGGGAAGGTACCAGTAAAACTCGGCAAGCCACTAGGAAAGCCACCAGTTGGGGAAGATGGAAATCCTGTGAATGTGCCCGTTGGAAGCTGACGCCCAACTATTTCGTCCTCCTGCTCCTCTGGCTCTTCAGGCTCTTCAGGCTCACCAGACTGAGTTGGAAACGGTGGCCAGGAGAACGTCGGAATCCCTGTTGGGCGGGTGAAGGAGAAGGAACCCGTGGGATGAGGGATAGAGAACGAGGTTGGTCTTGGAGCGGAAAACGTCGGTATCCCCGTCGGACGAGTGAAACTGAAGCTGCCAGTTGGTTTTAGAATGCTCAACGTAGGCGGCTTCGGGATACTGAATGGACCGGTTGGTCGAGTGTGGGTTCCACTTGGTCGAGGAGGGAAGGTTGGGACGGGTGGTGATAAAGATGTAGGAAGAAGCTGATCAACTGGTGCAGCGTCTACGAGGCAGCTCGGAGATATATTAGCTAGACCATGTAACTGCCGAAGTAAAACTTACTTGACCGAGAGGAGAGCTGCAACGAGAAGGGCCTTGGACCCCATTGTGAAAGTTTTCTTTGGTATGAAGGTAGGTAGATATCAAACTCAAAAGTGTCCCAAGCCTGTGTTTTGTCGTTTGTAAAAGGATACTCGATGGAATAAAGTCAAGATTTATATAGCTTTTCAAGGGTATGTCTCCAACCAAGATGGTGTTGTAGATAGAAACATGTCAACGGTCCGACGGGAGTCGGAGAATTATCCGCAGGAATAAAGTAAATGGAAGCGAGGAAGAATGACGTTTTTCGTTTTTGGATGAATGGCATCTCGTTAACTTGAAAAGGAAACAGTTCTCTACTATGGCCGATGGCTTATCAAAGGCAGATTCCAGGAAGGCCACATGACTTTTATCATACCAGCAGCTTAATCTAAAGTATTGTCGCAACTGAGCGATTAATGGAGTATTGCACTCTGGCATATTGCAAAAGCGAGAGACGAAGAAGAGGCTCAAATCCAAGTGGCTGCTCGCTCTTTAACCAGATTATCTTGATATATCAGCAGTGAGAACGAAATAAGCATTGGTTGCAGATACTAAATTGCGGTACATAGAAACAAGCATTTCCAATAAACTTGAAACTGGATATTTCCCTTGGATTTGGACCATTAGGATTAATGTTCTTTTGAGGCTGGAAATAATCCATCAATTATAATTGCGTCAGTGCAGTTATTGTCGGCAGATGATCTGAAACTCGCTACGAGAAAAAGGAGATCTGCCAAAATGTATCTCGGTTACCAGTTGCCTTGGCGCATAAGCGAATTTCTTGCGGATAATGTCCAATGTCACCCGAAATATTGACTGCCCTTCTTTGAAAGTTAAGCAAATTTGCGAACTTCGGATGGCAAATAGTTAAAGGTAACTTCTGTTTCTGCCTGATAATTCCCGTAATCAACAAAGGCAGTGTAGAAGGAGAATAGGTGTGTAAAGAGAGCCATTCAAATCTTGGACGATGACGGTTGCCAGTGTACAAAGTAAACCACCGCGAGCCCAGAATGGGCAACCGGAGAACTAGTACAAGAAAATTGAATGATGTAGACAAGGTGTTCTGTTACGTGATGGAAAATTGTAAGGTGCAAGCTACGGCTTCTGCCCTCCTCGAATAGGATTCAATACAATTGATCTTCGAGTTACGCAAATCTGGACGCCGTATTGAAATGGAGCAAAATACAATTCTAGAATGAAATTTGATATACCTTGGATAACAAATTAAAAGGACCCACACATCCCAAGGCGGTGTATTGACAGCGGCGATATGCAACCCTAGGTATGTAAGTCTTACCTAGGTAGGCATTGCTACTATCCCATGTACCACCAGCGGCGTCAAGTCTCAATACCTACTTAACCGTCACACGGCTTGGCTAAAGTAATTCATGAAATGGAGAGTCAGGAACACCTCTTCCTTTGCCCAAGTGAGACTCGCCAATCGTGCGGGTGGCTAGACAGACCTTCAGGTGGAAGTGCGCACCTGTGGTGTGCAAATGTCGAAGTCGCTCCTTCCTTCCAATTAGTTTCAATGACCTCCAGGTTAGCCTCGACCCATGCTCGAGTGACAAGGTCCTTCTCAACTGTGACAAATCTGCGAGTGCAGGTGCGGGTGAGCCTTCAAAATTCGAATCGAGTCCCACGATGTCGGGACCTGCAGGTGAACCTCAGGAGGCAAGCTCAAGAGCTCAATCTCGCTCCTTCCTCAATACCCCCATGTCCAAGGTGGTCCAATCAAACCTCCAAATAGCGATGAAAGCCACAGTACCGAATCCACGAATAGCGAGCAAAGATACATATCAGAACAAACAAGAGGCTAGAGCGGATAACAATGAACACCAAGATATTAAGCTCCCTCAAAGTTTCATATCGACAAATAACACCCCTTCCTCCCAGCAAATCAGTAGAAATGGTCAAGTGGAGGGGCCACTGATATTGCTAGATATACCAACTTCCTGAACTCAGACTTAGTCAAAGAGATGTAGGGATGCAGAGATAGTCCGAGCATTGAGCTTGTTTTTTTGACGTTTTTTGGAAGGGTTTTTTAGTTTTTTGGGGGAAGGGGAGAAAGATGGGGATAGGGAGGGAGTGAGGTTGAGGTATGGAGGGGGTGGAGGTGCGGGAGTGAATAGAATAGAGTAGGTGTAGCGCGTAAGACGCGTCGTCGCTTAATTAATCATACCAAGACAAGCGAGAAGTGGGTAAGTGTGTTCTCGAAGCGGGTGGTCCCTCCCAAGCCAAGGCCCCGACCTCAGGGTCCTCGTCTCGACCGTCCTTGACTTGTCGCCCTAAGCACTGCGCCCAAAACCAACTGCAGGTGAGACGACACAAAGGGAAGGCACCACCGTTCTCCTCGCAGAGTACAACCCCCCCCCCCCCTGCCCTCGCCCTCCCCGTATATTGACTTTTTGACCCTCGAAAGTTTGTCGAGGGGGGCAAGGGGGGTGGTGAGAGTTGATAGGTACCCAAGCACAGAATGCCAACTGCACCTACCTAAGTATATACTATCACGCCTTCACAGCTCTAGTTCTTCTCTCATTCGCTACAAACTCATTATTCGGATCTATGATATGCTGCTGCAGAACCCCGAATGTGAATCGAGATCGCTTCCATCCCAACGCCCATGCAATACTTCTATACACACAAACCCAGCTTACTGCAGTTCTCCTCGCGTTATACAAAATGGGATGGATGTGTAATTCATCCGCTCGAACAAAAACACAATATGGACAAACAATCGCGCCACGAATAAGCTGACGGCTGCCATTGAGGGAATTCAAAGCGCCGTATTCGTTCCTTTTCTACAGATCCCCCAATCCTATATCATGGTCTAAGGTCGTGCTCATTAATATCCATGACTTCGTTATTTTGGCCGACCGGGACCCTGCTCAAGGGCCTCGCCCACCACTTTCACCCCCTGCAAGATTGCTGTAGCTGTACTCGTCTCCCTCCTCGACTTCTGTGAGTCGCAAGGCTTGGTCAACACTGGCTACAAAATGGCTCTTGCCTCCAGCGATTTCAAGGATACCACTTCTTTCAAACAATTCGTAGATAGGAGTTCCTTCGTTAGGTCCTCGTGAGAAGAATACTCGAACCCCGCGGTCTCGATACCCACGCACAATCTCCTCGAGCACTTGGGTGCCACTACCATCTAGGCCGGTGACTCCATGAATATCGAAAATAATATTCTTATTATGCTCCGGCGCCCTTACTCGCGGCAATGCAGGATGCGCACCTGTTGTGCCATAGAGCTCGAGTCTTCGCAAGCGGTTTTTCAGATCTCCTGTGTTGGCAAATGTCAACGGCTCGGGAATCTTAACAATCAAACAGCCTTCAATAAATTCTAGTTTATCCGGATTGACCTCTGCATTCGCGAATCGATTGGTTCCTGGGATTCTTCCCATAATCTGGATTCGTGGTCGGGTGCTATGTTTGATAACAGAGAGGAGGGATAGTCCAACACCGATCGCTATGCCTAGCGTGAGTGAGTAGAAAATTGTAGCGGCGAAAATTATTGTCATCAGTGCTAGCTCCGAGAATCCTCTAATTCTGATGAAAAACATAATGTCGTGAGGTGCCTCTTCAATGAGGGACCACGCCACAACTGTAATCATTGAGGATAAAACCGCTTTCTAGATATTGTTAATTTTGTAACATGGCACGAAAACTCAACTTACTGGAAGATAGTAGAATGCTGGCAAAAGGTACAAAACGCATGTAATGGTGATGATACTCAGAAGTATACTACTCATGGGCGTTTTGCCACCAGTGCTGGCGTTGACTTTACTCCTTCCATAGCCACCAAAAGCAGGCAGAGCACCGAAACATCCACCCACCAAATTAGCAACTCCAAGGGCAACTAATTCTCGATTTGGACTCAAGGCAATTCCCTGGATGTCGTTCTTACCTTCTCCTCCACCCAGGCTCTTGGCAGCGACCGAGGATTCGAAGAACCCCAATAAGGCGATGAGAAATGAGGTGCTCATTGCTTCACGAACATGATGCATGTGTCCAGTCTGAAAGGGCCAGTGGAAAGGAAAGGGATTTCCTGACTTTGACTTGACTTCACCTAGGATTTCAAGACCATACTCGTCCCATCGAAGTTGCCAGCACAAGATAGCTGATATTACAACGACACAGAAACGATCGGGGATGTACGCCACCGAAGGATAGCGCGGTTGTAATCGTTTCTTGGACTCCCTGCACAAATGTCAGACTTTCCTTCTTGTGTATTCGAATGAAGACACCTACCTAAAAATCATGATGATAAGGAAACTTATCCCAGCTACTGCAAAGGTTATCCCGGATGCGTTATGGGCATTTTTCACCAGAAATCTGATCTTGTCGACACTGCTGCCGTGTGAAACACCTCCAGCTTGCTCTGCAAGATGTGCTAGTCCCAATTCAGGTATGAGCTGGTCTACAACAATGACAAAACCAATGGCTGAGATGAAACCTCGTAGAAATGGTCTGCTAAGCACGCTGTCTAAAAATCCCAAACGTGTAAGACCGGCAACAAAAATGACAGCTCCCGCCATCCCCGTCACTACACCAGCAACTTGTGCATGCATTATCTCATCGTTTTCTGGTGTTTGGCTCTCATCTATACTGGATCTAACCACGCTTCCCACTAGTAAACTACCAGCAGCTTCAGGGCCCACTACCATTTGTGGACAGCTTCCGAGTATTGCATATATTAGAGGATTGAAAACAAAAGAATATAGTCCGTTAATTGGTGGGATATGGGCGAGATTCGAGGCATACGATAGAGCCATTGGAAGGTAGAAGGAAGCCATTGTCAGGGCCGCTACCAAATCACCCTGAAAATGGGCCCATCTATATTGCTGAATCCATGCAAAGAATGGTATGTAATATGTAACGTACCTGAGAGGGCACAGAATGTTAGCAATCCATCAGGCTTTTTTGAAGAATCTGAGTGAATGGGTTTCGGAACATACATGGTAGTTGTATTTTTGACTCCATGTCTCTCAGCGAGGTATTGAGTGGTGCTCATTCTCTTCTTGCCGGTGCCATTCCTCATGCCGATCCCCTCGAGTATGGTACCAAACATGCTGCTACTCGACCCAGCTCTTTCGGGGCCATCTCTTGGAGCAGAGCCACCGAACCCATAATCATTCGTTATGCTGCCCGTTCTGCTTTCCAGAGTAGGACTAAAGGTGCCATGATCACACTGCCCTGCGTGTGCCGTGTTGGTAGAGAATTCGAACGGCTTCCTCAATAATGAGGTTGTTTCTCCAACCGGTCTGCCTGCCAATCCCGCAAATCCGTGTGCCCGCTCGCTTTCCGCCTCGTCAGCAGCAGCAGGATCCGTATCTAAGTGCGATGGATATATATTGGGCGAAGCGTTGGCGCTGCTCTCACCTGTGCGACCTCCCGAGACACCTGTGTCTCTGATACTCTCTGGCGACTGAGAGAGGGTATATGCTTCCCGGAGACCACTAGGGTTAGCAGGAGCATGTTGATGCGTCGCTTGGCTGATCGAAGGGGTACGGTTCGAGTCGGAAGAGGTTGGTCTTCGCGAAGACATGGTGATTGAGGGAAAATTTAGGTAGGGTTTGTGGATGTGAGCAATGCATTCAGGCCAAGACCATGGTGACCTGCATGGAGGTTAGACTCTTGTATATCGTAGATTGCAAGATGGTCTTGAGCAATGAATATCGGGAAGCTGATCGAGACTGACAATAATGGGGGTATTTGGTGTTTATGAAATATTGAAGGTGGGTCTGGGTTACTTAGTCCAGAAGCTCCAAATAGTACTGAGTTACTGAGTAAGGTTCAGGAATCAGGCCGAGGTCTCAAATATATCCCTATCGCTATCGGTCAGCTGGGCATACTTCAACTCACCAAACTCGAGTTCTGGTCGAAGAAGAAAAATTTCATGCGTGACTCGATCCCCTGATTTCAATTGACTTGTTTTCTGCCATTGAATCTCCATTAAGTAAGGAAGCCTTTTCGATGCGCAGGGGCTGGATTTCTCTAGAGCAAATTTCAGCGCCCATTTCCGTACAACTCAAATGGTCACCGTAGCCGGCTAGCTCAGCGAAAAAGCGGCACTTGGAATCAAGAAAGGCTGGGCTGCATACGGCATTTGGCATGGTTCAATGGTTGACCACTCACAGATGTCGGGTTGTCACATATGCGGGGGTAGGTTGACCCCGATCGAGAAATAAATCCTTGAAGATTGTCAACGAACACAAAGTAATTACTTATGGTGCCCCTTCACTGCAAATAATACAAACCCAGAGTCTATACCACGTGGCTTACATGCTCAATAGCTAGCCTGGAGGTAGGTAACGTCTCAAACAGATTAGTAAGTTGTCAGTCTCTTCGTACTTTTTTCATGTTCGCTTAACATCTCACCTCTCTACGGAGTGTCCGAACAACAAGCTCAACTTCTCTTCGCGGTTATCATTTCAGTCTCTCTACTCTATCAAATATGCCACCTGAAAGTGATATAGCCACATTTCGATTCTTGTTGAGCATGCTAAACTGGCAATTGTGATTGTTGGTCTCGGACGAGTACTTTCATCGTAGGCAGTGTAAATTTCAAGGCGTGAGTATATGGCTCTCCATTTTGCGTTCCTCCATTCATTCTCGTCTTGTAATTAGCCCAAAGAAACATCTCTTTTCATGCAATTAAGCGGGTACTAAGATTCTGTTTTGATGGTTATTTTGTTATGTGGACGAAATTTCATCTCAATACACTTGGCCCGAAGAAGGGCCTATGATCTGAAGGCATTGAGCTATGGCAGCAACTTCTATACCCTACTTGGAATGTATTTTACCACAACGACTTTATTCATGTCATGATTTTCACGCCAAAAATCGCTAGCTGCTGGGCAGGTGTGATATGCATCATGAACTCCCATAATGACTGTGATTTAGTTTGGATTGTTCATGCTTGCATGCCTTGCAACCACATAATAATAATGAAATACTTCCAGCAATTTACAACATCGTTAAGAGCATAGTTTAATGGTAGAATATGAAGCTTTAATATTTATTTTCTCAGTTCAAATCTGAGTGCTCTTGTATTAAAAGAGGCTAGATAAACTCAGGTTTAGTTAGGGTTCCTTAGCTTAATTGGTAAAGCGTATTTCTGATAAGGATATGTTCGGAGTTCAAGTCTCTGACAGGACCCTTGATAAGATCATCTCCGGGTTTAGATCCATAGTTCCGACTATTTACGCTCATTCCCATAGACCTCTGTGCTTCAAGAACAGTTAAGTAATCTACTTTCCCTTTTCTTCAGACATCGAAATCATCTTCCGTCTTCAGATTCTCGATTTAAATGATTCTGGCAAACCACAAGGAAAACCACGATGAAGACTACTAAAAAATGAACAAGAGATTGTGCATGGTGGTTTCGAAATGCAAGGAACGTCCCACTTTATGCAGACAAGAAGCGTCTCTTAGCTTTCATGATAATGGAAACACCTTTCCCTGCGCAGATTTCGCGGGTGTAAGTTTCTTCTCTCCATGTATATAACTATATTTTGCTAATGACACGGTGGATAAAGCGCAACCATTGTTGTTAGCCTACTTGTTATGTAAAGTAGCTCGAGAGTAGTAAGGGATATCCATCTCTTAGTAGAATCTACCCCTAACAATGTTTGTGTGAGCTAGCCTCTATAGTTAGTTCGATAAGAAAGCTCTCTTATTACTCATATCAAGGGGTAATTCTTGTGTTTTGTTCCAATTTAAGCATAGCAGATGTTTCAAGGAGCTTAAACTAGGTAGGACTTTGGCTCTTCTCATCGCGCTAAAGAGTTATTTCGTTAGGAATGGAGAGATCGTAAGGGTTTCTTTTTTTCTGGGATTCATACTAAGCTAGGGCTTTAGGGAGGAGGGGTTTTGGGCAGAAATGTAACGATCATACGACTCAACCACCCTGAATTCAAGGATTCGCACGGCTTTGATATCTGTTCCCCTACGAGAACAAGTACTCAACTAAGAAAGCGCCTATAGGCAAGGTTCATAAAAGTAAATTACCTGGGTCCTATTACAGTTAGTTGAACTACCTTACGAGACAGATCAACTTCTTGAGCCTGATGGTACAAAATATAGAGGCAGGGGCTTTAGACTTTCTTTTCTTGTTATTTCTTTCTTAAAAAAAACTTTTGAGGAGTTTTATCTGTCTTTGGTACATCAGGATTCGAAAATAGAAACCGTAGTTGGGATATGGTGTCGACCGTACGCATGGCATTTACGGGAAAGGCGAGTTTTCGCTTCACAGCTCACTACAATTTGGATGTTCTTAATTTCTGGTGTGCTCCATTTGCTGTAGTTAATTGATGACCCCCAAGATAACTTGGTGCCACGTGAATAACCCGACTTAACACATACGGCTGCAGAAACCCGGTATATGAAGGCAACAGAGAAGTATTGGGGGAAGAGCAATTCGCTACGAGAGAGCTGAACGACACGCCCTTCCTTGCCCCTAGCCGAAAAATAGAGTCGAAATAGTCAAAGTAGCAAGTTCTCTGCCATTCAGGAAAATCCAACAGATGTCTGCCTTTCTTGGGAAGTCTCTGTCGAAGTGTGGATATAATACTCAAAAATATGGGAAGTTGAGGAGGATCTATTGTGCGTGCTGTAAATCTTTATATTACTTTGCTTGGCTGCCTTCTGGTAAATAAGACACTGAATCTAGATACTGCAAGAGGACCTGATGCTGTCGTCAGACTGAATCATCAATAGTCAGGCCTGAGTAATTGAGATTATTGTATTTCTTGGTGTCCACTAATCAACCCCATTTAAATAGATCTTTTGCCTCGAAGCTTTACACATTTGATAATGAGGCCCACTTCAAAATAATACGGTATTAGATCTAACAATCATTATACCAACGCCGAACACCTAAAAAGAGGAAAAAGAGGAGAGGGGAGAGAAAGAAGTGGAAAGAGGAGATAAAGGAGAGATGGTAACCGGACCCTTGAGCCTAGGTCTTTGATGAGAATGGATAGTTGAGAATCTTTTACACAGATGTGTTACTTTGACCTGATTTTCAATAGCATTACTCCCCTCACCTGATAAGAAAACTTCTCCATGTGACGTTTTGTACGTGACTAAAGTATGAGATAGCAACGCAAATTGATGAACCGTCTATATACTTCGTCCGAGGCGACATAAATGAATGCTTTTCAGGGGGGCTTACCCTTTTGCTGCTTAAGCTACCCTAGAAAACTTACATTTATTTCGCCTCTGACGAAATATTGATACCTCGAGCGTCTCCCTTTAATTTCATAAACTAACGGAGACAATAAGAGAATATATATTGCCAGCATGACCGCTCTAGCATGAATCATAAAGAGAACGGCATGAGCATGGATCTTTCCGACTGTATATAGCTGGTAAAGTAAGAGACAATCACAATCTGAAGGCACAATATTCGGACATACGAACTCGATCCGGATATGGTCGAATGAGAGCCAAGCGTCAGAAGTACCTATATGACATAGCCTGATGTTTGTGCTCGTGATCATGTGGTGTTGTTGTGAAGGTAGAGTAGTCGGTTAGCTAGGTCCTATATGTAGCCGAGATTCACCCGGCTGGGCTGGTGGCCAAAACTCTCTCTAGAGTTCTTTTATATTTCAACAACTACAGTACAAGTATTACTCCGAATAATGACCAACGGTATTTCATAATCACAGAACAACGTTTGCCGGATAGTTCGGGAAGTTTATAGAATGGAGTGTTATTTTTCACAAGTTATTTTTTCTTGGTAATTATAATTTCACGCCGTTTCCTTGCTTCTCTCGGATCTCCCAAGTTTCCGACTCGATTCCCGTCGCTTCCCCCCTTAGTCCAGATCTTGACAAGCGTTCGCGGTAGTTACTCTACTGGTGGTAGCTCCGGCACATGAGCGATGCCCAAAGTCCTGTCCCTGCCTGACTTGACTGCTGATATCCGGGCGCTGTGTCTAGTGACCTGGATACCCGGATTTTCCGGCATGCCGTCATGGTAACCACGGGGCCGATATTTGTTGTGTATCTCGGGTTCTGATGTTTGCGATTGTTTGTTATCGTGTTTTTCAAGCCTTCTCTTGGTGCTTGGTGCTTGGTGCTTCGTGGTTGGTGCTTGGTGTTGGGTATCTCTTCATAGTTCATTCATCGGTTGTCCGTCAATCCTTCAGAGTCTCTTCTTCCCTTTTCCTCTTCCTTTAAGCCCTACGCACTTGTCTCGTGATTTCTTCTGTTGCGCTGAAAACATGACTTCCTCGTAGTATGGGTAGCCGATTCGTATTTGCCTCGGGGCTGTTTGTGGGGGGGACGCCGGAGTTCTTGATGATGTTGAGGACTTTGTGGAATTCGTTGTTGAAGAGTTATATGAGTGGGAGGATTTGGGTCGGGAGTGACTTGAAAGGTGCTGCATCGAGGAGTTTGAAGAACCCATCTTGTTTGATACAGCTGGCGAGTACTCTGTGCTTTCAAAAGTTTGAAATTTGGTGGTTGAAACAGATTTGGCAGGTCAAGTGTGGTTGAGAAGAGTCAACGACCACACTCGAGGGGAAGTAAACATATATGTGTCTTTCTACTCGAGTAAACAAAGCTAGTACTGCAGTCGAAGTCTTACCGTTCCAAACGAAAACGAAAACGTTGATTCCCAAAAATCAGTGCGGATGGGGACTCATCCAACCTTAATATTCTTACACCCAAAACCACCCGCTTCCGTTTCAAGCCGCCGCTTCCTACCGGAACGGCAAAGACCCTAGAAAGTCAAATGGGGTGCCTGTCTGCCGCCCGGGTCTCAAGAGCTCCTGGAGGGGAATCTCACGATCCAACTGGCAAGTGTGCGATCTTACAGGGAACGTCTGACGTAAAACGGCACTCGCTTACCATATTCCGTCTTTTTATTGAGACATGCGAGTAATGTCTCCGACCGACCTGCTAGTATTTATCGATTTGCAATTGGCCACCAATACGTCGATCGGATAGATGTGCTTGACTTGAGTGACGAGTGCGGCGAGGTCAGGTGTTATTTTTGATAGTGCGGGGCGACTTTTGACCGACTTTCTTTCTCGAATTCCGAACATTATCGTGGGATCCAATACATCGGAACCGGTGTGGGAAAAAAACACTTCCGGCGGAAGGGGAGAGTTCATCTTACGTGGTCTTACTCGCACGTTCCAACATTTCTACCTAAAAGTCTGGAGTCACCACTCGAGCCCGTCTTACTTGCGTATTCGCAGGCTAACTGTTGGTCCAACCACCACGATTATCTGGAAGGACTCTTGAAAGTCTAAAAAACTTCCTGTCGCAGAATGATATGCATTGACCAATGGTATGCATTTCAGTGCAGCCACTAATCCTTTCTGAAGTCCTGGAAACTTTCCCCTTCTAGCATTTTGGGTCTCACCGAGTCCATGGGTCCTCAGCTGCGCTCTTCCTTCGATCCTTCGGCACGGAAATCTTGACAGCACATCACTCCTTCTATCGCAACATCGCATCGCACCTTTCTCCCAGAAATGTGCAAATGATTCGATGATGAGAGAAAACCAGTCCAGATCAACCCGTCGATTCATGATCAAACGTGAAACTCGGGACGTCATAAGAAGCATACTACTGTACTTTGCAATGCGGGGTACAGTATGGGGTAACCGAATTCATCCATCAGCCCTACCTGCGACCATCTTGGCGTAGCTTGAGTTTGAGAACATGGCATTTGTTAAAGTGCATGTCTAAATGCGGTATACGGTCGCGTAGACTTCCACTTGCAGCATCGAGTACTTCAAAGTATGATGGATTTTGCCTCCTCCGTAAGTTCACTTCAAAGTAAAAGTTTTAGAACTACTGGACCGAAACAGTTGAGGCGATGATGGTTCAAGCTTCACATAAACCAGTTTATAAATAGTAACAGGCCATCGCTTGAAGTCAAAATTGAAGCTTAGGACAGCTACAGTTCAGTGCAGTGTTACCAGTAGAGCATTCTGGTTGTCATGAATATAGGCTCTCAACTTACGGTAACCTTAATGCCCTTCGGTTTCAACTCCTTTTAAAGTTGGTCTAGATCGCTCAATCGTCAACCTTATCCCTACGCAGATACAACTTTTTTATTAACAAATTCTCAAGTAGGAAACCCCCATTTTGGAGTACTCCGCCAACTCCCAAGTTTCTCCCACAAGCAATCCCTCGAACAACTAATCCAATCATGACCACCAAGTCGCAGACTCCTCGATGGATTAAAAGCTCTACCCCACCCCAACAGGTCAACAAATTGTAATACAGTTGCTTCTCAATACCGCCCAGTAGAAAGCCAGTTTTTAAACTTCAAAATCATACGTCAAGTTGTCGCCGATTCATTGATCCCAAAAGGTTTTCTCCCGCGGGTTTTCCCCAAAACGGTCTTGTCTTGTTTGTTGCACATCGCAAAACCCAAATCTCCACTTAGTATCATTCTCGTGTCTTTCATAATATATTAAGCTTTTTCAATTGGTGGAATATCATACAGTAGAAAATTGAAACCTTTTGATAAACTTCACTCCTTGGCGTTACTACAGTAATACCCATACAGCATTTCTATGTGTGGCAAAATAGTAAAAGAGGACAGTAATCGTCTCTTGTCAATATTCCAAATCCTGAGAGCGATCGCAGAGTAGTCCATCAAATTACAGCAATTCAACTGGTACCATCACGTTTCTCAAGTAGCGCGAGATCGAGTCAATCACATTATCAAGACTTCCAATTCATAGAAAACATTGCCTTCGGTATTATACATACTACAAAGCTATCTACCATAACCACTCAAGCCACCTGCTCGGAAGGGTATCAAGTTCATCAGGCTCATCATCGCATAATCTCATGAGCCTAAAAGCAACTAGGAAGCAAAGGTAAAAAAGAAAGCAAATTGTTGACGCCAAATTCCGCTGCCAGACACTTCGCCATGTATGGTTCACCATTGTGGGCTCCATCTCCAATGACAGTGCCAGTAATACAACAAACATAGCAAAGATGAAAGCAAAATCCTGCCATGGTAATCTGACTCCAAATATTTCTTCGCAAAAAATCAGAATAACTCTCGCCATATCCCATGTTCTCCGAAAGAAATGGATACAATATATTTCCTCTCGGCTCATTTACCATATTTCACGATAGGCTTGGCAGGCTTTAATGGTTTTTGAGGACGCTGCTTTGTTCGCACGACGGTCTCCCATTCATCATCGTTCTCATCTCGGACGGCAGGCTTGATATCTTCGAAAACTTCTCGTGTTGTGACTCTGACGGTATTTTCGACATTAGACAACGGTCGAGGGTCATTCTGTACAATAGCTGACCACATGTTGATCTGATTGGGATCGTGTTTCTCCACCAATTGACTGAAAATAATAGGCTTGCCGTACACTCTCGGTGAGCTCTTTGTTACAACCATCATCTCTTTACCAAATGATGGTGTCTTCGTCTTCTTGCGCTTGGCAGGACCATCAACAACTCGGAGCATTGAAGTGTTTGGGGGTTTGACCGGGCCAGCTATAATGCGGAGAGTGGGAGTCATGACCGGCAATTTATTAGGCGTTGCAACTGGCACTTTGACGACGGAATCCTCAGCGAGTGTCTCGAGCGAATCAGCAAGGGCAGACAGCGAAATGGCACCTCCTTGCGAAGAATCTTTGATGGTATCAACAATATCTTCAACATCCTTGGTTTCGAGGGCGCAGTCTTCAAGTTTTGGACAAATCTTTTGCCCAGTTGCCCAATCTATACCTTGTCTCGTATTTTCCATATGATATAATGCGGTTTTACCAGCCCATCGTATAAAGCCTTCTTTTCTCATCTCAGTCTCCTGGTCTTCTCTATATATGATATCGAGGTCATCTTTGATGGCGGCGACGAGTTTTGTAGCGAGTTCCTTTCGTGCTTTCGAGTTCACTAGAGGATTAACTATTTCAACTCCGAGGCGCACGAAAATCTGTGGGTCAACACCGTTATACAGATCCGACTTCTTGACGCTATCTGGAGCATATTTGCGGGAACCTCCTCCAAAGCTCGAGTAATTGATCGGCGCAGTGAAAAACTTGGCGACTTTTCTTTGTCGTGGGGTCATATCGTATGCTGTCTTAACGATTCCATCGAAATCTTCGACTTCAACCAAGAGATCTTCCACATCTTCGTCTTCAAAAACTTCAGTTTCGATCCCTTCATTGTTGTATTCAGAACATGGGCTCGAGTCTTTACTGCTGTAGACGTATGTACCTTCCCAAGCTCCTTTGCTTTCGAGAATGGTGAGATGGATTGATTCGCTGATGAAATCAACCTCTTCCCTCGGAAATGCCTCCACATTTGCTTTGTTTTTTGTTTTATTATTCCCTGCCTTTTTTGCTTTTTTCCTGGCTTTTCTTGTTGTTTTGAGATCTCCACCAACGCTTTCAGTGCTGGTTTCAGTAGGTGAAGTTGTGATACTTGCTGTGAAAGAACCCCTGCGTTCTGAGGTTTGCATTCCTATTTTCGCGCAAAGATTGATCGAAGTAGCACCATCAATGGCAGATATTTGGCGGAGAATTTTGAGAATATCCTTATGTCTGTTGTGATGCATTTCGTCCGAGGTGTTGCAACTAAAGAATTATCAGCCCACCAAAAAGGTCCTGACAATGGATTGAAGTAGAGCCCTACCCGAAACATTCATGGCTTTTGCCTAACCAAAGATTCAATTAGCAGATTAACCAAAAATAAAATCAACAAAAATAGTTCACAAAAGACGCATAGGACCCATGCACCCATTGAAAACCTACCAACAAAATGCAATTGCTGGTGAAAGCGGTAGCAAGGCTCAACATGTTTTCCAATGCAAGTAGTTTTGGCTCTGGAATCTAGATCAATTGTTAGACAAGACTCTGGGGGTCAATTGGCTTTGACACGTACTGTGGAGTGGAGTGGCACATATACCACAGTGGTGTTCTGGAAAAACTCCAGTTAGCTACAGTACCAAGAGAGAACGACATGTGGATGGAACGCGTACCAAGACCAGGAGAGACTTCCCAGCGGAATAGGTTCTTGCCTTTGTAAAGGCGGCTTTCTGGCGCAATTGTTGCCCAATTGATACTCGCCATGGTTAGAGAGTACTATACTTGACCTTCTAAGTTGGTGGTACAAATCTTGATCTCAATTTGGTCTTGAGACCAGACAAGCGAGGCAGAACGCGTCAAAGGGCAGAGGAGAATTGATTGCTGTAGAGACTGTTGTGTACCCAAGGAAGGGATCAAATGTGGAAAAATCAGTGTATTGTGCGGAAGAGTCGACCTATCAAGATATCGCGATCGATCAACAATGCCAGTGAATTAGATCGATCTTCCTGTCTATCTGTATAGAGACTGGCAAGCAGGTGGACGTGGTGAGCAGGTAAAAGAGCGATTCTGTTGGGTAACCTGCAGTTTAGCGTCCAAGGCTTGTCGGCAAGAATAGTCTTTTCTGCTCTCCGAGTATGAATGCAAGTGCGGGTGTGGGCGCGGGTGTTGGAGAGATGAGCAGAGGAAGGTGGGGAGGGGGGTCGACGGGATGTTGCTTTTTGAATCGCGACTTCCCCCTACCCCCTATCCCCTGCCCCCTACACCCCTAGCCACCTACCTACGGAGGTATACCACTCGATTGCTTAGTGACCCGGGCCTTGGAAGGTTGCCCCGACCACGTGATGCAAGTATAGGCGGAATCTCTACTGGACGTGAATTTTCAAGCTGCTGGCCTATACATCGGCGGAGATGAAAATTGGCTTTCTCTCCGGCTTCAAGTTTCTGGGCTATTAAAGGTGTCTTTGAAAAGAAACCCTTACCGCCATTTCTGTACATCCCGTGAAGGTCGCCATTCATACGGATAGCCACTTCACAAACATTTACCTCGCTTAGATACTGCACTTGGCGTGTCAAGGCTTTCTCTCAGCAATGTCTTTTCTTCTTATTACCAAGCATTCTCCTAGAAAGTTACAGGTATTGCTCGGAAAGGTCTAGAAGAATGTTCCTTACCCTTATCATAGCAGACTTGTTATTTTCCGAGTATCTCAAGGGAATTGGAGAGATTGTGAAGGTGTGTTTGCACAAGAAGCCCGAACTAGCCAGGTTCCAGCTAAATGAGCAAGTAGGTCTCACATCGTAATCGAGAGTCTACTTGCAACCGATTGACCGGATTAATACATCCTTGATTCCATTGAATGTATTAAAAAGACATCATATTGAAGAAAAACTGCTGTTCAAAATCGTACATCGCAAATGAGCTCCAAGCTTTTCCGGAAAACTGATCTTTCATGCAAATTAATGGAGAAGTTGAATCCCCGTTTCAAAAAAGCCACTATCTTGGCGTTGAACCGTTCATGGCACATTGCCTTTTTTTCTGGCGACTTTTGGCTTGGTTAGAGATCACGTACAAGTCGGGCACCAACCCAAGCGTATAGATAGTGTCGCTGATACCAATTGATGCTGGTTTCTTGTTAGTATTGGCACGGTAACTTTAGATTGAATTGGCTTACAATGTTCTACGTCCAGCAATTCGTGGGTGCGTGGCCCACGATCCTCCAAGTACGATGTTGTGTTTGCCGTCAAAGAAATCCGCTGTTTCATAAAGAAGTTAGTAAATTTCCTCCAACCATGCCATGTATATATTTTCCGGAAAGGGGGATTAAATTACCAGTGTATTCAGGATAAAGTGGCATTGGCTCAAATCCGTCATGTTTTTCAAGTGGGGAACTGGTCCATTCCCACACCCCGCCCATTTCAGATTGACCAGCGAGTTTATTACCATGGGCTGTGATGGCAATAGGATGCCAATGTTTAAAACCAACATTGGCTCCCTCGAGGTTGGTAAAGAGTTCCTGAGAACTCCTACCATTTTGGGAAGGGGAGTGTGGTGGACTCTCTTCTACGCCATCGTTGAGAAGATGCCTACGAAATGAGTCAGTCATGAACCAAAAGTGATTCCATAATCCTTACCCATTAACAGCAGGAACTGTCTTGCCTAGATGACGTTCAGCTTCCTCCCGTCTGAGACTATCAACGTGGCTATATATGCTTTGTGCTTCCTCAACAGTTGGAATTCTGCCGCCCATGAAATTCGCGCAACCAAGAAGCTCATCATATGATGCGAAAACTGGCCAATCCAAAGCAAACTTCAAAGGGACTAGACCATAAACAGTTTTGACAAATTTCCCTTCTAAGAACGGTTTCTTCGAAGCTGCGATATCGTGACCATTGGAGTATCCGTTGAGGTGTCCATTGACGTTGGAATGAGCTGAACCGTCTTCGGACCAGGAAACAGGTATTTTAGGATTGGCAGATTGTTCGAGGTATAGCGCATACTAGCATGTATATATCAGTAAAATAAATAAAGTAAGCAGGTGGCTGATCTACCTCTCCGTTGGTAATGGCTCGCCCTTGTGCTTGGAAAGCTGGCACCGAAACCTTTCTTTGCGGCTTCTCATTATCCCTATCCGATATTGTTACTCATAAAGCCTGATGTAGAGTTTTCATCGACTCACCAACCAAAGTGGACATCACCTTTCGAGTTGTCTTCCGGGTCCTCGAGGCCAATGACAATAGTCTGCTTCGGAATATCAAACCATTCATTTGGAACCCGCGCTTTCTCGGCTAGTCTCGCATCGCCCTCAAAGTCGGGTCTCAGGGTCGTTGGAGGGAGCGTTCGATTGCTTTGTAATATCATATAAAGCAGAGTCTCCAAATGCAGGATCTCATGCTCGAATCCCATCCACAAAGCTCTCCCAATATCGCGAGAGACGTGGCTCGATTTGCGAATCTTCCGAATCTTGCTGCGAACTGCTGTTTGGTACTGAAGGATTTCCTCGAGGGGAGGCCACTCGTCGGGGATTTCTGAGTGAGCATGACAATGCTCGGGATTATCAACGTCTGGATCAATACCTCTTTCAAAGATTTTCGGATAGTGAGATGGTTCACATGGAGATTCCTTGGTGACTTTGTTGAGCTGAATGTCCACAAAAGTTGGGATGTGTCCGAGGTAGAAGATACAAGCATTTCTCAGCTTAATAGGCTTCTCAAGTAGCTCTTCTTCAGGAAGCATTCCTCTCGTAACGATATCCCAAGCTCTCCAAAGACCTTCCCAGTCTTCCAAGTTTGGAACAGTGGATTTCGCGTACACCGCAGGATTTGTATGAAAAGCCATTTTTTCCTTGACAAGATAATGAATGCCTGTCACAAAGAAGATGGTTAACATGGGTGTTCTAGAATGTGCACATCTATATGGTGGAGAGTGAAAATTCCACGATGCTAAGCTTGCAACAAAATGCAACACCACTTCACTCAACGTATGTGAACAGGAGACTTCTAAGCATATAGTAGATCTGTCTTATTCATGAAGACCACTATACATTACCCTCAACTGGTGATGTTCGTGCTAATCATCACATCAAGATTAGACATTTTAAATGACATACAAGGATGTGGTTGGTGCAAAAGAAATCAGATGTCAGACCCTGGAATTTTCCACTTACTGTAATTATCTGATGTGGCTGTCCAATGATTGGTTTGCTGCAGACCAGCTGCTTCCCAAAGTTCCACAGCATCTTTAGCAGAATATTTCAAGCTTTCCTCAACTTTGACTCTTTCTTCGGCTTTGATCAATATATCCTTGTACTTTATGTTGTGTTTTGGAGCATATGAGGCTTGATGACGGCTGCCAGTGCTGTCATAAACGTATTCCCCAATGACGTCCCAGTCATTTGGGTCGAAAGCTTGCTCACCAAGTAGATGGTTTGCGTGGACTAGACCATTCATGATAAATCTATGGCAATGTCAGAATGAAAAAAAGGATCTTTCCATAGGGAGATCGGACCTACGAGTGATTCCTTCCCGATCTACATAACAGTATTAGTTTCCTGATCCTCATACGCCCAGAAGAGAATGAAAGAAAGTGGTATCTGGGCCGCAGACAGGGACCCTGAATGGAAATGCAGCTGAAACTAAAGCTGCCTGCCTGCTGATTTGACTAGAGTTGTTGCATTCGTCATATCACCCTCCATCGATACCAAAGCAGCTCGCTATGGAACAGATCAGTGGTCGTAATAGCCTTATTATCCTAGCTCTCTAGAATAATTCTCGGCTATTCTAAACTTCTGGGACAACTAGAATTTTATGGAGCATTGTAGATCAAATAAAACAATTCACCCAAATATATGGGTTCAATTACTTGATCAACCTTGACAATCAGAATAACGGGAATCGTGTTTACTGTGACTCCTTTGTCTACCGTAAGAACAGCAAGTTGAAAAAAGAGATTGGCTGCTTTATTGACATCAGGTAATTGGAAACGTACCATTGTAAGCGTGACTAAAAATACGTGTAAGTTTCATCCAGTTTCTTGGTACTAAGAAACTTACTACACTTTTGCAGAGTCGCTGGTCGCATCCAGCCCAATGAGAATTGAATCAGATGGACTCAAAACATCTGTAAACCCCTTCAAGAATTCTCGCGCGCCTGGGCGGCTGAAATTGCCTATCAAATAGGTTAAATGCCGATATTAAATAGAGGAGTTGAGTCTTTAACCAATGCTGGATCCAAGAGACATGATGCACTTCGCTTTGGAGCTATTCTCAGGCAATTTGAGCCACTCGAGGCCATCATCGTATGTGCCGTGCAACCCGTGGCACTTCACATATTTGAATTCTGGAACCTGCTCCAAGGTACGAATCAACTCATCCATGGAAAGGTCCAAAGCATAGTAATCAATGTCTTTTCCAGCGGCATCCAAAGCCTGAAGTAAGATACTTACCTTCCGCAAATTACTGTTGTTTGTTAGTCCGGGAACGAAGAAAACCCTCTGACAGTCACCAACCCACTACCTAGCTCGACAACCATAGAGCCTGCCGGTATGGTTTTTGCGATATCGCTAGCATGGTGTTTGAGAACATCGATTTCCGCATTGGTCAAGTAGTATTCATCCAAGTATGTTATCTGTATCACTTGTTAGTTTGATCCATATTTGGACTCGTATTTAGCACACCTCCTCAAACAACTGTAAACCACGCTCATCATAGAGTAACAATGTTGGCAAAGATTTCGATCCCTTGGATGGACGCAATGAATTGAGAATTTCATCCTTCAAGTTGATCAACACCGAGTCGTGGCGTATGTCAATGATGTCAATATTCGGGGAAACTTTAGTCTTAGGGACCACGGATTTCAACACCTGCACTTCGTGGGTAGTTTTCTTGCCAACGGCGAGCCCAATGGCACCATTGACTACACTGGGAATCGTCATTGTGGGATTTGGGGGAGGAAATGGAATATTGAGGTAGACTGACAATGGTGCCAAAAGATGTTCTACTGTAGGAGCTGATCAAAGACTAATATACGAACGAAAGGCAGTGTACAAGGTTAGGAGTAAAGTCATTAATATAGCCGCGTGAGAAAGCTCGAGTGTTCCTCAGCAGTCTCAGCAATGATTCGACAACGTCCAAGTACTAGTGTGGATTTGAGCTGTAGACGGGGTCTTTGTGTCTACGGCGAGTGTCATGGTGGAGATGCTGACTGAAAAGCCAGTTTATAAGCTAGACCAGTTCAGGTGGTGAAAGGGCTGTGGAAAAAACGCAAATGCCTGTATTACGATGGAAGGGAAAGAAGACAAATGATTGGACAAGGGCGGGAAGAGATCCAACATGTGTTGACAATTTACCGTACGAGTACACCCAAACATTGCAAATGCCTTGAATTCATCGGCCAGACGGGGAAACTCCCGGGCATCAGCAAGCAACGCAACTGGCTCCTTCCAGATTCTGCCAATTCAACGAAAGAACCTTTCGTACAATTCCAACTGGAGCCTCGGAGTTGCAATGAGCCCCCCACGCTATGGATGCTGTAACTGTAACTAAATAAGCGTGACCTCATCACTTCATACTGACCTAGGTAGTCGCTGGAAAATGTCGAATGACTGACTCGGTCCAATGAGAGAAACACAGTTCTGTCAACTGCCCTGTATATGCAACCGATATATCGAGATATATAGTCGTATATATATATATACATATATATTACGCTTACTTGGAGAATATGGAAGTTTCCACTTCTTGCCGCTCGATTGCACAGGTAGTCGCCATGAGAATCAGTGATATCTGCAGCTCTTTAGACCTGCATCAGCGCGAGAGTTTCAACGCCACTTGATCACATCCAGTTTGGCCCCGGAGAACCCGGGTCGGACGAGAATTGCTTGTTGGTGTTGGTTGGACGGCGGGTTAGAGCGTTGTCGAATTTGAGTTTGCCCAAGAGCGATTGCGATCCAAGGATCTGACGTCGTTGACAAGCTGGAGATCTTTGGAATCACCGACCACCGGGTTGCCTTAGCGTCTTGGGGGCCAATAACCATAGTGATTCACAGACTGGTTCCAGATATTACAATGGGAGGCGTCTGTCAGATTTAATCATCTTTGGCTTCAGAAACGAACCTCGTGAGAGCATCAGGTACGGTACGACTGTGACCTTGACCGGCCGTTCTTTGCATATGCAATCCCAAAGTAGTGCTCTGCAGCACCCTGGCGACCAACCGATGCTCCCCTTCCAAGCAGAATTCGATACCATTCGCTCCTGATGACGCTCTAGTCATGCTGCAACGAATTGCGGGGGCAGATGAGGGCTTTTGGGCCAGGTTTGTCAACGTCTCGCATTTCATGACAAATATTTCATTCGCCAGCCGCGGTTTGTTTACTACAACCCTCGGATTTCCGGAAATGCTCCTGTGCCGAGAGAACTTCCAACCCTATAAGCACTAATTTAATCTTTGCGTCGAAGAGGTACATGGGAAGATAAAACGAGGGCTTTATTATCACCCCTTTGAGGCAACGGTGGAGTGATTGTAGGAGGGACCCGAGTTGGACAGTTGGACGACCCGACATGACGCTTTTGCTGGGATGTAGCTTCCTTGCAGAGAAGCACAAGGGTTAAGACATTACTTCGCAGGGCACATCGTATTCCTCGTATCAAAAGGCCAGTCAAAGTGTCTTCCTGATACTTTCGAGCAATACTTGAGTACTCGGTATATAGAGCAATGGAACACCTACCTAGGTCCTAGGTAGGTACCTTGCTTCCGTACACATGCTCAGGAAGAGCTCTTCCCAAAATACTTGCCATACTTGGTTATTATGAAGTGCTCTGTTCTTGTACCCGTACCGTTCTAGGTCAAATACAAAGTGGAGGTCTACTACCCCTCATTCTACGTGAAGTGTAATCAGACGGGATCTCGGACCAAGAGACTGCATCAAGAAGCTCAGGGATACATAGACATAATGGGTAGTTCGATATTAATTTACTACTAAATTGGCAACAAAAAAGTTACATGAACAAGCAATATCCACGGCTACCTATGCTACTGCGGAAGAGAGAGAAAGTGATCTCAAAGCCCCAAATACCTAGCTCTCGGTAAAAAGCCATTTAAGCAAAAGTCTCATCAGATATATGAGACCAGATAGAATGAAAGTACTTTCTCCGCCTATCGTAGGCCAATTGAATTCACATACCGCAGGTATGTTTTTCACTCGAGCAATTGGAACTTAGACGGGAACCTTTCTTCAGATCTTTGTCAGGTGACGAGAGCCGGCTGATTTGGAATTCCAAATGGGCAATCTCATCAGAACAAAAGTCATAGGAGAAATCCCGAGAATTATCAACATAATCAATATCCCTAGGCCAAATTGATCTATTGTTTGGGTTGGCAATTGTGTAGCTCAATTTGAAATAGTCGGCACGTGCCTAAGTGACGTTGCCAAGATCTCAACTTCGCATTTGTTTACTTCCCAAGGTAAACAACAAGAATCATTCTCTGCGCACATTACGACCTCAACGCCTACGCAGAACCCTACGCAGAATCTGTCACCATGTCTTACAATCCTCGTATGAGTATTGCGCCAAGTTCGCAGCAGCAAAATCGAGGCAAGAAGAAGGAAGAAGAGAGCGATGCGTTTATGCGCTTGGTAAGTTTATCAAGGCTCTATTGATATTCGCAGCATACTGATGATAAATAGCCCGATAAAGAAATTGCAGGATGTATTAGTGATATCGGAGTACCTTTCACAGTCGCAGACCTCCAGAAGCCGAATCCCCTCCAAATTCAAATGATCTTCGAATGGTTCGTCGAGGTTATTATGAGTGCAAACCGAGAGACGGTCGACCCAGCGATGAGCGCTGCGGCAGAGGACATCTGCGGCGAATACATGGATGTCATTCCAAGCGACACGCGCAACCTGATGGGATTCTACGTTACTTTGCGCAAGCTGTTGAATGAATGTGGTATTACGGATTTCTCTTTCCAGGACCTCTACAAGCCGACCCACGATCGCCTGGTTAGGATATTCTCGTATATCATCAATTTTGTGCGATTTCGCGAAAGTCAGAAGCAGCATATCGATGAACAAGTGGACAAGGTCCAGACAACGAAGGACCGCATTGAAATGTTGTACATGCAGAACCAGGAAATGGAAGAGAGGAAGCTGGAGATGCAGAGGAATAGAAAAGCAATGGAAGCGCACATCGCGGAGAAGGTCAAGCGAAATGAAGATTTGAAGAAGCGCCTCCTCGATTTGCGACAAAATCAGGAGAAGGTGACTCGTCGGTTCGAGAATGCGAAGGCTAAGAAGAGCGAAATGACCGCAATTCTGGAGGACAAGACTGCTGCAACAATCTCTTTACGTCAGGAAAGTGCGAAATTGCGGCCATACGTGCTACAATCGCCAGCTGCACTGCAAGCATCCCTGACTGAGCTTAGCAATGCACTCAATTCAGAAAAGACCCAGATTGATGCTTTGGATCGTCGAGCTCGTGGACTTCAAACCTCAACGGATACTTTTCAGGTTGTTTCGTCGGATGTTGCTTCTTGCATCAAACTGTTAGAAGACATTTCAGTCGAATTGGACAAGGAATCAGAAGAGAACGTCCGGATTGCCAGACAGAGGGAGACTCTAGGAGATCGATCAAACAATGTTCGCGAAGTTGAGAGAACGGAAGGGTTACTGCAACGACAACTTTCCAAATGGTTGGAGCGTACAGATAAGCTTAGAGAAGGAAGCAAGGAGAAAGCCATGAGTGCAAAGGAGAGAATGGATGAACTTCGTGCTGTGCATCGAAGGCTCACCGAGGAAAGAGCCGAAAAGGGCCGCGAAATGGAGAGAAGAAGAGTACGAATAGAACAAACCGAGAAAAAGGTATGCATAAACAAATGTTTTGACCAAATTGCAATCTCACTAATACCTTCCAGATGGCCGACTTGAAGGAAAACATTGAAAATGAGGTCCACAGTGCCCATGACGAGTTTATGAAGATGGATTCGCACATCAAGCTGTATATCACAGAGATGGAGCAATCGCTCTAGCTCGGGTGTGATGGAAATCTTGTATAATGATCTTTGGGTTGATAGGGGGTGGGGAAATGGCGCACTGGGTATACCTTATGAGTTTTGATATGATAATGACCCTTCTGACCGTAATACCAACAACTGCTTCTCTTTCCTTCCGCCAGCAATCTGTGATTGATCAGAGACTACCTGATGTACAGTCTAAGTTACTCAAACGAGGTTTAGGATAGTCAACTTGATAAGAGGATTCCTCACTCAGATTCTCATTATCGTGGAAGTATTAGGAAGCTTATATAGGGGCTTTGAGATTCTCCTCACAAAGAAATTTCCCCACCCTCTTTCATGTAACCCGATCTCCACGACCAAATCTAAACCATCTACCAAGCACCCTACCAACCTCTACTGTTCTCCCACTCCAAGCTCCATCCTCACTATCCAGTCCAGCTCGTTTCACACTTCCATTCAAAATCGGTACTCGCTGTTCCCAAACTTTACAAAGCTGCTTCCATTTCCTGTCATCCTCTGTGCCCTCTTCCACTCCTTCCTCTTCTCCTTCCTCCAAAACAGTCTCATAATACTCCTCATCCAGCCCTCTATCCTCAATCGCCACAACTCTTCTTTCACTCCGCCATCCCGCCTCCACCAAATTCGACACGCTGTTGCTGAGACCCTGCGCACTCCACTCACTCGTATCCCGATGTAACTCTACCAGTCCATACACTACCAGTAATGGCACCTGCCTTCCTGGCTTGTCGAACTTTTGCAGGGGTGGTTTTTCATCCGCGGGAGTAGGAGGGAAAGCTGGGAGAACAGCTCGGAGATGGGAGACTGTGGGAACGAAGACTAGGTTTATGTGCTTGGAGGTTGCTATTTGGTGGAGGGTAGGTACTAGGAGATTGTGTCGTGGGAGGGGCGACTGAGTGTCTCCAAGGTTATCGTGTGGGGTAGTATCGACGGAATTGAGAAGGGAGGTCAGGAAAGAGGCCCTGGGCTGGCAGATTATTATGGTGGTTGGGTACGCTTGATGAGATAAAACGTATTCGAGTAGTTCAGAGGGGAGGACCGGAGGTAGGGCCAGTGGAATGGATCGAGGCATTCTTGAGTGGTTCGTGGTGAGCGTGAGGCTGGCGAAAAGCGGTGGAGGGGTCGTTTGGGACGAGAATCGTGGATGCTTCCAAGTAGACTAGAATTAGTGCTGGAGATTAATATTGATCAAGAACCCATAGCTCCAGATCGCCGAAACATTCCAGACGTTGCATCGCACACTCATTGGGAAGAGATAAGTTTGCCGTCTTTTTTGGTTGTTCCAAGTTGGGATGGGACCGCGGGATGTGAGAAATCGCATCAGGTCCTCTCCCCCCACGGGATGATCGCTTCCTGCCCCACCACTGTCAAGATCCCAAAACCAGTGATGCGCCTCCTCCACTGCATGCTTCTTCATGGAGTCAATATCCAGAATTACCAGCTTGCTGGAGAGTGGTATGTTGTCTAATATCCAGCCGTCTATTTCCTTATTCCCATTCCCATTCACATACTAATCTCAACCGCAGCCAGAGAACTTACCCTTGATGCCGCTCAATCAGCACGGAACTCTCGAGGCAGCACGAAGATTATCCCGGCATCGCAAATTAAGAAATTACTCGACAGCCGGAATGATCGAGAGGTACTAGATGGGTTGAGGAAGGTCATCTCGGTATGCTAACTTCCACGGTAGCTGCGGTAGCCAGCAACCATTTGCACACCGCAAAGTAAAGCACTAGACCAGAGAACCAACACTAACAACAACCATAGTTGATGTACCACTCCCAACCATGCCTCACATACTTCTCTTCGGTCGTCAAGAATGTCGCCTCTCCCAACATCGAAATCAAAAAACTGGTCTACATCTACCTCCTCAACCACGCAGAACAGGAGCCCGACCTTGCCCTCCTCTCCATAAACACTATTCAAAAGTCCCTCTCAGATGGCAATCCCCAAGTACGAGCCCTGGCGCTCAAAACCATGTCCGGAATCCGCGTGACGGTCATCAGTCAAATCGTTTCCCTGGCTATCAAGAAGGGATTGGGGGATATGAGTCCGTATGTGAGAAAAGCTGCTGCGTTAGCGATACCGAAATGCTACAGGCTGGATCCGAATACGATGCCCCAATTACTGGATTATTTGTCGACTTTACTTGGGGATAAACAATACTATGTTGCGGGGGCTGCTGTTAAAGCGTTCATGGAAATTTGTCCCGAGAGACCGGATCTTATCCATAAACATTATAGGGGTTTGGTCAAGAAGCTGGTTGATATGGATGAATGGAGTCAGTTGGTAACTTTGAGATTAATGACCATTTATTCAAGGAAATGTTTTCCCAAAAGGACTCGAATTGTCAAGACGAAGAGCAAGAAGAACGGGACGCACGGATTTTATGGGGACGAGGGGAGCGAGGGAGAAGAGGGAACGGAAACTGGAGAGGAAGTTCAGGATCTTGACCCCGACCTTGAGCTTCTCTTAAAAAGCATCCGGCCACTTTTACAAAGCCGGAATTCAGCGGTTGTCGTAGCGGTTACTCGTTGCTACATAAATCTCGGGACACAGGAGTACATCAGCAGCTCTATTGGACCATTAGTGGCATTATTACGAGGGCCACAGGATATCCAGCACATAGCACTTTACAACATCGTATCAGTTTGTCTCACTCGACCAGAGGCATTCGTCAAATATTCTTCTCATTTTCTAGTACGTTCTACGGATCCTCCACAGGTCTGGGAGCTAAAGCTAGAAATTCTTACCTTGATATTCCCACATTCCGAAGCTTACCTGAAGATTCTCATTCTGAACGAGCTCGAACATTTCTCCAGAGGTTCTGATAAAGATCTAGTACGGGAAGCAGTACGAGCCATCGGAAGATGTGCTCAAAGTGACGCCGGTACATCTGCAAGATGTTTAAGTCTGCTTCTCAAGCAGATCACCAGTCTGGATGGAAATCTTGTTGCGGAATCTTTGACCGTCATCAGGCATTTGATCCAGCAAGATCCTACACCCCACATTGGAACCGTCATTCGCTTAGCGAAGAATCTGGATACCGCGACAAATCCTCGAGCGCGGGCATCCATAATATGGCTAGTCGGAGAATTCTCCGGTATTGATGGGGAAAACAATATTGCTCCAGATGTGCTGCGAATACTAGCAAAGGGCTTCGCCGATGAAGCAGAAGCAGCAAAATTGCAAATTGTTCTCTTGGCGGCTAAAGTATATCTTCATCATCTCAACCGCACCGAATCCACCGAACCTGTGAAACCTGTACTATCTCCTACCCCTTCATATTTACCTTCAATGGGAAATGAAGGGTTTGCAGAAATGGATGGTGCAGCGGATGATGTGTACCAACCGAAAGACGTAGAGCCCGAACATCCTATCGTGGTTCTCTGGAATTACGTGCTCCTGTTAGCACGATACGACACATCATACGACCTTCGTGATCGAACACGACTCTACAAAGCTCTCCTCGCAGTTCCATCCTCCACACAACTCGCTTCTCTCATGTTACTCGCTCCCAAACCGGTACCGCACACCCCAAGTCCATCCGAAAGTCGCACAGGATTTACTCTTGGCTCATCGAGTCTCGTCGTCGGTGAAGATGGTGGACTGCATGGCCTAAGAGGGTATGAAGCACTGCCCAACTGGGTCGAAGCAGGCAAAGAGCCTGATCCTTCCCTGAGAGACAGTGATTTAAGTAAAGCCGAATATGACGACAGGAGGATTGTCCCAGCTGGGGAACGACTAGATAGCGTCGTGAAAGATACGAAAACAGGGCAACCCTCGACGATTAATGGCTTTGGCGCGACTGGTGCTGGTCCTGCCAAGGAGAAGACGCTAGATGACTGGCTCAAAGAATCAGATGCTGAAGAAGAGAGCGACGACGAGGAAGAAAGTGACGAGGAAAGCGAAGACGACGAAGAGGAAGAATCAAGCGAGGAAGCATCAGAGTCAGCAGAAGAAGAAGAAGACGAAAGCGACGACGACGACAAGGAACACGACAGGCTAGTCAAGTGAAAAGAAAAAGAGAGTTAAAGGACACGAAAAAGCCCGAATTGCGGGGCAACATTTTTATTTTTACGGTGAGAAAATATAGTCACAAAAACAACAGTGTACAACTATGAATATGATGAAGAAATCAGCGACATGTCTTTCTCTCTCTACTCCGCAGAATGATTAAGCTTCCCATGGCTCTTTTTTTTTTGGCTCAAATGATTATCTGATATGCCTACAAGTAAAATTGTCATGTAGGTTTTTCTTTTAGCAGGAGCATCTTTGGGCCCTGGCCGAAATAAAAACGCCCTGGCCGAACCCTCCCGCGCATGCAATAGCAATGACAAAAATACAATAAAATCCATCGCTGAGACTGATACGAAAAGGAGAAGAAGAAATTTTTTTAATAGTCTTAAGAAAAGAACGCCCTCGAACCCCTTTGTCCAAGTGAACGGAGTTCGTGGGCCATGCGTGGTAGGTATGGCAAGAGCACCAAGTTCTGACCGAATAACCCCAAAATATAATAGTACTGTACTGAACGAAAGAACACAATGCACTGATAGACCAACAACTTGAAGGTAAACCAATGCAAAAAATGTTACCTGTGCAAAACTTTGTGCAAAGATAATAAGTCCAAGGCTTGATTGGTAATCTCAGCCGTTTAATCGAAAGGTCTCCTCGATGAATTGACACAATTGTTCCTCATTTATCGAGAAGATTTCGAATACTTGAAGACATGCAAGGCCTTCGATTCAAATTGTTAGGTCCGTCATACACGAGACCATTTTCACACAACCACAATGCAGATTATCCAGTTCATCAGCCTACAGCACACGTGCCAGCTATTAGAAGCTTCACAAACCAAAGTGTTCCCGATTTACCAACGCCGAGAATAAGCAGCTTCGACAATTGGTGCGGGACGCTTGGGGCCTTTCTTCTTTTTAGTCTCCAACAACCCGAGTATCTCCTTCGAATTATCGCTCAACGGTGAGTCTTCTCTATCGCTCAAATTGCTATCAGCCGAAAAGATGTTGACAGTAGGAGAGTTTCCCTGTTTAATTGGATTTTCTTTGCTAGTGGCAGATTGAATCTCACTTTGCATGCTTCCTTTTGTAGATTGGTTACCATTCATGCCGTTGCCATTTCGAGGCAGCCCATCGGAGGATTGATGTGGAGGGTACATTTTCGTTTGTTGAGATTGGGCTTGAGGATTTTGCTGAACAGGAAAATTGTTTTGAGCTGAATCATTGCTACCAAAACCACCAGCACTTCCATAACCCGAGTCTTGTCGGACCGGGGTATTGTTCTGCGTGTATGAACCATATTGTTGATGGTTGTTTTGGTTACTGTAATTGTGATTTCCCTGAGGCCCGTTGGCAAGTTGATTTGGGGGACCACTGTTGTACTGAGGCTGCTGCTGTCCAACGGAATTGTTACTCTGGCTTAGGCCAGACGCAAATTGGGGTTGTTGATTTTGAGGATCTGGACCTGGGCCGTATGGGGCATTTTGAGCGCTGACGTTGAAGTATGGAAGGGATTTCGGGAGCCCATTGTGATTGTTGTCTGGTTGTGGGCAACCAACACCCGACGTACCTTGAGCATACATAGGATTGCCATTTGGTTGAGGGCCAGGCATGTTGTTGCCATACGCAGAATTGCCGTTATGTGGAGGGCCAGACAAACTATTATTGTTCGTCCGGCATGGATTGCCATATTGTTCATTGCCATGCATGGCGTTACTTCCATAGTTTACATTGCTAGAAGTACCGATTTGAGGATGGCCGTATTGACTATTGATAGAGGGCCCATTTTGATAGGGAGCTTGGGCGAGGGAACTGATTTGAGGTTGCATTGGTAGACCATTGAGAGATGGCGCGTTACCAGGAGGTGCGAATTGTGGGGGTCGGTTTTCGGTGTTCAGCCTAGGCGGAGTAGGCTTGAACTTCTGGTGTGAGCCTTGCAGGTTACCCTCTCTACGCCTCGTATGTGCGACCTTTCCCTGGGAGTTCGTCGGGGTGGCAGATATCGGAGTTTGAGGTTCCTTCTTTGATGGTGATGAACTAATGGGAGGACTCAATTGTTCTGGCAAAGGTTGGTAAGGTGGAAGAGGACTGTCGTCAACTGGTTTGGGAGAACCTGTAACTCCTAGAGATGCAAGTAAAGCCTCTGTGGGATCAACAGGTTCCGCACCTTCTCCTGGTTGTGGAGCCCAAGCATCATCATCTGTTACAAGACATGGCGTGCCAACTCTGTTTTCATAAAACTTCGTGGTCATCTCCGGCGTCCCTGCTTTTTCATCCACATGTTCCCCTATAGTCTCAGTCTTTTGCCGCTTCTTGGGGTTTTGACCATCTTCCTTCTCTGATGTGTTGTCGAGGTCATCTTGGACATCACTATCAATCTGGTTATCTTGGTCGCCATCTGCTGGTGAGAAACGAGGACGTTTACGACTGGCGTCCGCAGTATCATGCATCAAAGTATCCTCGGCGCCAGATTGATTTGAATCTCGAGCTTCCATCCAAGCCGGGATCTCACGCAAGGGGATCAATGGAGAGTCGAAGTCTAATTCTGCAAAAGCCGGATCCTCTTTGCGAAATGGCCAGTCTAAGGCATCTCTAATACTGCTTGTAAATTGCTTGACGTTATCTTTACTAGCATATCTTGATACGCAAGTTCCTAGAGGATTGAGTTGAGGAACTGGCGACAAATCAAAATCGTGAGAAAGTGGTTGAGCAAGTGCTACAATGTCATGCGTGGCGGGCAACTTGAAAATCTTTTCCAGTTCCCACTCAAACAGCTGTGTCTCAATGACCTCACTCTCTTTAGATTCTTCAGCAGCCTTTGCTGGACCTGGCCGGGAGTTTGCCTCCTTTCCCGCACTGGTTGCAGCCGTATCACGCTCTCCTTGTGGGGTGCTTACAGTACTTGATGCCTTGGATTCAGCTGTTGAGGTAGAATTCATTGGTTGCGTGTCTTTGGGAAATTGCAGTTGGTTATTTTCGTTACTCAATCTCTGGTTAATTTGCTGCGAAGAATGTCTCGGATGTTGTTGCTGGTGGGGAAACACAGGAGCTCCTGAAGGATGGTTTGAACCAGAGTAATTTGGCTGTTGAGGTTGGTAGGGAGGGGCAATCCAAGTTGATGGAGGCGCGCTACTCCATTGTTGATTTACAGAACCTTGGAAGTTGGGAGGTGCTGTAGGAAAATTACCGTTGAAATATCCGTTTGATTGAGGTTCTTGGTATGTTACAGGCTGTGGTTGATAAGGCGTAGGACCTAGCGGTGGACCATATTGCTGTGGCTGAGGAGGGCCATATTGTTGAGCACTATTTGGTTGAGGGTCTATGTATTGAGAAGGGGGAGCGTAACCGAACTGTTGGGGACCAAAAGTATTTTGGGGCTGATTAGGAGGGTAGGAGTAAGGCTGGTTTGCGTATGTGACAGCAACAGGCGGAGGTGTACTATACGATGGCTGCGACTGAGGCCCAGGCGGGTAAAATCCATGTTGAGAAGGACCTTGAGCAAACTGATATTGAGTTTGAGGGTTTGGAGGACCGTACTGCTGAGTTTGAGGATACGGCTGATATGGTGTTTGTGGTGGGCCAACTGGTTGAGGAAACCCTTGAGGAGCAGACATGACTCTCAGTGCAGAATATTGCTGATGGGTGGGTGGATTGAAAGGGCTATTTCTGTTACCATGCTGCATATGAATAACAGGATGGAAAACATCTTATGGGAACCGTGTGCGCTGCTGAGATTCCTCTACTAGATGAGTCTGAAAGGCAGTTGAAGGGCACATGTCCCTTCACCCCAAGCCTGTAGTAGACAGACAGACAGTATACAGTGCACGTGCTGACGATACAAATCTACAGGACTAAATTGCAAAGCCAAAGTAAAGAAGAAACAGGAACAGGAGTAAGATGAAGACATCCAAAATAAAAACAGTGGCTTACATAGTGTCCGAGCGGCGAGGCTTTGGACATGATACCATAAAATGGCCTTCTTCTCTGCAGTTGAAGCATATTGGAGGTCGATTTCCAGAGATATGTCTAGAAATATTCTGAGGCGGTTGCTGAAAGGCAGACTGGGACCAAGAGGCTGACATGGTGGAAGTATTCCGCTCCCTCCCAGATCAGCCAGTTGCTACTCAACCATGGGTGTGAGTCGTAGAAGTCGCTGCAAATAGAACACTGGAGAGATGGAGCTAGCGACGCAAGATCAGAAGGCAACAAATGGAGTGCAGCCAACTCCAACTGACGAAGTCAAAATGTGATAGTGTATCAGTTCTCACTTCTCACTTCCGCAGACAGGCAAACAGCAACGTCGATGAGCTCTGATACACCAGCGAAGTTGCAGGAGGGGGATTGCTTGAGTGTGCCAAAGGAGAGTTGTAGTTGTGATGTGAGAGAATCGGGACGTGAGAGACAAAAATCCATAGAAGCAATGGAGCAATCCAATCCATGGTGTCCAGGCCCAGGATTGGTGGTGGTTGGCGCGACGCTAGTGGGTTAAGCTTGAGCCTGCCACCTGCGCCCAGCCTGCGCTTCTGGTAACCTGGGGCAGCAACGAAGTCCCCGACCCCGACCCCGACCTCCATCCTTTTGAGTTGCTCTAGCCATACTCTAATAGTATATATAATTCTCAAAGACCGATGCCTTTAAACAATCCAGACAAGTTGAGGAAAATCAATGCAATTACTCAAAATCCCAGGTCCATCACTTGGATGGTCGTAATATGATTGGAATGATGAGAGCTCTGGATGAGCAGTCAACCGAGACCCCTGACTAAGTCCTCGAGTGCCTTGAAAATACAGCTGCTCAACGAGAAACAATTGATAGCAACCACTGTGACATACCAGACAAGAACAGGAACCTGAAATACAGCATACTCAACTTGGAAAAACAAAATAAAGTCGTCGTCAAAGTCCGAGTCTGAGGCAGACGAGCCAAAGCCCAATATAAAATGACCAACAACGGCAAGCAATCACAGCCCCGCTTTTCGCTTCCCGTGTCAGTCAGGTTGGAGGCATTCATGAATAATCCTCGCGGGTTTAGATACCATCCCCTACCCCACCACCCACCCAGACAACTCTACAGCATCTCGTTTCTGGCATATCCTGATATGACATAGCAACACACACTCGATCAAGCGACCATGTTGTTGCGCCAGCATTCATCATTGAAAGAAACCGCCTGCGCAAGAAGCTCCCACCTCCTCCGCCCTAGAGCGCCATAGCTCTGACCCAACAATCCTCGGCCGACTTGCAACATGCCTGGCCTGCCTTGTAAGCCTGGAGCCCGGCGCATTCTGTCCTTGGGAGCCATCATAAGCTAACACGCCTGCGCAAACTAGCATCTGTGGACCTTGACGAATGTATAGAAAACCTCTACAAGAAGAACCTGCTCGCCGAATCCGTCATAGAAGCAATATGCGCCAAGACGAAGGAACTGTTGATGCAAGAGAGCAATGTGGTACATGTGCAAGCGCCGGTCACAGTTGTGGGTGATATACACGGCCAGTTCTATGACTTGATTGAAATATTCAAGATAGGAGGATGGTGTCCGGACACAAACTACCTATTCCTCGGTATGCGCCGCCGCAGCAAAAGAAACAGATATATGGGATGCTGACTTGAAATATAGGCGACTATGTTGATCGTGGGATGTTCAGCGTGGAGACCATCTCGCTCCTGGTTTGTTTGAAGCTTCGATACCCCCACCGAGTACATCTGATCAGAGGAAACCATGAATCGAGAGGAGTTACACAATCATATGGCTTCTATACGGAATGCTCGAGGAAATATGGAAATGCGAATGTCTGGCACTACTTTACCGACATGTTTGACTTCCTGACCTTGAGCGTGGTGATAAATGACCAGATCTTCTGCGTCCATGGAGGTAAGATAAATTCATTTCCAAGCGTGGCAAGATGCCCAGAGGTTGATTTCAAATCAGGTCTTTCACCATCGATACACTCCATCGACCAAATCAAGATAATAGACCGATTCCGCGAGATCCCACACGAGGGTCCAATGGCGGATTTAGTTTGGTCCGACCCAGATCCCGAACGAGACGAATTCTCACTTTCCCCTCGAGGCGCTGGCTATACATTTGGGGCACAGGTGGTCAAGAAATTTCTGGAGGTCAACAACATGTCCCATATTCTACGCGCACATCAACTTTGTCAGGAAGGTTATCAGATCTTGTTTGATGATAGATTAAGTACAGTTTGGAGTGCGCCCAACTACTGTTACAGATGTGGTAATATGGCAAGTGTCCTTGAGGTTAGTGACACGGGGGAGAGGTTCTTCAATGTATTCGCTGCGGCGCCGGAGAACGATATACACAAGCCAGATGCACAACCCCAGGATAAGACCGCGGATGGCAATGCGTTGCCAGACTACTTCCTGTAGATATTCACGATAGATTACCTTGTAGAACACAAGGACGAAATGGATGTACAACATGAATCAAGAATTGGAGTTGTCGAAATTGAGAAATCCTTGCCGAACTGTTTTACAATTCATGCTACCTGAAATAGGACCGGACTATTTCGTTAAATCGACTTGAAAAGAGAGGTAAGAAGCTAGTATGTAGCATTCTCATCAAGCCGCCAGCATCGAACCATTTGTGACCACCTATGCATTTATTCAACAGCCGTTAATTCGTAAATTCTTCCTCCCGATAGCTTAGCCGTCTACCAGTCCTTTGCAATATCGAAAGCCCACTCAAACTCCAAGTGGCGCTTTTTGTCGTCGTCGACAAATGTTGAGACGGCAGTGTAGTGTCCTCGAGCCAACATTCCGGTTGGAGCATCTTCCTCGGCGACTGGAATATCATTAGCCACAAGAAAACATATCTGAGGTTGGGGAACCTACATTGCTTGGTGTAAACGGGATTCTGGTTGGTGCAAGGTGCGTAAGAGCCCTATCGCCATCCTCATTAGCTTGATGTCCCTCTACCATCGATATCAGCTCGCCAATCCAAAACCTACAATCATTTCCTGGTCCTTGCTAACTCTGATTCCCTTTCGCTTCACAATCTGGACATAATGCAAACCACTAAGAATCTCGTGTTGGACCTTGAATTTGGCCGTCATGCTGAACTTTGCACCTTCCTTTATCTTAAATGGCTTGTCCTTCAAAGTCTTCTCACTTCCCTTCTCGGACAAATCGATCACGACGGGCGGTCGTCCCTCGGAGTCCATTTGCAGGGAGAGGATGATGCAGTGACGGGGATCGTTGGGGTCGGAAAGGTCTTTGCCAGCGCCACCAAGACCGAGGGATTGCTTGTATCGTTGCATGGCTTCATCATCGGCATCTGCGGGGAGAAGAGAGAGTTGTTAGCATTTGATGATAAACTTTAGGGACGGAGTGGTTCTCAATATTGATTGGTATTTGGGTAAAATTGAGGATAGCGTTGGACAGAAATGACCAAGAACTACATGAAGGATTTGGATGGACGATGCAAACAGATGAAGTTCATTGCAGAGGTATATGGCAGACATTGAGAGAAGTAGAGCTTGGAACGAAAATATAAATGTAATTTTGTGCCTGGCCTCGAAGCCCCGCCTTGATACGAAGCTATCGTGGACTTCCACAGCCAGACCAGGCCCCGGAACGCCTCGTCTTGTAATGCTGAACATGGGAAAGAATAGGAATGAACATGTAAAACAGACAAGGTAGTCCTGATCGACGGGGTAGAAAATGAACAGCAGGAGCTCCCAAACATACCCAACTTGCTGTACTCGTCCATGGTCTTCTTCTCCCCCACCTTGAACCCCTCAGTTGTCTCTGGAAGGAGATCTTGGTCGTGTGATGCGGAAGCCATGATTGCGGTTGTTCTGTAGAAAACTTGTGGTAGAGTCGGTCTCTGAGTTCTGGGCTGTTGACACTTGGTTTGCAGTTCACGGGAGTTTGTTATGGAGGGAGTGCAGGTGGCTTTTGTCCCAACTGTTAGCATTGCTTCGAAGCTGTGGATCAAGATCCCTGCAAAGCCACACTTTCACCGCCTGTGCGAATCTCCAAGCAACGGTCCATGAAAGGTGTGAATATCCTCGGAATTGGGCCAATTGCAATTGACCGTCCCTCGCGTGTCCGTGAATATTCGGAACTCTCTATAGGTACGGAGTGCTAGGTACTACTCCAGATTTACCTCTAGGTATACCTGCCTACCTACCCTACCCACCAAGGTGACGTTGAGAGCTCTCGGCTCCTCTCTAGCTGTGCCAAGTGCCAATGTTGGATGCTGATGCTGCTTTTGGAACGGAGTTGCCCTTTGGCCCATCTCCCCTTCCTTACGGTGATTACATAATCCTTCTTCAAGCCGTGGACCGCGACCGCAGCAATGCATCACGGTATGTTGATACCGTACATGTCTGGTGTTGAAGTGAAGCGCTACTTGTTGGCGTTGTTGATGGTTTCGTCTCGCAGGCAACAGATTGGTAAGATACTATTTTCCCTCACCAACTCCGTACTCAAATCAACAATTCTTCAGCTGCGCAAAGATCATTCGTTAGCCGTGATCCGTTTCCTGAAGCGTATTGCGATCGAGCAATAACCGAACTCACCACCCCAGCCCATCACCAGCACTAGCAGGCGCAAAGGGCCCTGCACCCCATCCCAATCGCCAGCCCCATTTGGACGGACCTCTGATCATTCACCCGCTTACCCTTACTGGCACCACCCCGTCCATTTAGTCACCTTTCCATTCTCTCAAAACTCCCTTCTCGTATTTCTACGACCTTGTCAACCCTCCAGCTCGGATCTTGTCTCTGCCACTCTCTGGCGTTTTTTTTTTGTGGACAGCCACTCCATTCTTATCGTCGACCGTGAAGGGGTACATACGCACGCGCTCTCTCCTGGAAGTATCCGACCCGGACGTGTAATCTTATCAATCCTTTGCGACCGAACGACCCTTCGAGTCGCGACAAATATTCATCAAGTTTGTCGCATTCGCGAAATCGGTACGCATACTTGTCTTTCATACCCATCGCCATAAAGCAATATCAAGCGCTTTCTTCTACTGGCACTGGTGTTTGAGATAATTGGCTGACTCGTGGATTGGGTTCAACAGCGCGGTTTCATTGAACCGAACACATTTGCAGATACATCCTCCCCATCACCGCAATGGTTGTCACTCGCCGTCCTCTCCCTGAAAAGGTCAATCCTTTGATGACCGATGAAATACCACCATGTGAGCTAACGCGTTTTTTGCGCTATCGCGCCAAAGACTGACAACTATAGATGAAACCCTCGTCGCGCGTCGCCGTCTAGGGCAAACCGACCTTGCTGTAAAAGCAGGACAGGTGGGAACTTCGAACTCAACGAAGCCAAAGAACCTGGGTACTTTCGATTATGCGCATCTCCGCGCGCCTTTGCCTAAAGGAATCATGTCTGGCATCTTCCACCCATCACCAGCATCATATTTCTTGATGCGCCGTAGCAGCGACGGTTATATTAGCGCGACCGGCATGTTCAAGGCGACATTTCCATATGCTGAAATCAAGGAAGAGGAGATGGAGCGAAAATATGTCAAGAGCCTTGAGACGACCAGTACCGACGAGACTGCCGGAAACGTCTGGATTCCACCTCACAGCGCACTGCAACTCGCAGAAGAATATCAAATCCTACCTTGGATCAAGGCCTTGTTGGATCATGCACCCATTGAAGTCAATCTACCAAAAGACGGATCACCAAAGCCAATTAACTCGCCTCCAAAATTCTTCCTTTTGCCCCAAGAATCTCTTTCAGCGCCAGTACCAACTCCAAGTCGAGGACGTCCTCGTAGATCTGCGTCGCCAAGCAAGATGGCATCTCCAAAGAAGACTACGGGAACCACAAGAACCCGAAAGTCCAAGAAAGAGGGCTCAGCCGAACCGTCTTCCAAAGTTTCCAACAGGAAGCTCCAGCAAGCGCTGAAAACCGTTGCCGATGAGGCCGAAGAGAAAGCTGATCAGAAATTGAAAGAAGTTGAGGCTAAGAAAGATTTCATTGGACCAGCAGAAATTGAGAAAGAGGAAGAAGAAGTGGTTCATGTCAAGGTTGACCAAGAAGTTGAGGTTAATGGCGACGTTGAGACAACCCACACTCATGTAGAAGTCGAAATGCCTATAGCTTTTGCGGAAATGCCAGATCCAGAAGACACCAAAGCCATGATCGCAAAGGCAAAGGAAATGGTTGAAGCAGCGGTGGCCCAGGAGAAGCAAGTTTCAGCAGCACCAAAAGTGTCCAAGCGAAAGGCGGAGGAAGTTGAGGAGGATGAGGAAGATGAGGATGCAGAAGCCCCAGCACCAACTAAGAAAGCAAAGGTACAATCTGAGCTTCTATCTAAGGAGCGGGTCAAGACTAGGGCTTTGATTGGTATTAGTGCTACACTTGCGCTTGGGTAAGAATTCCTCGAGTCTGATGATAATCTTTCTTGCGCTAACCTCAATTCTAGTGCGGCTGTCCAATACGCTTTCAGTGTTTTGTGATTGCGTCCCCCTTCTACTGTATAATTTTCTTTGCTGTTGTTGTTAACGGCGTTTGTTTGTGAGGCTACTACATACATACTCTTGGGAGTCCCTGGATACACATACCCATCATGCCTCGATTGCACGTATCCTCCGTCGTAGGAACCAGCCAGTGTACTTTAGGTACCCTAATTCAGCTCTCCTTGGAGCTGTTTTTGATTAGGATTTTTTTAATTTTGAGAATGAGAACGTTAACATCTAAGAAGTTAGTAGATTGAAGAAAAAACACCCATGAAATCTAGTGCCTTCCCTGGCTTCAGTGAGGTCTTTGGGTGATTTTATGGGCTTTGGTTGTGGCTGTTCCATTTGAATGTATTGAATAGCTTGTGATCCTGGGTATTGTACAATTGGGTTTTCAAGCATCATTTGGGTTGTGACAAACACCCTCGAACAGTTTTGATGTCCTAGAAGTACTAGGTGAGGTAACTTGTCATGCAGGCGGTATATATAGAGAGCGATTACAGAATCTCTTCCAAGCCATTTCATGAGACCACAGGAATCCGTAGCTGACTTGGAGCAGGACAGCTCTAACACTTTCGCGTCTAGTTGTTCGAAAGCTTGAAAGCTGAATCTAGGTTAATCTACAAGATTGGAAAGGTCCAGTTGGTAGTTTTCTGTGTTGATTCTGAGGGTAAGCGGTGCTGTTGGGGAAGTGACCTTGAGTCGCTCCTTCCTCTTCTCTCCACAACCTGCTACCTACCTACCTCACTGCTATCGTTCCTTCCTCCCAATCACCTCCACCACCTTCACCTTAACCCCACCGAAGTCCTCATTACCCATAGGTACTATACCTATGGGTATTTCTTCGCCCGAGGGCTGCGATATTCCCTATCTCCTCAAGTTCATGCAAACCGAACGTACGTTCTCATGGCGCCCTCCAAGCCCAGCAATCCACCTTCTTACCCGCGTAAGATTCCGCAGCGCTTCAAACCGGTGCGGTCAGAGATTTTTGCTGTCATGGCTTCCAGGTCGCAAGCTCGACGAGATCAGAATCGGCCAGAAGCGGGCTCAGCAGAGACGGCTGGTGAGCTTTCGGTAGCCCCTGTTCGAGTCCTTCAAGGGCCGCCGGCTGGAGATGCGTCAGCTGAATGTTCCTCAAGAGAGGGTCCTCCGCTTAAGATTCCGTCGATTGTGGTTCCTTCGGCAAAGGCTACAAGGAAGAGATCTCGACCGTCGGCGACGCAGTTGGCACGGGTCCCAAAGCTGCCGAAACGCAATATACAGCTGAGAGCTGCTTTGCATGCTGCTGCTAGAGCAAAGAATGTGAGGAGCTCGCGTCCTGTTGAGATGTCACCAGGATCCAACTGACTCTCTGTAGGCTTCTGACGGGGTATCTTTGGATGGCGAGGCTATTGAATCAGAAGGAGTAGCCAATAGAGTTCTGCGCCCTTCGTCTTGTTTCGTTGATGGCGATGCTGAAGATAAAGCAACAAATTCCGAACCTGATCATGATGTGAATGCCAACCAAGCACAACTTGAATCGGATCTTGGTCCAAGTCAACATGCAGAGGATCGCGAACATGGCGGTGATGAGCAGCTACTGCGGGAAGACACAGCGCGCCAAATGATCCAAAAGAATCCTAAGCACAAATCATTCTTCAAAGTATCCAAGCCTAGAGTTCAGAGAAGAAAGGAGCACCGACGACAATCTGTGGATGAGCTTATGGTGACGACTGAAAGACTAAGTCGGGCAACTTTGACTGAAGGTATTCCTACTTCTCCCCAATATCCTCTGAAATCAACTCATGCTTTTTGAGTAGGCTCTTCAGACGAAGAACTTTCTATGGTATTGCACGGTACTCCCAAGTTCAAAAAGAACACTCGCAAGCCGGTAAACCTTCATAACATTGACAACACCGACTTTCGCATGCCAAAATCCTTCGATTCAACTCCTAGCCCATCATTGAAATTTTCATGCTCGGACGGTTTTGTGGGCAAAGAGGCATCACCAATAGGTTTGGTGATGCGAGTTCGGTATCCTGGGCAAAAAAACCCTCGAGACAGGAGAAAAAAAAGTCCTTTGAAAATGAGTGAGTTGGTCATTGGCAATAAGCGACATCAAGAGGAAAGGAAACGAAGAAAGCATGGTAGAGAGATACCTTCTTCAAGTGGTCAGCAGTACTTCGAGCCTCGCAGGGAGCCTCCAAACGACATCGTTGGCCTGGAAGACGACACCGTCATGACTGCTTCAGCGATTACTACAGGCAATGAGCAAGACGGTCTAGATGTACCAAATATGCCCGAAGAAATGCTCATCGACGGTGATGACCACAATCCGCAAATCACTCACAATGCCGGGCTAGACATCGATGAAGATGGACACCAACTACTCACACCGTCTACAATGGGCTACAAGTCCGACGACCGCAATCCACTTCCTACTACCGAACTCGATTTCTCACGGCGTAAGTCAGTAGTTCAGAATGAAGATGCCGCAGCGGACAGTGTGGAAAAAGGAACTTTCATGCAAAGTCAGGCGGCTTTTGAGAGTGGACTGTTTCTAGGGGGAAGTGAAAAGGTGTCAAAACCAGGTCCATCAGAAAGTCTGGAGAGCGATCAAACTAGCAAGAAAGCCCCACGGACGCCTTGTCGCGAAGGGGCCACTGATCACTCTGATGGCGAGGTTGATATAACTGAAGATGAAGACAGTGACGGAACAGAAAGCGCTGATGGTAACGTTGGTACAGGTAACGATGAAGTTGATGAGGATGAAGAAATGGAAAGCGCTAATGGCGAACATGTTTGTATTCTTTCCGACACACACACAGAGAGAACCGATACCGAATCTGAATCTGTTAGTGACTATCATACCTCTGATGGCTGTTCTCTGCAAAGCAGCGAACTTAAATCAGATGGGGGCGATGATCTGGAAGAGATAGTATGTGACGAAGACGATCTCAGCGATGTAGCATCAGTCATAACACGTCCAAGTCAAGGTTCCGAGATGGATATTGAGGGAGCAGATCAACAAGACGATCTGAATATGACCGATGTTAGGTCGACCCCTGGAGATGAGCCACAAGCTTCCTGCAGCAACTGTTTCAAGTCAGACGAAGTGGTTCTCGATGATTTCATATCGGTTGAAAGGCCGCTAAGCAATATTCTCGAGATGGGCCTTGAGGACGTAGTTGGATGTGACCATCATGACATTGCGGGCGCTGAATCTGACACTGAGGACGAAGTAGAAGCTTCTCGGTATTGTGGGCTTGACTTTGAAATTAATGCGCATGACGAGCAACCTTTTGGTAAAAAAGCAGCCTCTTTCTTTGAGACCATGGATCAAGATGAATCTACCGTGGTCGTGACTGGGGCAGCTCGGGCTTTGCCAATTGAGACACCAGATGATGATGATGAAGTGATGCTGCTTATCGAAAAGCAGGAGAGCATCGAAGGGAACTCCCCTTCAAATGGGAACCCACGACTTGAGATTCTTCCATCAGAGATACCTGATTCTAATCCCGAGAACCAAATGCCTCAACTGTTCTCAGTCTCCTTGTGCAGGAATGAGGTACCTGCGCCTTTACTCGTGATGCCACCAGATGGTGCGAAAGAGACCTTGTCTCAACAATCCTGCCTCCAAGAGCAGGTATGGGCTCCTCGTGCACCTCACCCTAGTACCTCCATGGAGATAGAGGGAGATGAGATTGTGGACTGCTCTTCACCGCCCTCATCTCGTTCTGTCAGTTATACTGGGATATCCAAACACAGTAAACGAGAGCGTCCAAGTACTCGCGTTTCTGGTTTTTCTCGAGGTTCTCGAGCAATATCATATCACCCTAGGCAGGCACCCAGACGTAGCCCTACACTAACTCGAACTCATTCGCTGACTCTCGTCCGTTCTCGTTCAAGCCCTGAGCCCGCATCAGAATCAGCAATGTTTTCCGACCAGCCCGACCAGCCCAGCTCTAGAGTTGACGCACAACCCCTGCGATCTCAGCATAACCAGCTCTCGAGCTTCCATAGTGAACAAACAACCTGTGATTGTATGTCACTCAGATCCGTATCAGCTAGCACCGACTTAATCTCCACCTCGCAGCAAGCAGAAGATGAGGAAATTCTTATGGGACAACCAGATTATTCCTCTGGACAGCTGCCTGATCCAGAAGTCCCCTCGTCACGGCTGACTTATGTGCCAGAAGGAAGTTATATGTCTCGAACACAGCAAGAGTTACAAGATCCCTTCTGCCTTGTGCCAAAACCTCGTTCGAAGTCCATGTTTGCGTCTACGTCTCGCCCTGAGAGCCAGCAATTAGGAAGAGAATCACAGGCGTCCTTCGCTCCCACAAGCTCGCTCGCCAGTTCTATTGCTCCAAGACAACGGTCGAAGCGATTTCCTACGCTTACGGAAAGCTCTCAAGAAGGAGGGGTTCTTAAAGAGTTGACGAGGAGGACTAGTGTCGCCCATGGTACTACGCCGATTACCGGAAAAAGAAGATCCAGTGCAGTGCCGCGATTGTTGAACGTATTAAACACCCAGTTTTCGCAATCTACAGCTCTTCAAGGACCTCGCAAAGTTTAACAGAAAATTAAGGAACCTGACGTTACAAAGCACGAGTGTGTTGCTGTTTGCTTCGATTTCTATCTCGCGAAATTCAAATTTGATATCATTAGCAGTTTATGGGCGTGCCATTTTGCTGGGAAAATTACGGAAGGCTCATACGTGAGCGGAATTTCGTTTGGCCTTTAGCTTAACTCTACAACATTAGCAATCAAGAATGTAGTATTGCCATTCTTATCTTTTGTGGTCTTGCTTCTTTGGAACATGTGGAATGAAATCAATGATCAATTGGATATTTGGGTGAAGCTCTTATCTCCAAACGCTCAGTTGATTAATCTCGTTATCCTAGACTCTCGGAATTACCATATCCTAGATAATTCAGAATAACGAGAGCGCTGTTTATTCGTTACCCTTACGGTACTGCCTGTGTACTGCATTTTCTGTATGCTATTATTCCAGTAAATCAGAAACAAGTTTCTGGATGATAATAACAGAAGTGCTTACTTCTAATCTCCTCATTTAAGTCCTCCCCTGATGGTCTACCAAAACACGCAGCGGCTCCCAACACCCAATGCCTCATCATTCCATTAATATAGGAAAGTTCCGTTCAATGTTCACAGGGTCCTTCAGGAATCACTTCGAGATTCTGAGCTAGGAGAGCAAATTTGGATGTTTAATATTCTTTATTTGATTAAGATGTTGACCCGAAAAATATGGACCTCGAAGCCTATGATGGACAGACAACGCGGTGAGTAAGAGGACGACTGTTTCTTCTTCTCCCTCCAAAAATAGGCCTATACCACAGATTGAACCGATCCTCAAGGGAAAGGAAGTAAGGGCCAGAGTGTTTGGGGAGTGCCAACTGTTATGTGTATCCGTCCGTCCCAGTAATGCTACCAAATCCGAACCGCCAGCTGAAATGGCCTTCAGCTTTATCTCTTCAGCCTTCAGATCTTCTGTTGCTCGCTACCAATGTATCTGTAGACGACACTAAAGTCTCTATTCTTGCAATCTTCCTGCTGCTCAGCACCCTCGTATACCTCTTTGGCTTTGTCGCCAAGTTCGAGACGGGCTCCTGCTTCGGCAGCAGCTTGGATTGCAAGATTCAAATCTTTCTTCATCAAACTGACGCCAAAGCCACCGCTGTAGTCTCTTGAAGCTGGGGAGCCAGGAACAACTCCATCTACAGGATTGTTGACTTCACTTGGCCAGCATTTGCCAGTACTAATATTGATCAGATTTCCCAAGACTTTGGGATCAAGACCCCATCTAATACCCATGTTCATAGCTTCCGCGGTGGCGATGTTGTTTATGGCCAAAAGGTAATTGTTTGCAAGCTTTCCGGAGAGCCCAGCGCCTTGACTCCCACAGTGGAGCATCTTCTTGCCCATCATGAGAAGAATTGGTTCAAGTCGCGATACCATAGAATCAGACGCTCCCACCATGAAAGTCAAGGTACCGGCGGTAGCTCCCACAACCCCTCCAGACATTGGCGCATCCACGAATCGGCCTTGTTGGGTCGCATGCACAGCATTGGCAACCTCTCTAGAAGAAGCAGGGTCAATTGTTGAGCAATCGATAAAGAGCCGATTTGGATTTGGGACAACTTTTTCGGATAGCGGCGGTTTGAGAATTTGACCAAAAACGTTCTTTACGTGAGACGGCTCGGGGAGTACAGTGATTGTAGTTTCCTAAACTCCGACAATTAGAGTAATTTCTAAGAAGGTATTGGGTAATTAAGGAGGGTAAATGTAGCAAATTCAGAGGATTGGCTTTGTTGTAATTTTAGGAATCACGATAAGGTACACCCAAGACGGGGACCCAACTTAGATCATTTGTTTGGAACAAACTCATCATATTGAAGAGTAGCAATGGGCTGTTTGGGGAAAACCTACAGAGTCTTCTGCAGCCACTCGAACACTTGACGCAATCTCAACAGCAGCTCCTCCCGATAAAGCCTTCGTCTCGTTTGCGAATTTGTTCACGGCCTCGGGATTGATATCGTAGACACGGAGAGTATCGCTCGAAGGTAGCTTGGCTTGTAGATTCCTCGCCATGTTATATCCTGCTTGAAATTAGCCATTTTTGTGCTTCAATGATAACGCGATTTCCAACATACCCATCTGGCCGAGGCCTATGAACCCCCACTTAGCATTTCGAGCTGTGGAGGCAGAAAAGGCCCTTCGTTGGATATGCTGTGTAGCTGCTCGTATCAGCGGCGCTGAGAGTCTGACGTTTGCCCTCATGCTTTTCCTGTGGGTGTAGGTTGAGGCTTGAAGATCAGTGGGAAGAGAGAGAAAAAGGAACAAGTGCTCGTACGAGCGATAATCAGGTACCTAGGGACTACTCGGCACAAGACTGGTTATCCGCTGATGGATAAGTACGATACGTGGGGAAGCTGGGGGAGGAGGGGAAATCCGGCATGGTGGGCAGGCTGGCAGGCTATGTTAGTAGTGCTTAGCCTGTCAAGACCGAACCTTCCCGAGAAGCCTGCTGCTTCTCGCTGAACGCGGCATGAAGGAGCGCGACGGCCCCCAGCCAATACCTCGGTTGCAAACTTCTGAGGTCTCCATTCCAGAGAGGAATGGAACATCCTCATGAGTGTGTGTGTATATATGCATATACATATTCCTGGAGTTCACCAGAAGAGTCGAATTGAGTAGCTGGAAAAATATGTGGAAGGAGATGTGGAAAGGTCGAGAGTCGCAAGAAAAAAATCGGAAGAAAAGCTTATTCTGTGAAATGTCACGTGCACGGGTAGGAGCTTTGACAAGGGTCGTTCCCCGGGGGTTGAACGGAGTGCGGTTCAATTGGCAGCGAGCACTTGGATATCTCAAGCTGAACAATACATTGTTTTCACATTAAGCGAGACGTACAGAGTATGTACAGGCCATTCCTGTTGATTGTTTCAGTTCTTCGATTCCTCACTCGGACTAATGAATACGACCGCCAATATCTTATAGCAAACCTCGTTAGAAAGCTTGTAGAGCTTATGCTTGTGAGCGTCATTTACCCAACATTAAACACAGGTCTCCGTCATCATTCTACATCCAACTAATCCCCCATTGTACTAGATTACTCTTAGGAACTATTCTGAAGACTCCAATTCATCTTAAGCAAATGAGAAACTGTTGTATCAACATAGTGCCTGTCCATAGAAGAAAGAGCAGGATATAACGGCATGTAGGAATAGCTAAGGGATTTGGAAGTAGAGGGAATCCGTAGCTTCCAATAAATGTCAATGACACATTGATGGCCATTCATCATGCCATGCTTCATACCTCAGAGAGGAGATTTCTCAACGAAGTTATCCATATTCAGTCGCTCGCCTTGAACCAAAGTTTGGCTTCAACGATGCCCTGTGGACCCGTCATAACAAATCCTCACCACAGTCCCCAAATACATTAGGAAACGCATTTCCATTCTCGGCCTGCTATGATACATAGAGTAACATCACGATGCTATTCATCGTGCTCTCATCGTTCCCAATAATATTCGAACATCCTATCTACCTAAACGCCTTCAACTCAACCGGCATTTTTGGTATACACAACAGCGTTTGTGTGAAGGGGGGAACATGTCAACTTTGGTTGATTAAAAGGGGGAAATTATGGGCTGAAATCGAGGGCCTTGCCTGCAACGAGTAACCCAATAATCAATCCGAACAGTCCGAGGACTGAACTGAAAATTTCGATGACCAGAATTTTGACGAACCTGAGAAACACGAGTTAGTAAATGTATAGAAGCATGTTTTTGCTGCATCTTACAAGCTTGGATCCGCAGCATCAGCCAGAGCAGCCCCACTACCGTTGATTCCGACGGAAACACCACAGATGAGATTGCACATTCCAACCGTTAATCCAGCCCAGAATAGTGCAAAGCCAGTGTAGTAATTGCTTCCCGAGTACATCGCGTCCCCCTCCACCAACTGCAGTTTCGATGAAAACACGATGGCCATGATGACACCATAAATAGCCACCACTTCGCAGAAAATAATCGAGATCAAGTTCTTCGTTCGGATGCGAGGAGCCCTTACACCTCCACCAAGAATAGACGACCCGGTTATGAATATACCCCTATGATACAGTGAGTTCGGAATCCCATGAAGGGCCGTGGGAGGTCGTACCATGCTGCTCCAACAACTGACAGTCCTATGCACAAACCAATGCCCATATCTGCCCAGGCGTATGGGGAAACATCCAGAAGAAATTGGCCGAACTTGAGAAGGGGTCAGTACAGCTTCGCATACAATCTGCCAGTCCAGGACGTACGTTGAAAGCTTCTCCATCACCAGTAAAGAGCAGATCTAGAAATCGTCAGACCCATCCTCTCAAACCATTTGTTTTCCTGCTTACAAGCTCCCACTATCGCCAGCGTTGTGGTAGCACCTCCAAGACCATATTTGAGACTCATCTTGCCGATTCGATTGAGCGTAAAAACCTGACGAGTTTGCGATGTCGTGGTGAAAGCTATCGGGTTGCCTTCAGGTAGTTGTGACGAGAGTCGTAATTGGCGGCTCTTATAAGGTTTCGCTTACTAAGCTGCCTCCCAAGCCTACGAGTACGACGGGACGGGACGACTCAAACTCACCGGCAATCTTTCCGCTCAAGTTTCTTGAAATATGGGAGCTGGAAGAAGCTGAAATAACCCAGTCTCTCGGAAGACTTGAAATGAATTATTTCGAGCCATCCTTGAATAGCTGGAGGTGCAAAGTAGAGGTACTACTCATAGACCTATCACCTGCTGATCCCTGCATCACACGTGACCCGGCTGCGCCTATCAGATCAATCACCTTTGTCGACTTCAACCTAAACCTCTACAACCACAACGCCAGTTCATATACACAACATGGCGCAAAACAACCAAGCCTTCTATGAACTCTACCGCCGTAGCAGGTACTGTGGTCTTTGCTCCAAGGCATTTGCTACTTTCAACTGACAGTATGGTATAGCATCGGTATGGCGCTCACGGATACCCTCGACGACCTGATCAGCGATCGTCGAATTGAACCACAACTTGCGATGAAGATTCTAGCCAACTTCGACCGCAGTATCACAGAGGCGCTCGCTGAAAAGGTTAAGGCAAGGCTGTCATTTAAGGTAATAACCCTCTACGTGAGTGGGTAAAGGTGGTTCTGCTGAGGCTAATTCGCCTTCAAGGGACATCTCGATACCTACCGTTTCTGCGACGAAGTATGGACCTTTCTGATCAAGGATGTTACATTCAAAATGGACAACCAGGCGCAGCCAGTCATTGCAGAGAAGATTAGGATCGTGAGCTGCAATAGCAAGCGACCGGGGGATCCAGCGGCAGGGTCGTGATGGACGCATGCTTACGATTACCTCAATTATGTGTAATTTTTTTGCGCTGCCATCAATATGCCAGCTGCTTTCCCCGATAGTTTTGCAATGCTTCAGGGGCTTTTCTTTTTCCGAACACGGCTCATACCAGAATGATACCAAGGGCAGGCTTCTCATTCCACCATGACGAGTGGGAGGGATCCAGGTGTTTGAGGCGTATAAGGGATATGGGGTCTACTTTTCAGACACGGTCTGATTTCATGGAGGATAGTTCATGGAGATGGTCACTAAGGATATGGAACTCATCTTTAAATCTACAGCACACTTGCCTAACCATGTTGTTGTCATTTCCTCCGTGAGAAACGCTAATACAGGTCCAACAGCAGCCAGATTCCAGGTAAGCTTGGTACGGTGGATTACTTTGGATGCTTCAACTTCTCAGCACAATTGAAACCAGTTCTAAATGCTTTGGATTAATGATCGAAATCGTTCTAACCTTCGAGGGTAATTGAACCTTTTTGTTGTCGAGAGCTGGACCAACCTTTAAAAAAACTCCCAGGGTAAAATTAATTACCAATTATCTGAGAAAGTTGAAACAACACACTAGTATACCCAATACTACCGCGAGCCCCCTTCAGCCAGGACAGCTGCTTCAAGACACTAGCAGTTCGGTGATCCGTAGTCGTAGAAACTCAGCTTTTGTTGTTGTACATACCTATGTTTTCGAAAACTTATGAATCTAGTAAATATGGGTTTTTCTGTGTTATATGATGTCATCTTATACTTGGTACTTGTATCCTTTCCGATCGTATATAAAGCTGACATACCGTGGTAAGACGGACTCAGCCCAAGTACAAGTGCTTAGGAGGGATGAAAAGCTCCCGCATTGCTTTGTCTTGGCAGCTCGTTAAACGCTACTGTAACAACCGGTAGGATTCCCGACCTTTTTTGAATCGTGTATTTGTACTGTAAATACGCTGAAATCGCTTGGCAATCGTCCTTTCCGTTTCAGGCCACTTGAAAGAAACAAGTCGCCTCTCCCGCTGCAGCTATCCAGCGGTCAGCCACATCTACAGACGGCCCTCCTCTTCCTCTCTTCGCCATGCAGCCTCTCGCGGCCAAGAATAGCAGCCTGGATCAGGGAAGTAGCACCGCCATGGAAAATCCAGCCAACGAGTTCACTCCCCTGCTTGGCAGCAAGACAGCTGCCTCCCACTCTTTATCTCAGCGACATGGCGGAGCTGAGACGACTCCACAACGACCGCATCTCGAGGCATCACCGGATTTGGAAGTGAAAGACGCAATGGAGTTCAAGGATTTGAGTCGGAAAAGCCAGTGGATTGCGCTGGCGGTGATGAGTGGTGCTTGTGCTGCTTTCAACGGCGTGTTTGCAAAATTGTAGGTCACGCTTTTTCTCCTTCTACTCCCTCGAAACCCCCGGGATCTCCTTTTTATGAAGTCATCAATTGAGACAATAGTTTGCATTGCTGGAGTTTGTTCTGAACAAAGCCCGTTTCCTTTGACTTGTACTTGAGATGAATAGCCGAATTAATCTTCAACATCCGGCGCATCCGTACAAACACTGTCTCGTGATTACAGTTACTAACATCAAGTTATAGAACGACCACCGAACTCACAACAACCTTTGCAACATGGATAGCAAGTCTCTTTGGGCTCGGAAAGGGGGAGAAAGTAGTTGAGTACATTGTCAGAGCAGTATGTACCTCTGTCCTACTTACATCGATCCCCGAACCCCGGTCACCTGTTATTCCACTAAAATAACTCCATACATCCGACATGCTTCTCAGAGTTCACAAACTAACAACACCACAGATCTTCTTCTCCTTAAATCTCATCTTCAACGGAATCATGTGGACCCTCTTCACCAAAGCACTCGCCAGAGGCACCAGCACAACCCAAGTCTCCATCCTCAACACATCATCAAACTTCATGATCACAGCTATCCTCGGCTTCCTCATCTTCTCTGAATCTCTCCCTCCACTCTGGTTCCTAGGCGCCGCCCTTCTAGTAGCCGGCAACGTGATCATCGGACGTAGAGAAGAGAAAGATACGCTCAAACGCGACGCAGATGAAGAGTCCGGCCACGGAGAGGATGAAGGTCTTTTAGTTGAGGGAGAGGAGGTGGAGTATGAATTAGAAGATGAATCCGAGGCGTTGGAAAGGAAGCGGAAGGAGAGGGAAGAGGAGGATGTTTTGCAGGTTGATTTGAGGGGGGACGTGGCGGGGGATTTGGTCGATGTTAGACATCGATGAGGCGTGGTGAAAAGGCTGCGGCATAGCGTTTTTCTTTTGGCATTTCCGTGGAGTCTTATGTAGATATTGCGCGTATTTTCATCGGGATTGTATAGTGGAAATAGAACCTTACTTGTAATGCGGATCGTGCCTACTGAATATTCTGTGGTGATCTGGTGTACCTACCTACCAATTATGGCAATCACCACTCCTTAGCAGAAAAAACTAAGATGCTTAGACCAAAAGTATGCTTTCTGCATATATCAGAACAACATCCATAAAAAGAATTTACCACTTCAGAAGTAAAAATAAAACATCAATCCTTCGTGATTCTAATCAAGACAAATAAACCCCCCAGCAGATCCAACCTCACAAGTCTCCCTCCCAAAGTCCCTGACCATGTTCCATCTCTCAGGATGCTAATTATCACCATCGACCATTCACATCTCACACAAGACGTCCTCCTTAAATACCAGCGTCAACGAAATTTCTCCCAACTCCATGAACAATAACCTTAAATAAAAGACAATAAATCCAATTTATCAACACCCCCTCTCTCACCAACATCACTTGATAAACGAAAAAAAAAGACTGTGTTTAGTGACACTCTCTCATGTTGGGATACATCACTCCTACCCAGGTCCCAGCTTCAAGTTCACCTCTTCTAACACAACCTACTATGTTCACTGGGTTTGAGGTGTTTAACTTGTGCTATGTGGAATAAGGGAATGGGAAACACGATGAGGGTGCTGTGGTGAAGAGACTGGGGTTTATCTTGTGGGCCAGGAGCTGGGGTAGGCTACTTTGAGTGAGCGGAGGGTGGATAAGCGATGTTTTGGTGGGGAGAGTTAGTATTGATCCGATAATTTGTTGTAGTTTTGTGATGGGCTTTGGATAGAAGGAAGCAGGAAAGAAATCAAGGTGTAGGTGATGATGTATCAGAACGACGTGAACACTTGATCGTGGTTTCTGCATTCATTCCTGTGGAATACGTAAAAACTAGTACATCCTCTCCAGTGTAGACTCCATATATGCCGCTCTATGCACAAACATCGGTCCTTTGACCAGATCTTATGAGCATGAGCGCAAGCAGTAATCAATCACTACCCTTCCATCTGACCAATACATTGCCCATCTGAACAATCAATGTAACCTCCTCAGCCCCTCAACAAGTCCCCTGACATCCTCCGACTTCATCTCAATGGAATTGCAAATCCCATCCTGTTGTTGCTCATCAAGATCCAAGAACCGCTCCAAAAACTCGCCATCAATAAATCGATACGGGGCGTCGTCTTCCCTAACCGCACTCTTGAATGCGCGATACGAGTGGAATTCGATAGCACCAAGAGTTTCGACATGTTCATTCATAGCCACTTGCAAATTCCAGAGATTGGTAAAGTGTTTGGGTGCAATCATGGAGAGAAGGTATATCGATCCCTCGGTCTGTGTTACGTTAGCGGCGGAAGGATAAGATGGGGGATAGGACTTACAGTAGCGAGGAATGCTTTGGGGGCAACGACAGCTTCCGAAGTAACGTTGAGGGATATTCGTTGGATTTTGTTCACCATCTCGCCTAGGTTCATACCACCAATTACCTTGAGACTTGATTTTTGCTGTTCTTCAATCGCATTTGGATCATGATTGAGAATGATCAGGTTCCCTTCTTGATCGGTTTCCAGGTAGATATTTTCCGCGATTCTGGAGACACCTGTAGACCAGCAGGCTTCGTGATGTCGAGCGAGTTCTTTGAGTTGGCCCACAATTCCATCTTCGCCGGGTATGTATTCCAGTATGGAAACAGACTTCATCATGTCTGCCACTGCAATAGTATTGTCCGTGACTTCCAGGTCAACGGGCAGAGTCGAGGTTCTATACGTAGCTAGCTTTTCGAGCTCCGCTGATACTGCCGTGCTTTCATGGTAGTCATAAATGACGACCGTTTTCACAAGAGCAGCTACAATCTTGCCGTCCATTATGTCGACTTTTCTGCAGGCACCATTAAGATTGTGAGCGTGCACTAAGAAAGGGTTTTTGTCTTGATCAACTCCAAATATAAGTATTCTGCCCTTGGGATGGTCTCGGGGATGCCAAGGCTTCTCCTCATCATCGAGAAAACTGGTTCCAACAATGAATCGTTCGACTGGTACCCGTTTACCATGCTCAGTAGGCAGCATCGCACGTATTACACATTCCACGAGCTCTGGCAGCTTTAGACCTACGCCGAGCGGGAATGGCTTTCCCATCTCTCCCAAGAGGACCTCTTCCACCAGGGAGAAATTACTCTTGAAGTATTCCTCCCCCTTTCTCAAATCTCGCTGGACGCAGCCGATACCAAAAGCTCGTTCATTTGGAGAGTAGGCTATCCTCCTTACTGTTTTCTCCATTGGTAATGTTTGTACATGAGTCCGCCGCTCTGTGTCGATCACAGATATCTTGAGATTTTCGGCTGTAGCAACAACGATAGAGCCAGGGTAGATCTGGTTGTTGAAGGAGCAGACGCAAACTGCATCGTCGGCTGTCACGGCAGAGTAGACTATAGTTCCTTCTGATCCGTAAATCAGACTTGGGTGTTCGCACATAGCAAAAATGTTGAACAGACCACCTTCTCCGGGTAAAATCTGGAATCGTGCCTGCTGAGTTCCGAGCACAATGCTCTTTCTTCCAGAAAGCGCAAGGTTCGTTCTGTCGACATTAAAAGTTAGTACGATCCCATCCTCCATTGCCACAAACAAGCTTGGACCGAATCGATCCGTAGGTAGCACCTGAGTAAGGACGATATCCCGCGGGATAGATGCGTTGTTTGATCTCCTCAGATCTTCGGAATGAACGAGCTTGAGATTATTGAGTGTCAAGATTGAGAGGGAACCCGATTTCCAGAAACCGACAAGACCAATATTTGGTATTTCCTTGGACACAAACATGCATGCAATTTGATCATCGTTGCTCAACGGTTCTACTGCCACTTCCCGTAGGCCGTCCTGTATATCTAAAGAAACCAAAGTCGTTCCGTTTGACGAGAGTAGGAGTTGAGACTGATTTGCCGAAGCTGCTGTAATTACCTGCCCTTTTGGAACGTCCCATTGAGCAGCGGGGGACGAGGGCCCCAGAGCGAGTATCACGACTGATTTCGGGGTTACTTGCAATATTGATCCATTCGGCAGATTCATCGCAAGAAGAATGTGCTGATCCATGGCTAGGCCTCTGAAGGTACTCAGTTCTTCGATACTTCCCTCTCCATCAAACGCAAAGACTCTCGATTCCGTGTCAAAAGACACCACCAAAACATCGTCAGTCGGCGAGTCCTGGCTGGATTTTAATGTGTACACGTCTCGGATGCCCTGCATGTCCGCGAGAATTCCCACGTCCTCTAGGCCAACACCGCTTCGTACACTCCGCAGACTTCCATCTCCATGTGCCCCACTGCAAGTGACAAGTCTCGCCTGCCCAGAAGCATATTCATTTGGTCGGCCCTCTCCTTCTCGGCTTCCCAAGTCCATAACAGCGAAATCCAGGATAGGGGCAATATTTGCCATGGTTTGATGAATCTTTATAGGTTCGGCAACGTCTCCCTCCAAGTCGATGGAAACAAGCTGAGAATCTCCGACATGGGAGGCAATAAAGAGATATCCATTTCCCAGATACACCAACTGAGTAGCAGTTGCCACTTTCCCCAGTTTTCGCACGGTAATGTTCTGGATCACAGCTTGTTCCGCATATATCCGCAAAACATGAAGCATACCATAGTCGTCCGCTAAGAGGTAAGTCATATCATCGTAACGATCCCAAGCAACAAATATGGTCGCCTCCTGCAGAGGAAATGTCAGAACAGCCTTACTCTCGTCATCCAAGTAAACGATTCTCGTCTCTCCAACAACCATAACGCCTCCAACGTATGCCTTGGCAGTATTCGTATTTCTGGAAACATATCTCCTTTGCTCCACTTCTCCCTTTGGCACGGGTATTAAAAAGGTTGCGCCCAACTCCAATTGGTCTATTTCATTCTCACGATGCTTCGATGGATCGAACTTGGAATACTGTGACTTTTCGTCAATAATCCTATACGTCGCCAATTTCACTGTTCCCTTTCCTTCTTCGTATAAAAATGCGACTTTCGGTCTATCTTCCTCAGTGTATAAAAAGGCCGTAGATCGAATCTTGAGCTCTGTTATCCTCAACTGCTCCGTAGCCTCCAGATAATCTTCCGAACCGCCTTTCCTCATCCTCTGTTTGACCTTTCCCAGATTCATAATGCCTTGGAAGAGCTCTAGTATGAAATATTTCCCTGTCGGATCCACCAAACATCGATCTTGGGTATTCGACTCTTGTATGAACTTTTCCGTCATATCCGTAAACTTCTGCATCGTATCCAGCTGCCGAGTTTCGGGGTTCCAGGCCACCGTAAAGTATATGAATCGAATCGTGCCAATGAAGAGGTGATCGGTTTTGGCGCCTGGGGGTCGAATCTTTGCGAACATGGAGACGCGGCCATGGATGGCTTTGGAATGGAGCATAACCAATCCATCTTCTGTTGGCACCCATATTTCCACTCGGTTTGCCTTGCTTCAATGCTTGTTAGAAAGTAATTCTTGTGTTTGGAGGCGGGGTTGCTTGAGCTTACGCCAGGACTAGGCATTCCTCATCCGGACTGAGGAGGTTCAACTTGATCGCATGGCGCACACTGCTAGGCCGATGCAGAGTTGTAACGTATGACATTTTGGCCGGCTCCCTCAAGTGTGGGAGCTAGTAGGAATTAGTAGGAATTAGTTGGAAGGATTTGGGGTTTTGGTGATTGAGAATCAACCTCCCAAAGCTTCCCTCGATGACGGGTCTAATCGTCCATGTTATCGGGGTATCTCGGGGTTAAGAGCCACAATCATATCTCCGATATCAAAAAGTGGGCAGTGGTGTCTTCACCTTTTGATCTACCTACTCATATACGAGTAGAAGTGAGAAAAGGCTTGTTCACATAATTCAAGTCAAGATTGTTTGATGAAAAAGATGATTTTATTCTTTTGGGCATCGCTCTAACCCAGGGTATCAATCCGTAAACAAAAAAAAAGCCACAACCCGGCCGTAATGTATAAGTTCCAAATAGAACTAGATTTTGGACGAAATGTTACGAATCAACCTCCATAGCATCAGGTACTGCTGGATGAACTTCCCCATCTGATAGATCGCTCCAATCATCCTCTTCCTTCACGTCTCCCTCCTTACCCTTTCCCTTCAAATCCCGTTTTCCCTTCTTGGATCTTTTACTTTTTGACAATCTTGCTTCGTCAGTAGGGGCACTGATGACATCCAGATATTCCTCGTTGTCCAGACTTGATTTCAGTTTGGGCATGTCATTCAGCAATTCCTCGTTAGTCAAATCGTCATTCGGGCCCACAAAAAAGTTCTCTTGAAATACCGCCCAAGCCTCATCTTCAGCTTCATCCACGTATCTATACTGAATCCAAGGTTCCTGTTGGGTACTCGAAATTCTTGACGCCATGGTATCAATTTTATCATTCTCGCCATCAACATTGGATTTGACCGTCATAGTGATGGCCCGGGCTTGAGGAGGTACAGCAGTGGAAGTTGAGCCATGTGCTGAGGCTTTCTTTTGTTCGGCTTGGGCATCGACGTGGTGGAATTGTGGGCGCAGTTGAACGATGTGTTTGACGGGAGTAAGATGGAGTTGATCTAGAAGTGAATTTTAGCAAGTGCACAGCTATGAATAAGTGGCCCGTATTACTTTTGCGAAAGGTCCCGACCATATATTGCGGATTTGTGCCATCGCTAGTAACCATTTGACCACCCAAAGTCTGCTTTGCCAATACCTTCCCTTCCCTGACAGCACTGACAAATTCTGTTGAAGTCATGTCTGAAATATCCTCTTCTTCTCCTTTCGTCTTCCTGCCTCTAGCCTGCGTACCCCCAATGCCAAAGCCGCCAGGCAATCCATGACTTCCATGGCCTTTACTCGCAGCGCTGGTTCTCAAAGCCGCGCCAAAATTCATGCCCTTCGATCTATCGTAATTGTTGAAGGCATCTATTGGCACATCGATCTCGACCATACCAGTCTTGGGCTTGGTTCTAAACTTCATGGGCTGGCATTCATTGGCGCTTGAGTAAGGTAGGTCCACTCCGCGATTGGGGAATTGAAGGACATAAATATCGCGATTGATGTTGCTTTTTGGCTTGATATAGACATCGTAGCTCGCGACAATTGGATCCGTGTCGTCGATGTTAGGGTCTCCCATTTTGAGAGGTCGTGGTGGAATTGACTTTGGTTTTTGAGTTAGATTGGCGGGGTTGTTTTTGAGAGGAGCTTGATGAGCAATAAAAATAGTTTTGATCGGAGGTTAATGTTGCCGATATCTTGGCAGTCTATCGATAAGACAACGAGAACCTGGGGTACCGAGATGTGGGGGCGGAGGGGGATGGCAAATGGATCGGCTTCTGGGGGCTGAGCAATGACGCGGTTAAAGCGACTTGCAGTTTCTACGGACTACTGCGAGCTGACTCCATCGCATCGCCTCTCATTCACACTCCGCAGGTATCAAAGATACTCATACAACCAACCTACTTAAACTCGAACTCGCACTCGCACCCCTTATCTTCTTTCTGGCATCCTATTGCTACAACGATCATACCAGAATGTGTTCATCAGACGTCTTCCTAGGCTTACTCGCCATACTCTTCCCCCCTCTTCCAGGTAAGTCTCCGGCACCCCCCCTCGCCTTCGAGGCAGTCGCAATGTTGACAAAAAGGCGAACACTAACATCTCAAAGTCTGGGTCAAAACAGGACTCTGTTCCGCCGACTCTCTCATCAACATCTGCCTCTGCATGTTGGGGTTCATACCCGGCCTGCTACATGCGTGGTACATCATCGCGAAATTTCCAGAATACGATGAATACGATCCCGTGCCTCAAGATGCCGAGTCTGGCCGTGTGACCTATGTTGTTGTTACAACACCAAACGGAGGCCACACCAGAGTTCAAAACCACAACATCCAGCCTGGCCCTCAAAACTATGGTACAACAGCCCCAATGGCGCCTCCAGTTCATCAAGATCAGAACGGAACTTGGAATAACAATGGAGCGGAGGGGAGCAGCGGGGCCGTCCCTCCTCCATATGCCGAGGCTGTGAAGGGAAATCATAAAGTTCAATCAAGGGACTAGATGGCAATTCTTCAATGGCGGGAGCTTGTCTTGACCTTTGCCTTTGAGATAGGCAAGGGTATCCGTAGAACTCGGACGGTACTTTTCTGTAAACTTTGTAATCTTATGGAATTTTTGGCGCAAGGAGGGGTCGGTGGGCTAATATCAGGGAGCAGATGGTGAAGACATCAGACTCGACGGTCAACTGTTTCATAGGCGTTATATCCATCCTGTGGGATACTGATGGTCACACTGGGTGGCCAAGCATTGGAACTGAGCCCGTCATTAGGATTTTGAGATAACAAATTCATTATTTTTGAAACCGATTGACACAAGCGATTTGGTTAGCAGACGGCTTGGGCAATATCTGCTAAAGTCCTGAAATGAACCTTCTGCAAAAATAGAAAGATTCAGACTTCTAATCAAATTCGCAAAGTACTGTAAAACGAAAAGAGCCCCCCTCAAGTAATTTCTGCGTCTACCCTAAGTTATAACTACATAGCGTGTATCAAGTATCACAGAAAGGCCGGCCAAAAGAAGCTTCAATAAAATAAAATAATTTGCTAGGTTTACATAAATGTATTACGAACTGGACCTGCAGTTGCCACTCGTAATGCAAAGGGTTGGCCCCAATAATCTACCTAAGACTGGTAATGATACACCCCAAATGTAAGAACGCCATGTCTCAAATCATACCCAAAGATCCAATGTATCCAGAAATACTTACATTTTGTATAAGGAACAAATTGAAAACCCTCCTATCTATAATTTTCCCAGCAAGTGTCAACCGAATCTTCTACTTCCGGTCTGATGACATCTCGAAGCTTGTAGCCCTCCAGCGCAAACGGAATGAAGTCGTAAATCATGACTATTCCTATTGTTAGTTTACCAGTTGTCCCAAACTCCACCTGGGTTTGGTCATCATCAGATCCCCTTTTAGGCTGGGAGTCAACTGCTCCTCTCCACCTCATGAACCACTTATTATGTATGTTTGAGGGCCAGTAACCGCTTTTCAGTACGCAGCATTTCTCAAACTTCTTCAGGGTCGCTGGTCTGTGAATTTGAGGGCACAAACGCGCCGTCCCTTGGAATTTGTCGCCCAACGAAAATTTTGCCCATAGTTGCCGCTCGTGGTGTTTGCTTTTGATATTGTCCATGTGGATGGTCCAATTCATCTCTGTTGTTTTTGGTAATCCCAGGAACTCTGCTAAATGTGGTGCTTGGATTATCCATTCACCAGTGACATCCCATACGCCAGCAGGGGGCATGTCGATGAGTTCTGAGCTTGTAGCGGAAGAAGCAGCAGAGGCGGAAGTCGTTTTTCTTGTTGAACTGGCGCCATCAGCCGTTGCAACTGGGGCAAACGCAGTGTAGCTACGTGGTTGTGAGACCATATTATCTTCCTAAGTCATTAATGTCAGTCTATCATTAAAAACACAGTCAGGCAGATCAGTACTCACGAAAGGGTTGTACTCCAGGTCATCCCATCGCTGCTTAACTAGCCATGGTGGCTTAGCGAATTCTCTCTCAAGATTTCCTTCTTGGAAGCTTTAAAGACAAATTCTTCTCCACTATAGATCATGCAAAATTCGATATCAATAACCGTGAAGTCGAGTGTCGAGGAGACAGGGTCATGTACGAAATAAAGCTCAGTTTTCTTCCGTTCAGCGGGTGTGCCTCCCAGCTTCCGATTCTGTCTCATCCCCCCATCTATGCCACGCCAATTCGTAACCCAAGTTGAGTTCCTTAAACCAGGTTTGACTCCTGTATCAAGGTCACAGAACTTGCTAAACTCTGAAGCTGTGCAGTTTGTGCTATCTTCCTTGGCAGTGAGGGGGCAATGCCGCATGATGCCTTTCAAGTCGCCAAAATCGAATTCGCCATAGAGCTGGCAAGGTGAACAGTGACGGTAATAGTACATTTTTAAATGAAAGTTCGTAGTGTCAACTTTATGGTGTGAAGCGCTCTTTAGGGTGTATTGGCCTTCAACATCCCAAAAGACCTCTGGAGCCTTTAGTATCGGTTGAGCGTGGGCTTCCAATCTTGGCATAGAAGAATCCAGGCGTTGAACTGGTATTGAACCCTGGCTAACATCAATGTTGTTAGGACAACACAAGCAGACTCAACCAATCTCCTATCTTCAGGAGGAATACTATCAGAAGCCACGCTTCCTTGGGACTCTACTCTGCTCCCCTGACCCCTAGTTTCACCCAGTTGTACATCTCCATGGCAAGCCCACATTTCGTGGACGCTGGTACCGCTTGCTTGCGGAATTACCACATCTGCATAATCTATTCCAGATAAGTGAGTATGTCTGTCTCGGTAGGCATGGAAATTTAGCGTTGTCTTGTTATCCCCACGTGTGAAGTGACCCTGGACTTGGAGATCCCTATCGTAAGAACGGCAGAACGTAAAACTGCCGAAGTCTGTATCACTGGGACCTTCTTTGGCGCCTGTATCAACACTAGTTGCCCTCCACCTCGTCGACCATCTGGGAATGCCATTCGGTTCCCGTGCAACTTGGACGTCCTCGGCCAAGAAGCACTTCTCTTCAAAAGATCGCCTTGCGGAACCGTCCCAGTCACAAAAACGAATAATCCCCTGGAAAGATCCAAATTTGGAGATTGCCCATAGTTGCTTTCCTGCCTTGTTGTCTTTTATGTCGTCTGTGAGCTGGATTTTCATGCCCATTTTCCCGTAAAGTTCGGGCAGCCAAAAAATGCGGCCAAATCACGCGACCAGACATACCAATCCCCAGTAATATCCCACGGTCCGTCCCTTGAATAGTACGGGCGCATTCTGATATCATTGCTGTATTCGTAGTAATCCCAACGATCAAAAAGATCTCGGTGATCCTGAAACGGGGGAACCTCTCCATCAAGCTTGAATCCATAGAAATGTAACGGCCCTGATTCAAGAAAGAAGAAGCTTGCGAGGTTGAGCCGCCCGTCTTCGTCTTGTTTAAAAGTACATTCAGTTTGGAATTGATCGGCGTTATGAGTGTGATTAGTTCGGACGTCAAGACTTCTTCCTCTCGTAAGCCAATGCGTTTGGCCGATTGGGTCTGGTCCTGGCCAACAACCTTCAGAATCGCATGCTTTCTCAAACTCTGTGACATTCTCTGGCCATGCATTTTGATCCTTAGGAACAGGACAGAAACGAATAACCCCCTGCAATGCACCGAATTCAACTTCAGCCCACATCTGGCGTTTCTCTCCCTTCGTTGAAGACGATCTGATTGTCAGGTACATTGGGCCTTTTCCTTCATCGGAGACATCGAACTCTCGATGCAGTCTGGAATAGTCTGCTGGACTGTCCGCTCTTAGCTCCCATCTCCCGTGAACGTCCCATGCCCATTGGGGGGCTTTTCCAGTAGTGTCGCCATTTTGTGCAGTGTTTGATTTCGGAGGTTTAGAGGCAGACTTCGTACTTTTTGCTTGTGCCTTGCCTGGAAGATTGGTTTTATCAGAAAATGCAACGCGTTTGGCTTTTGGTAATACCAACGAAGCAGTCTCGCCGTCCTTGGTGCTTGTATTGTCCGATCCTCGCTTAGCTGGAATTGTGGAAGCTGTCTTTGATGGGTTGGGTTTGGCCAAAGGCTTGTCTGCCACCGCAGGAGCTTTCCTTGACCTCGTCAGTGGAGGCATTTCGATTGTTGTCAACCAAAAATTCAAGATGCCACGTTGGAAATTGTAAAATTGATGATGTGATGTAATTCGCGTCGTCGTCGCGTACTAAAGTCAATAAGCCGACAAGGCTGAAGCTTCAGGGGCAGCTATCCCGGACGCGCCAAGCATTCTCCACCAAGCAGCCCACCCGAATCCGCGAGGCTTCAATTCAACCTTGGCCATAGTTCACAACTGCCAAAACGCAGAAAGCATGTCAATACCAGGCATACCAGGCATTCCCGGTCTTGGGCAGGCCCCAGCAGCTGTAAGTTTCTTTCTTTGCACCAAGATTCTTTGGATTGATGTCTAACTCAAGCTAGGCCTCTTTCGCTGCTCCCACAGCTACCTCGTCTGTAGTTCTCCACGAGCTACAAGCAAATTCAGAATGGAGATTTGAAGTCGCATTTGGAAGGAGTATCGAAGTAAAGGTGATACTCTTTCAAACTTCTCAGTGTATTTCAAAGCTAATAAATCTCTAAGCTTCTGTCCGGAACCGCAGAAATCTTTGGGACCGAGCTGGCAGAGAAACACGCCTACACCTTTCGCGGAACCAAAGCCTCAATATTCACATGGCACGGATGCAGACTTGAAGTCCCAGGAACATGCGAGGAATACACAGCAGAAGATACGCCTATGGTACCATATGTCAACACCCATTTCGCACTCGAGAAGCTACGAGATGAAGCAGCACAGAACAAAGGAGAGGGACCCCGAGTCCTAGTCGTAGGACCAAACAATGCCGGGAAAACGAGTCTAGTAAAAATACTAGCAGGCTACGCAATCCGCATGGAGCGTCAACCAATGGTAATAAATACCGATAATAGGGAAGGATTATTGTCGATTCCTGGGAGCTTGACAGCTACACCGTTTGCCTCGATTATAGATGTGGAACAGGGATGGGGGAGTAGTCCTACGAGTGGTCCAAGTCCGGTGCCGGTGAAGCTACCTCTGTGTTACTACTACGGATTACCTAGTCCAGAAGATAATACAAAAATGTTCAAATCTGTTGTGACGAGGTTGGCGTTAGCTGCGACAAGTAGACTAGCAGCCGATCCAGCTGTGAAAGAGACGGGGATGATTATTGATACCCCTGGGGTCCTAAGTCAAGGAAAGGAGGGCTATGATCTGATATCACATATTGTGATGGAATTCTCGGGTAAGTGAGGTTCAGACCTCCTTCCTCGGGACATTTGCTAAACGGATACATCAGTGAACATCATTCTGGTTCTAGGTTCAGAGAGACTGTACAGTGAGATGAATCGTCGATTCGCAAGTAACACAACTCCTGGTCAAGCTGTTACGGTAGTAAAGCTAGATAAGTCAGGTGGATGCGTTGACAGAGACGATGCGTTCATGCGACAAACACAAGAATTAGCAATCCGAGAATACTTCTTCGGAGATTCAAAAAGAACACTAAGTCCACACACCCAAAACGTCAATTTCGACGACATAACCATCTACCGAATCCGAGAATGTAAGCATTCCCCTTCCCCCTCACCCATCCCACGCTCCTCAACCTAACAACCCCCAGCATCCTCAACACACATCTCCTTCCTCTCAGGCGACTCCACAGAACTCGACCCCAGCTCCTCAGAAATCTACGAAAAAGTCTCACCCACCGGTCTCCTTCTCCACTGCATCTTCGCCGTCATGTACGCCACGCTGCGCGACACGCAGGAGACGATCCGCGACGCGAGCGTGATGGGGTTCGTCTATGTCGCCGAGGTGGATGAGAAGAAGCGACGGTTGAAGATTTTGGCGCCGTTGAATACGAGGATTACTGATCGACCGATGGTTTGGGGGACGTGGCCGGAGAGTAGTGTTAGTTTGATTTAGAGAGGGGGTGGGGGTTTGAATGGGGGTTGTGTGGATGACTGATTGTGGGATTGAGTGAGTGAGATGAGTGAAGATGATTTCAAATCGGGTGAAATTGGAACTTGGATGTGGTGAGGTTGAATTGAGCGAACCGTTGAAGTGAATGGGGTTAATCAGTCGGATGAGGGGAATAAAGTAAAGGAGATGAGATGTGAAAGGAGGATTGTAGGAATGGATTGACTTGAAGATGATTGTTACTGTAATCTTACCTGAAGGAAGCACTTGTCGTAACAGTAATCTCAATTCAATGGATCTGTCGAGTAACGGTTTTTTCCCGATTATAACAAAAATTGAGCAAATCTGGTACTCGAGTACAGTATAAATCACTTAAAATGATTCAAGAGAAGGGGAGCTTTTCACTGGCGTTACTATAAGAGCAGCGAGAGCCTTTGGCTAAGAAAGATTTCAAAAATAGGGGGGTACACTAAGAATAAGAAACCACAATCACAAAAACGAGTCATCATTGTTTCAAACTCGAAAAAAAATTCTCCTTTATTGTAAAATCTTCGGTATTTGTTTGAAAACCCAGCGAAGAACTTTTCTCATCATGCTGCTCTATGTGTGTGTTGCTGTATGTGGGTATTTTGTCACCAAAAAAAATAAAATGGCAGCATCATTTGCAATATGTCCCAGCCATTCCCATCTAGAAAAAGATTCCATCCTTCAATTCAGTCCAAAGCAACTCCATATCCAATGCCATTCCATACCAGTCGTAAAGTTCCCCATAAGTCTTTGAATGAGGGAGGTATCACCGTGAGGTTTCTCCTATCTCGCCTAGGAACTTAACCACATTTCGGATACCCGTCAACGCATTCTCGTCGGGGCCTAAACCTGGCGTCCATTGCGCATGCGCAAAGTCAATCACCTTTACACTATAGATTTTGGGACTGCGTTCTTCATCCTCCAAGTCCTCTTCGTCGTCCACGGAACCGTTCTCGTCGCCGTTTACTAGGGTTGCCGGGGAACGACTGGCTTCTTCCATGGCGGCTCTCAGAGCTACTCCATCTCCCTCGTATACAAACAGGAGACTGGATGAGAACATACGACTTTCCTCTTCTTCAATAATTTTTTGGATCCTTGAAACATCAGCTAGGAAAGCTTGCGCGACTAGCTTTCCCAGTTCCTCGTCGACACCAGCCGATTTTATGAATAGAAAGTTATGAAATGCCTCGTGCAGATTGTGGTCTTGGATTGTTTGTCGGCCGTAGAATTTGTCGTAGACCTTGTAACCATCTGCGTCGACCCCCTCTCCTTTTGCGTCGGGTCCTTGCCAGACACGCATTCCCGCTATTCTGAACCCAAATTTCTTGTGTGTGGTATCGTTTGCAACTTTGTCGAAGCGTTCTCTCTTGGCTATATCGGCGTCATCTGCCCATAATCGTACACCTAGCTTGATATCCAAGATATTTGGCTTCACGAAACCATGCGCTGCATTCTCCAATACCACTGCTTGGGTCGTCCGTATCTTCTTTGAGACCTTCTTAGGGTCTTTAGGGATGGGGGAGACTACAACCTCGGGAATGGTGTGTTTTGCGATCAATGCTGCGCCGGCTTCCTCAATAGTTTGACCACCTTGTTCCTCGTCCAGTGTCAATGTTCCCATGTACGTGGACATGTATTCGGCGAATTGGGGATGCGAGGCGAATGATTCCTCGTAGAAGGCAATTTCGTGCGGGGTGCACGGTTTGATGAAGAGTTCTCCATCGACGTCACAAAGTGTGCCGTCGCTAAATCGCAAGTCAGTATATTTTTGGGCGAGGAGGAAAGTTCCAATGGATGCGCGCAATCGACTCACTGGCCTGCCACACCGTGCTTGTACTCAATCAAATCCGCGTGTTGCGGGAGTGATTTTGCCATGTTGACTGGATATGGCTTCTAGTCGCAAATTGCTATGAATGTATCATGGTGGGAGGGCGGATGGGGAGGTGTAATTGTATGTGGATGGCAATTGAGGACTTGCGTAAAAGAGTAATTTCTTTGATGAGAAGGAGCGGCTGAGCAGTTAGTTTTCTTTCAAGGGAGTTGGGTTTTCGAGAACGCTGAGTGGTGAATTGGATTGCGCTCAACGGTGCCCTGGATGCAGTCTGCAGATGTATGTTTATGGCTGGATGTACACGACGAGACATGCGCAGTTGGTGGTGATGGTGGTGATGTTGTACGAGTATGGACAAAGAAGCAACGAGGGCACCGGGATCTATTTCTTGATATGATGCACTTTACCTGGTTGGGACGCTGGGACTGCGTGGCAGCGGGCTGGAGAGAACCCTGAAAGTTACAGGTTTAAAAATAATTGGTGGGGGAAGGAACGGTACTCGCACGCTGGGCCCAACCGGTGGGGCGTGTGAATGGCGCGTGCGGCGTGGGCACTGGGAGACTGGGAAGGTTTTGGGATGAGGGGGGCACTACCTACTGGGGGGAGAGCGGGGGAAACGGCAAACGGCCTCGCTGTCGACGTCGTCGGCGTCGGGTTGTGCTTGAGTGGAGGTACTCGTAGTGAATGTTGCAAGAAAGAAATTGATCCACCCACACCATCCACACCCACCGTCGTGGGCAATCGCAAATGAAAAGTCGGCATCGATCCCAACCAACGCATCGTGCAGGAATGTGATCCTTTCCCTTCCCAATGACTCCGTAGCATCGACATCATGGTGTGGATATCATACCGGTACATGGTCGCCTACGACACAGCCTCACTGATTAACGGTCGTGGCAGGAGGGTTTCTATTTACAGAAGCCGTAGCACACCTCGTGGAAGCATTGGAAACACAACATCGGCCACCCACAGCAGTCTCCCAAAGGCACAACACCACACTGCAATGATTATCGTAACCCGGTCTGGCCGCAGAGCTGGTCATCCCCCACTCCCACACCGTATCTCTAAGCAAACATCCTATTCTCCGATGAGATGGCAAGAGTGACTTCGGTCTTCGGGCACCTCCGCCTCATCAGAACTGGTACTGCCTATCAAAAGATACACTACTTTGCCTAGCTGCTTGCTGCAGATTCCGACAGTAATCTATCATATTTCTCAAGATATCTTGAGTATTCTCATCTTGTCATTCGCTACTTGCTGAGACACCGAGATTCTACAAATGGCAGGTAACAGTACATACGGCCCGTCGTGGCAGCCATGAGCCGATACTTGTTCGGTCCAAGAACATGCTGTACTGCTGTGTCTGAGCTTGAAGTCTGGATGAAACCGAATTTCTAATCAGAAGTAGCAAGTAGTCTTGTAGGAAGACTTCATTGACTACTCTTTGACTCAACCTCGGATAGCCAGGAGAGACATCTGGCAAGTCTCCAAGCACTGGAACAAGAGGTGGATTTTTCAGTCCTATGAATATGCTCAAGTCGATGAGCTTTAATAGCATTTCTCGAGATTTTGACGTATTGTCCACAAATAAGCAAGAAAGAGGAATTAAAATAATATTAAGAGAATATGCAGAGATACGAAACTTTGTGGCATAAGAGAGAAGTAAAGTTCTTGCTACAAATCCCCTGGCAGCTCTTCTGTATTTGATAGCTGACTTCAAAAGAAGTCGATGTGATGAACCTTGAAAGAAGAACTGGGACTGGGAAAAGAAAGTATGCTGCAAGAACCTAAGCAGGGAATGTATACTCATTGGAAATGTTTGCGAAAAGCGAGTGGATTGCTCCATTCAGTTTGCTTGCGGTTTGTTTGCTATACTTGACACCACTGACCTTAGCATTCTAATTGTTCTCTTGTTAAGAGTTCTTTCCTCGTCAACTCACTCGCAGCGTCACCTTCTTTTTTTTGCTCCCGCCCTCACTTTGAGTGAAAGTGAGATCTTCTGAGTTTTTCTCCTTTCAATTCACTTTCACTCCATATCCTGCTCATCTTCTCCTTTGGCTTTCCACGGATTTCAATATCGACCACTACCACTGCCCTTGCCACCCTACCTTCAACCTCCAACTCCCCCAACCTCTAAGTACCAGACCTCTCTGCTCTCCATCAACAAGACTACGCAGCCTCACAATCATGGCAAAAAGCAAGAAGCCAAAGCCAACTGGCTTTGAAGGTATAATCCTCGCTCCCTTCAACACAGAATCCAACTCACCTTCCCCCACAGAATTCTACGCAGACCCTCCCATTACTCCCGCTGAGTATGAAGAGGAAACTGAAAACCAGTACCACTCCGAACGCCCCTTCCACGACCGTGTTCAGACAGCCATTCAGCGTTACCGTGCACGCCGCAAGCTCGATGAAAAGCGCGCTAACATCTTCACCAAGTACCTCCTCTTGGGTGGTGTCGATGCTACTCCTAAGGCTTTTACGGGAGGAGCTTTGGACGAAGAAACGCTTGCCAATGCTACAGCTGAGGAAATTGCTGCAGTTCAAGCAATCGACTTCATTCGCCCAGGAGGAGATGACGCAGTCAACGCAAAGTTTTATGATCCCACCCAGGAGGGTAAATGGGTTGTCGATTTTGAGGGTATTGTGAAGGCCTTCTTGTAAGTGCTCCTTCTGCTGGTTGTTGCATATGCGAAATTGACTTCCCTAGCTCATGCACTGTACCACAAAGGATCGGAATTCACGATGACGAGATGGTCAAATTGGCTTGTAAGGTAATCAAGAATTTCTTGGATTATCTTCTACAACATGAAGTGTGCCCAGAATATACAGAGGAGATCATGACTGCAAGAAAGGTCTGTCCGCTTGCTGAGAAAGAGCTTACGGCTATTCGGAAACTTGGAACTCTTATGCCAGGCAAATTCAACATGGCTTTATCGACCCTGTTTGGTGGCCAGTTTCAAAGCTTTGCTGTTCTTGATGCTGCTACATGGGATGACGGAGATGACGGTAGAGATTTTGCCCTCGACGAGAAAACTGCCAAAGAGATTTTTGTAGAGGGAGCCAGATTTCTTTCTAGTCGTGGAATTTCCTTCAACAGCTTGAGCACAATCGTTAGCGTGGAGCAGAGAACTTTTCAGGTGGTGAAATCCGACGCGTCCTCGGGAGATCTTTTGGTGCCAATCGTATGCAAGCCATGGAAGGGTCCGGGATTGGATGAGTTCGATATGCCGGAACCCATGCCTAAAGGAGAGCAAACCTTCTGGCTTGAGCCGGAGATTGTTGTACTTCTTTACGTTGGTATGAAACTAGAGGTGGCACTTTGTGAGCTCGATAATGGTTACAAGTTCTTCGATATGGCTGGGATCTTCTGCTCGTTTTACACGTTTATGGAGAATGAAAAGATGCAGGATTGGAGGGAGCCAGGTGAGTAGTTCTACTCCGTGATAGCTTACATGCTAATATCTTGTAGTACTCAGCACTCGACCAGGGCCTACAGAAGATGACCCCGACGCGGAGGAGGCAATGCTAGAGGGAGATGAGGAGGGGGATGCCGATTAAAGGGGTTTGAATTTAACGGTCTTTCAACGAAAAGGGTCTGCAATCCCAAGTCCATGGTCAAGACTAATAACAAGGGAGTCAGCAACATATGCACGGCATTTCGCTAATATTTGCAAGAGCCCTACAACACCTCCCTTCCTTGTAGCCTCCCCCCACACTGACAAGACATTTTCTGTCGTTGATGGGGAAACACAACGTTTACAGAGTTCATCATGAAATCCATAGCATTTACAAAGTCGTAGGAAACACGAAAAGCAAATTTAATCTGCAATCAATTACTTTCCAAATTAGCAAGCTCCTTTTCTCCACCTATAAATCTACTCCCTCCCTACCTTCCCAACTCAAATAACACTATACTACCTAACACCATCTATCACCTTACCTACCACCCCTATAAAGCCCCCTCACCAAACATTACACGCCCCCGCATTTGCCCGTAACGAAAGTCCTATATTAAACGTTCCACCTTCCCCTCCTTCTCCGCCCCCATATACTCCTAAGCAAATTAGCTTCCTAGGTATGAAACCTGCGTTCCCTACCTCTACCATGGAGCAAGAATGAATGCTACCCTACCTTCCTTTCCGTTATAAGGCTTCCTGGCTTCCTAGTTCCCATTCAGATTCGGCTCTCTTCCCTCCTATGTGTGGAATTTGACTTAAATAAATAGGGATCTATATCTCGACCCCCTTCCCGTCCTACCATTAAGATATGGGTAATATGTAAGAGGTTAAGAGGTTAAGAGTGTAAGAGTGTAAGAGTGTAAGAGAGATACAGACAGAGACAGACAGAGAAGGGGGGAGAGGGAGGGAGAGAGGGAGGGAGAGAAAAAAATAGAATCGACGGCACCATGGCTTTTTTAGAAAGGGACAAGGAAACATAGAAGAAACTCACACTCTCATCCAACCAGGTAGCACATCCGTCATACCCAGACAATATCGAAACATCCCGTACGTCTGCGTACAATGATGTTAGTCATTCAGACAGCTGCCATATCGAGTCAATCGATCATGTATTAGATCACTAAACCGCCGCGGTTCTGTGATCCTCGATTTCGTTTAAGTATCGCACCAGCCCCCATCTATTGGGACTGGATTGATGTCGGTGTCGTTGTGGGCCCAACCCCCATCTATTGGGGTTGGAGTAGCGTTATACCAAGTCGCTACTTGGCATGTCGCGTCGGCCTTAAATCACAATTCATGTGAAGTAAGGCATTCTTCTCTGGAATTTACCATGAAATTCGGGACGTTCATGGGATGAGGTGAGGTGAGCTTGCGTCCAGGAAGGGGACTGTTTGTATCTTAGCTTTTTTGGTCGTGGATTTTACCACTTGCCCATCGATTCTTTTTTTGATGGCTGGAATGTGGTTGTTTGAGTATATGTAAGGGGTTTTGTAAGCTCTAGTTATTCACTATTAATATGTTATTAAGAGGGGTCCATTGGGGCTGGGTATTAATGTCGTTTATATCCAGTCCCAACGAGAGGTCCTCTTAACATTTTAGCACGTGCCCTCGCGCCACGCGCCAGCAAACTTCAACACGGGTACGCGATCTCCATAAGATAAGAACATTGAACCTCATACGTTCATTTTAGAGCGCAATTGCAAAAAGGCGTTCACGATGCCCCAATTCACTCCAGCCCAGATGTAAATTCTGGAATGGGAATGGCAGCACCGTGATGGCGATGACCGACCCGAGAAGAAACGATCTATATTTGCTGCCGTGGAAATGAGTATGGTAGGACCACGAGTCACATCTCAAGCAGTTGGGAAGTTGGGTCAACAATAGGCTTGTATTATGGGACTCTACTCACTTACAACATTGCAGATATTTCTCGAACCGTGCCGCTGCGGAAAGTGGTATTTTCCCTAGCTTGCAAGATTCTTTCTAGAGGGGACGAGTAATGATTTCGCAGGTCGCTCCCGTACACAGGCCAAAACACCAGAACAGCTTGAGGTTCTTCGCTCAAGCTGGGAAGACGACCCGTTTCCGTTGACGGGCGAAAGAATCCTCCTAGTCCACGAAACGGGCCTCCAGAAAGCGCAGGTCGACAGCTGGTTCCAGGCTGAGAGGAAAAAGGCAGAGAAGAATGGCGAGGATCTTTGGTCTAGGAATAGAGATAATGATCCGAATGCCGCGGCAAAGATGTGGAGAGCGTATAAGAGAGATCCGGATGGGTATGTGGAAGGTCTAACGTCTGGGAGAATACATCCTGGGACTCGCGATGAACGGTATGTCCTAAGAGATGAAGACGGGGAAGAGAGAAGTGCTGTGGAGGAGGCGCGAAGTGATGGGGATGAAGAGCGAGGTATTAAGGAGGAAGATCGAAGCATCAAGGTAGAGGAGCAAACCATCAAGATAGGCGAGCGAAGCATTAAGATGGAAAAACGAAGGATTAAGGCGGAAGGGCCAAGTGTCAAACTGGAAGAGCGAAAGGTTAAGATAGAAGAGCGAAATATCAAAGTGGAAGAGAGATGTGTCAAGGAAGAAGCCCTAGGTATCAAGGAGGAAGAGAGATTTATCAAGGAAGAGGATAATTGAATGGCATAGGTTGGTTCTGGGCTACAAAAACCAGAATCTACATCTCCCAAGCAGATTAACCAATCTCCTGAACAAGTATGCGATTTTTCTTGGTTTATTTCATAACCAAACTGCAGAGAATGTTCTGGCTGGTGTTGTGTTGGAAACATGAGGAAAGTTCTTCACATTCACAATTGTGTATGGACACGATATGCAAAAACAAACCCGCAGTAAACTAATCCCTCGTTATTCCTTTTCATATCTTGTGTAACCAATCAATCTAATAAATATTTAGGAGAATTGTTCTACCTTTGTAGAACCTCTTTTTTTCATAGGTCAAGAAAAACCATCAAGATAAGACAATCATCAGAAAAAGCAATTCTTCACTCCCACTTTTCCTGTCCACCACCCTCATTTGTGGGCCTTGCCGCTTTGTTGGTCCTGTAATCTTACTGTATTTGTCACTCCTCAACCTCATGAAATCATTTCCAATTCTCATAACAATAAACAAAGATGATGACAGTTAACTGCAGCGTTTGCTCCAGCACAACCAGCACCCTCAAGAAGTGCGGCAAGTGCAAAGAGGTATGTTATTGCTCAATAGAATGCCAAAAGAAAGCATGGCCCGCCCATCGCCGTTATTGTGGTGGAGCTTGGTGGGACACTCCCAAAATGAGGAGAAACGAGGATAAGAGTCTACATTATGGGTGAGTATGTATAATTACTCGGCGTCTACGATTTCGATTATGAAGCTTGGGTGACTGATTGTAATTGATACCGGAATAGAAAACTGGAGCTTGTTACTTGGACAACTGGAGACTTTGGATGGGGAAACACTTACGTAGAGGAAGAAGATTTGAAGAATAAATTTGAGGTCTGTTTTGCTCTTTAATTTTTTCTCGGTATTTCTTGAGTCAACGAATCACTGAAATACACCAGGACGAGTTCCAATCCGATGAAAAGCAACTTTTCGATTACTGGCCATCAGGTAAGCTTGGTTGCCGCGACTGATCTCTTCGCTCCGAGTCCTCCAAGTTCTAAATGCCGGATTGCATTGACTTTGAGACTCAGCATTTCGGTGGACATGTTGCGGAAACGATGCCTCACAGAAGTTTGGCTGCGATCACCATGGAATGGGTCCGAAGCCTTGTACCTGCGACTTTTGCAGGTGAGTTCTCGGCTTTAACCTACGTTATGAATTCCACTGATTGTGATAGAATGGGAAAACCTTTGACAGACTCGATATTCGAGAGTACCTCAAAGAAGCAACATGCCGTTGGATTGGGCCTTGTCAAAGGACCTGACCCGAGAAGCTATAACGCACATTCTGCTCTCATAAATGAGATGGCAAGAAGTGCCATGGGGATGGACGGCTGATCGGTGTTGTTTTGAGGCTGGAAAAGGTGTAATTCATTCCATATTGCACATTTGTACTTTGGTTCATTGCTAATAGAGCTGTAAGTGAGTTTGGGGTTTGAAGTATAATGCTCCTATGTGTCCTTTCTGTTGGTTTTGAGATTACCGGTAAGAGGCGTGGTCGTTACTATGTATACACCTCTCTTAGAATAATAAAACTATTTTAAAAGCGTCGTAAAACTAAAATAAATATAAAAAGAGCTCAACATAATTGTTGTCGGCTACTTTTTGTTAGCCTAGGTATACTAATATCGGTATCTTCCTTTACTAGAAGTTCAGTATAATAACATATTATATAATGTGTATAGATTAACGACCAGACATCCTACTCAAATTATATGCCAGATTATTCCAGACGACTAGTTGGGTATTGCAAAAGAGCTGAATGTATCAATGAAGGGAAAGCGGATCGTCGCTAGTGAATGTATTGGTAACACGTCTCTACCTAAGTGATTGTTATAGTGGAAAATGACGCTAGGTAGTTGGAATACATAAAAAGGAGTGCGCAGGAAACCTGCAAGTAGTCTTTTCTAGACACTCCAAAACATATCCTCATGATGGACTTGCTATCAAATGATATTGCACATGCGAACACAAGCCAAAACAATATGGAGTCTTATTGGCAGAATGCCGTAAGCGATTTCCTCCCAGCCGGACCATTCGACTGTTGGTTTGACAAAAATCCCCCAGCCAGTCTCTTCGAAGTCACCTCTAGAACCACCAAGAAAACCTGGCCAGCACTTAAGCACAATGGCAAAAACAACATCCTCCTCTACAGTGGTTCTTTCAACCCACCCAATCAAGGCCACCTTGCAACCATTCTATACCTTTACAAGTACCGGAAAGAATTTGATATACTTGCAATGTTCGTCTTTACCGATCCCGATGACCTCATTCGTGGCAGAATGAAGGATAGTGGCGAAATAGTTCTTCCTCAAGAACTGCGAAGCCTTATGTTTGCAAAAGAACCTGAATTATCGGAACCGTTGGAGGAAGGATGGCTTCAGATCCTTCTGGGAACTAAGGAGGGAATCACGCAAGCTCTTATAAGTATGACTGCCTTGATACGGGGCGCTGGTTTTGACGCGGATCTGATTGGGTTGCCTGGTGGTGACAAGATGTCCGCTTGTAGCCCTCCAGATGAACCTCCAGCTGAACTTGCGACTTGGGTGTGAATCAAAATTTCCTTCGATGTGATATGTGCTAATTAGTTGCTTAGGGCCCACTTGATGGGTTTCTAACTCTGAATGCTCGACGGCCTGTTGGTTTTTACACACCGGGGCCAGGAAAAGGGAAAGCTTCGGTTCCGATCAGCCTTCCCGGATGCACAGAATGGGAGAGGAGCCCAGAAGACAGTACGTTGGTCTCAGGGAGTGGACATGAGGAGAGTATTGGAGACTTGTGGCTTTGTAAAGCATTGACGATCACAGGCACGCCGACTATTCGATTCTACGCGACCCAGAGAAGTGCGTCAAATGGTGTGAACTCAACACGGATTAGGAAAATTATATCAGAGGCTGGTGAGGGAGAGCTTGAAGAGCTGCTTAGAGACCAAGTCATTTCATTTGAGATCTTGGCTGAGTGGTTGAAGAAACAGTGGCAAGAAGTTCAGCCGTCTGATGTTTGAAAATGGTTTGTTTGTTTTGATGAAGACATAACTCATAAAATGAAAGATGTTCGTTCCTATTGGCCTAAATCACGAATTTGAAATCTGCTTACACATGTTTTTTAAGGATACCATTCGGTATTTTGGGCTCATTTTGCAATAGAGCAGGCCCCTCCAGTATCAACCCAGCCGTAGATTTCAGCATAATATACCTACTACTGTAATGGCTTCAAAGAGGGCAAATCAAACTAAAAAACTATAGAATAAATTCTAGCCAACACTCTGGAAGCTAACCAACCTTCATGTCGATATTTATAACGTTTAGATTCGCCCTTGAAGTTTTACAGTAAGCAGAAATGATGGTATGTGAATAACGACAATTAGCGAGCGATTCCGCAAGAAATCTGATTACAACTTTGCATACACCGTGAATAATAATTATTAAGCGTCTAACACAAGTAACTTGATTATCTTAATGTACGTAGATTAATAAATAGTAAAAAGTAACAATCATTCTACCCTATTGTTGTGCTAGGTCTACTTTCTCTTTTGCTCCACTTCCTTATTTGATCCACTTTAGTTCTGCTGTCTAAATGCTTCATGTCTGCCTAAACCTTACACTCTTTATATAAACACCTTAGATAGCTACCTTTTACAATGCAATCAATTCTCCATGACCTTCAGTACCCAATACCCTTTCAACCCAATACCTATTTATATAACCATGTTAGTTCCAAGAGGCCTTTAGGTCAATGTTATTCTAAGCTACGTTTATGTAGATCATTAACAGGTTTTATACAAGGAGACAGAACTTAACCGAGGCATTTGACAAAAACATGACAGAGGTTTCCAAGCGAAACCTATTTTAAAATAAGTTTCTAGGTATCTCAGAAACGTTTTATTGTTTCTATTAGAACCTAGTCCTTCGCCCTTTCAAGAGAATTCGTTCTTTTACCAAGCAAACTACTACTGTAAGGGAAATAAGAGAAACCGTTCAATCCACTTTCTAAGGTACAGGACTTAGGTTTGTAATTCCTTAGCCACCCTCCGCTTCTTAACGTGGAGAGTTCGAAAACTCATCTCCTGGACCACATGGCGGTTTTTACAGTAAGAATAAGTACTCTCGCCTAAAAATATAGCAATTTGGTTTAATAATACCTTAGCAACGTCAAGCCATCAAATCACATTAAAATTGCCTGGCAGACGTAAGAAAAAGCCTTCTCACAAATTTTTTATCTTGAAAGGATCTCAGCCAGAGAAGCTCGTAGCGCGAAGAAATTTTCCGCTGTTTCAAGCTTGTAAAGAATCAGCTGCAATTAGTGAAAAGAATCATACGAAGTAGTTTGGAATAGCTCCATCTACGTGGTTCGCTCTTCGAGTCTCAATGTCTCATACCTTGTACTTAGGTCTGGAGTATGGGTTCGTTCATAATCGATATTCAACTCGTATATAAGGCCATACAAACGGACGGATATCCTCGCTGAAGATGCACATAAGGTTCTGCATGTCGCACTATATATTGGAGATATATTGACACTAAAACATCCGAGTTATCATATGGCCATTCAAATCAATTTGCGTCACTTCAAAATGCCCGCGTGTCCACATAAGTTCTACTATATCGTAACCACTTCAGCAAAGATCGTTCCAATCTAATATTTTCCAGTCATTGGGAGAGAGCCTGAGAACCGGAATATTGGGTCATATCCCGCTGACTACGGCTTTGGCCATCCGGCTTTAGATGAGTTCTCTTTGCTGGGGTAAATGTTGAATTTCTTGCGGAGGATTGAGAAATCAATGTATTGGGTTTAATATTGAAGCAATCATCGAGAGCTACGGGGAAGAGAGAAGAGACTAAAATTTTCGAAGCGACCGGCAATGATAGCCCAATAAAAGCATGAAATTCTTAGCTATATATATATCAACCACTGCTTTCCCTAACCTTTATATTCACTCGCAACCAAACGACCCTACCCTCTCACATGACCCACAAATCCTTTCCCCAAAAACCCTTCCAAGTCTCTATAACCACAAATAAGACATCCTGCTCTCGCTATTCGACCTAGTAGTATTGCAGGTTGCACTGGCATGGGCAAAACAGTCAGGAGGAAGACGTTAAAAGTTCCGCAAGCCCTCGTCCTATCGGAGCGAAGCAATAAACCGGACAGAAATCGTGTCTGTGTTTCCTTGAGAGCTCTTGTGCGTAGGTTATTAAGTTTTTGCCATTTTTTGGGATTGTTTTTGGGGGGAGTTTTTTGCGGGGTAGGCGTAGGCATGAATATGACGATACCGCCACTGCACATAGAACGGAATTATTCTCACTGCGAAAAGCCATGACGGCCTTACATTGTCCGTCTCATAACAACAATATTCGGTGATTTGGTCATCGCTTCTTACCTGACTAGAGGAAAACACTGAATCGATGTGACTTAAGATGCAAAACTTTGTAACTGAATAAGTAGAAGACCACTACCTTTCAGCTCCAGCGGTTCCAAGTAAGCTTGAAGAGGGAATTAAGCCTTGGTAGAAAGTTTGGACAAATAATGCGTTATACTTTTATTGTTTCAAAAGCGTGGTAACAATTGTTGAAAGTAAAGCAAGCATCTAGGCTACGACCATAATCCGCCGCCATTTTCCTGCTGGTCCTTTCTGATCCCTTGTAGAAAAGCAGAATCCAGGCAAAATATTCGGAGAAACCTTAACAGGTTGTATCGGACCAAAAGTTACAGTCGCTGCTCCCGACTATATCTGTCTCCATACCCATTGTTGTAACCATGATTATATCCGTCATTGTATCCATGATTATAGCCGCCATTGTATCCGCTCTGATTGTTGCGACTATATCCATCCTTGGAACAATACCTTCTCATTCTTCACTACTGTCTTCGCCTCCTCCTTCACTTTGGTCTCTGGCAAGCCAGTCTTCTTGTAAACCGCTTCATTCGGAGCTGTGTAAGTTGAATTTCCCTTTCCATCGTTATGGTATGTAGCGTTGTCTCCGTCGCGGTAGAAATAGGAGCCGTCTTGATGACATTTCTTAATTAGCGGAGTTAGGGCAAGAGAAGCTGGAACTCCAAACGTTGGTTGCTGTAATGATAACCTTTACCCGAAGGCTCATCTCGGTTATCGTACTTGTTTCCCTGAGTTCAGGAAGTTAGATTGATGGCTCCGAGGTGAAGCTGGTTCAGAAGATTACTTGTGAATTGACACCTCTGCCGGTGATGGTATAAGGAGTCCAGTTGGGTTTTTGGCAAGTGGATTGGCTGCCTGCTGGCTGGCCGTTGTTCTCGGACATTTTGGCTGAGAATGGACAAGGAAGTGTGTAATCAATTGGTTGGGAGACGAGTATGAAGTTTATGGATTGGTACTTTGTGGCAAGAAGATGATTATATCAGTTGGAAGTTTGTAGGCGAGGAAGGTGCGAGCGAACCTCAACCATCCAACCAAACAAATTCCACCAATTGCCCAACAGGAGACCTAGTATAATTCATTCACTAAATCCAGAGTTGATCAGTTTTGTTGCAGCACTCAAGACGGAAGCTGCAGCTTTTCAATATTTAGCTCAATCGCTATGCCCAAACCAAGCTCACTTAATTGTTTTCTTTATTGTAACATAGTTCAAAATTCATTATTAGTAAAGCTGTGAATTCGGTATGTGTGCAACGATTTGTCTGATTAGCATGCAGTATCCTTGAAAACCCATCTAGCTGATTGATTAAGCAAATTTAATGGATATGTCCTTGTCAATAGAATTGGCACTCTCAAATTGGCAAATAGAACAATCCGAAGTACATCAAAAATAGCGAAAGAACTACCACGGCTGATATTCTTATAAGATAGTCCGCTGCTTTATGGCATGGCGGATTCCGCCATACTTCCACCCCTGAAAATTAAAAGAAACTGCTCGCTTATATTAACTACTCACACCAGCACGAACTCAAATAAAGAAGGTATTTTGTAAATGCTATTTCATGATGAGAAACAAGCTCTACCACTACAAGTTTATCTATCTCTTCCCGGAACGCAAAAATGAATGCCATATCCCCGCAACATTGGACATTTTAGGGGTCGATTGCCAGGTAAGTAAGCGCAGGTGATCTCTCCTGAGAGAACGACCTCAAAGGCTTCCATTCCCAAAGCTAGGCCACCTTATCCTCGATTCTGTACTCAATCATAGTAGTATTCATATCCGTAATCATCATCATCGTCAGAATCATCGTCGTCGTCAAATCCATCATCAGATTCATCATCTCCATCGTCGTCAGATCCTCCACTGAATTCTCCTTCAGATTCTCCTTCAGATTCTCCGTCAGATTCTCCATCAGAATCGTCAACAGGTTCAATACAATCGCCAAAGTCTTCAGCATATTCGCCGTCAGAGTCAGCCTCCGGATTATCATATTCTTGTGCTCGTCCACCACCATCAGCCTTGGCGAATTTATCAGAAGACTCTTCGTCAACCTCTCGATTGGCGCCAGAGCTTTCCTTCACGTACTCCTTTCCGTAGGGATCAGTATAAACGGCACGGTCCTTTCCGTTATCGTGGTAGGAGGAGCCATCGGCGTTTCTGTAGTCCCAACTGCCATCTACAAATACTCAAGTCAGCTGCCCATTCTTATGTGTGTATCTCACGAGGGAAAGAAACATCACAAAAGATAAAGTTAGAAAAGGTTGGACTCACCCTTGTTTGCGTAGCGGTAACCGTGGCCTCCAGGTTGGATGCGATGGTCATATTGATTTCCCTAGACCTGAATGTCAGGATGCTTCATTCAGAGCTTTGGAATGGGAAACCACTTGCTTGAGCGTTTGTGCCTCTGTGTGTGACCTCATAGGGATAGAATGGAGAATTGTTGTATGCTCCCATACCCGTGGGATTTCCTTGGTTGTTGTAGTTGTCGGACATTTTGTCTTGCTGGTCGTGTGTTTTTTGGAAATGGCTGATTGTGTAGTTGTGGAAAAGCTGAATCAAAGTTGTGGGAGCTTGGGATGTGTTTGTACAGGAAGGTGGGGAAAGATGGTTGGTGAAATAACAAACGCAATGATGGATTCACTAGCATTCTGTCAAATGCCGGGCATATCCCAGAAACAACTATCGGCATGCTACCTACATGCATATTCATATCATACTGATCCCAAAAAGAGTTTACTTCGGCTCATCGGCCATGCACCTGCCGCTTCGTTACCTAATTAGGCTTCCAATCTACATGTAAGAATCAGTTTGGAAGATACTCTATAAAACAGGCACACGCGAAGAACGAGTTGTTGATTGCAGACATGCAACAGTGATTTTATTTCGCCATGCTAAGCCAACTTTTCAATGTCCGGAGACAAGAGTAGAAGTCGGACCGATCAAATTGGGTGAACCATCACATCCTGATATCGAGAACTTGCAAACGCCTCTTAGCAGACAGCAATATCCATCCGCGTCAAAAACCCGATCGCAATCCCGAAATGCCAAACAAATCTATCCTACTTCTTGTAGACATTTCCGTTGGGGGCAGTGTATGTAGAACCACCTTGTCCGTTGTTGTGATAGGTTGAGTTGTTGCCGTTGGAATAGTAGTAGGAGCCATCTATTCCCTGTCAATCTCGAATCCCATACAAAATATCATCTGAACAAGAGAAGGAAAGAAAGTGCTGTGGACATACCATTGTTACTGTAGTGATAAGCATTACCAGACGGTTGGCTGCGGGTATCGTAGGAATTGCCCTGAGAAATAGAATCAGATATGTTATACTGCAGAAGTATGGAAAGGAAGTATTTATCTTATCAACAACTTACTTGAGAGTTGGTACCGCTGCCAGTGACGGTGTACGGGGTGTAAGAAGAGGATTTGCCGGAGCCTCCTAAGTTTCCCTTGTCTGACATGATGACAGATGATTCTTTTGGTGGAAAAATTGGGTGAGTGTGTAAAAGTAGATCTCCGAGTTCTTGGGGTTGCTTGAATTTGGAGTGGTGTTATGTGAAGGATTGCAAGTTCCAGAAGGGGGGGCAGAGGATATTTGTAGCCCAACCCAGGATCCAATTCAAAGCGGGGTAAAAGATTCACCTTGCATTGCAATCCTTTGTTTGCTTTTTTAGAACCCTTGGCCGGCGCAACCAAGGAAAACTGTAAACAGCTAGCTCACCTGCAGACTGCAGTTTTCGGTGGAAAGCAATTGCAAGCAAGCGGGGAAGACCTAGCAATCGGATTACTTCTTCTTGAAATTAGCTGGAGGAACAAGGGATTGGTTTACTTGAGGAAATACGGACAGACAACCACTTGATTTCTGCATATTACTGTATCTTTTGGCATTGCGTTATCTTTTGGCATTGCGTTTGGCTCATAGTTACGGAGTAATTGGTTTTCAGCTCGCCGAAAGCCGACGCGCCAAGATACACGAGCCCAGCACGAAAACATGTGATTCAAAGTATATCTTTCCGCCCCCAAGGCTTACCTTGCAACGGTTTAACGGCTCTGCGGCAACACCGGAAATTCTCATGCCAGAACGCCTCAAATCAACGTGAAATGAGAACTTATTAGAGATATCATTTGTATATTTGAGACTTTCCAATTTGGAATCTCAAGCCTTTGTGATAATCACGTGTTAAGTACCTCATCCCAGTTAGCGTCTGTTTTGTATAGAGATTTAAATAGATTTTTCAGTCGTAATGTAGCATAGTATACGAAGAGGAGATTCTGAAGTTTATATATGTTCCTCTTAGCTTATATAGAAGTTATATATAATACTAAGTAAGAAATTTGGATAGGGTTTACTAAAAAACCACTTGATGAGTCCTAAAAATACCCTGAACATTCTTAAGCGAGATAAGGACCACGGAGGAGATACTTACTTTCAACATGTAGGCATTGGATTTCTGGCGCGGAAGGATTTCCAAGTGCGAGCCTACATAAGCTACTTCCTAGCGTGTCCTCCCTTCGCACTTAAGTCTCAGAAACCAGCATCGTATTCTTATTCTTTTCGATCTTCACTGACTTCAGGTTTATTGCAATTATTGACTGTATACCTATGCAACTTTACTCGAGGAGAGGGACGTGGAGACAAAACAACGTTCAGCGGTATTTCACGATAGCGCAAAAAGGACAAAATCAGAAACGCTGCAGCCTGCAGATATTGAAAAAAGCCATTGCAGACTTGGATTATACAACGAGGAATCACAAGACAGCAGCGCTCGGCAACTGGAATTCCATTCCATTCTATACCCCCCCTCTGGAATATTCTATTCCATACCCCCTATTCTACTGGAATTCCATGGAACCGAATCACATGACCCGGATAAAAGTCCTTCCGCTCCGCTGACTAATAAGAAGCCTAGAATCTGCCTGTAAGATCTTACGTATAAGGCCGGTCTAGACAGCTCACGTTACCCCCTCCCCTGTATACGACTGACTTATTATAGGCAGGGTATAAATCTATAATATAACCCGCTAAGCCAATTGGATTGTCCGATTCAGGTGGAGTGGAGGTATATCAGAAAGTGACAAGGGGGCAAGGGTAGCTCTAGACCCTTTACTTAGACTAGGTAAAATTCTAAAATGCTAAGTAAACAGGGCCTAATTAGTATTCACTCCTCTTAAATACTGCTCTCTGATTAGTTAGAATAATAACCTCTGGATTTCCATTTTCCATAGAATTCTAGAGCCTTTTTAATGGAATATTCCATTCCATTTGCAAGGTGCTCTGGAAAAAATATTCCATTCCATCCACCTGGAATTCCATGGAATAGGTTCCATTTGCCGAGCGCTGCAAGACAGTACAATTAGCGACGTCCTGCGAAACCTTCCAGAGAACAACAATCACCCATGCATTAATCAAAAGCTGAGGAACAAGAGCTTATCAACCCATAAGACCTGCTACCGTCAGTTACAAACCTATCCTCACAGCTTCTGTTTCGATATCTGCCCTCTGTTTTTCAATCTTGGCCCATAATTTGTTCTTCTCCTCATCATATGCTAGCTGCTCCCTCACAGAAAGCTCATTGAATATTCCGTTGCAATGGACATGATGCCAAGTTTCAAAGAAGTCAATCTGATCCCAAACTATACTGTCTTCTGTCACATCTCGCAATTCCTCGAATTCCTGGTAACTTAGGAAAATGTCAACATCTGAAAGCCACCATTCGTGCAAACTAGTGTCGATTCCATCCTCTAGATCGTAAGAATATTGTTGAGAGTCATTTATTTCAATATGTCCGTTTGCATAATTAAGGCTAAGCACCTCATTATCCACTTCTTCCATCCATACACAATCAAAGAAAAGCTGGTGAGAGATCCAATTCAAGGGGGATCTGGCTCCAAACTTTCGTGCAAAGCAACCTAGGGTGACGCCGATTTCCCAAGGACTTTGCTGTTGGAGTTTCTCCGCTATATAGCGACGCACTTCCACCGTGGTCGGTTGCGAGAACCAACTCCCTTGAAGCCCACGCTCTATCAAAGTATGCAAGGAAACCTGATGTAGCACATACTCCTCAGGTATAGCCCACTCAAAAAGAACCTCGTGAGAGAATCTCTTGGGTTCCTCGAGTTGGCACTTCTCAGCCAACTCTTTCGCGGAATGTATTCGGGTAGCAGTTTCATTTATGGTTTGTGGTTCCGCTATGAAAACGATCCAAATGTCTGCCGACCGTTCGCCATCCTTATGCTTTTCAAACGCACGCTTCAAGGTGTCGACGATGCGATCACTACCCGATACCAAGGCTGTAGGCTCTTGATTCCGTATTTTGGCATGATTTCGAAATTCTTCAAGAAGGGCTGTGTCGGATAAAGGATCACCCTTCGGGGTCTTAGCGGAGACTAGTTTCCCGGCACTGCTTTTGGAGTATGCTCGAGTATATATCTTGCCCTCAGACATGGTCAGTCTATCAGGCGCATCACAGCCAAGCTCTCGTAAGTCGAGTCCTTGCTGGCATTCGACACACGACCTGCTCGATCGAAGACCCTAGGGCAATCACTCTCTCGGTGAAGGAAAAGCTTGTAGCGACAGCAAAAGGCGTCGGATGTGATATTGGCTGCCTGGTATCAGCGGCTCATCAGTGGGTCCTTGTTCACCTTGCAACCTACAGCCAATTATTTTGGATCGGCTTATATACCGAGACTGTCGGTTTTGAAGTCGTGGTTGTAGAGTCGAAGATGACCCCGCATGCGATACAGTAATCTTACAGTACACTGCAAACTCTTGTCCGACCATCAGGTGACATCAAAGTATAATACTACATATAGGTGGCATCGGGGTAGATAGTATAGATGGATTAACTGCTCAGGAACCCGGGTGTTTTTATGGGCCTCAAGTTCCATTACTAATTGAAAGAAGACAGGGACTGCGAAAGATCTGCTTTCAAATTTGGAGGGGAATTGAGGAGATACTGATAATGTAAGAGAGGCGGGCATTAGTACGCATTACTCTGTACACGCTATCAAAAGTCGTTGTACCAAACGTCTGGCACAACTCAATCAATTATCCAATTTTACCTAGATTAATAAGGAGTAAAGAGTATTAATTATTCTTAACCATTCGTATATTGATTTAGTTATATAAGGTATTTAGGATAATATTTTTATAACTAAGGCGTGTACAGAATACTGCCCGCCTCTCTTATCTCCGATGCACTTTTACATCTTCCATCTTTTCAGAAGCATTGATCAACAGTAATTAATGTTGCATCTCAGAACGTTTTTGCCGCAATTCTGGGTGGTTCTTTAGTCACCACTCTACTCCAAACCAGCTGGTCCTGTTCAAGTTACCCCGACATCAATTTCCATTCTTGTTTTCAAAGTATCATTGCATCGAGAAAAGAAAGTGGTTCTTATGGGAGAGAGGTTCGGCAAAATCCGGCTCTTCAGGCACCAGAAATTGAAACAGTACCACACTCCCTAATTTAGAAAAAGTAGTAAAATAAGGAGCGTACCTCCCCGGCAGTGTTTGCCCCAGATTACGGCACTGGTAGCTCTTTAGCCTTGGCGGTAATTCTTGGCGGCAGAAGCGAACCGGAGGGGCAAATGTACTATTTGAATATGGCTCATGGCTAATCTGTCGAAGAACTATGGTGTCATTCGTCTCTGATGAGTTGGCCAATTCGATATCACTATGGATATATATAAGAGGTCGTGGGTTTCCATCTTTCTCTTGCACTCCTCCATCACCTTTCATAACATCAACTTCATCCCTATAGCTCTACCACCATGGTTGTCTTCACTCAACTTGCGCTCGCTTTTGCAGTGATTACCGGAGCACTTGCTGTTCCTATGGAACTAGACACGGCTCCCGACTTCGAGATTGGAGGTCAAAACCTTGCCCGACGTCAGGACTACACCCAAAATTACAAGACCGGGGGAAATGTCAATTTCCAGTCCTCTAACACTGGTTACTGAGTCACCTTTTCTGGCGCGCCAGATTTTGTTGTAGGGAGAGGTTGGAAAACTGGAAGTACCAGGTAAGTCCTTTTGTGTCACCCGCAGTTGATTTTCTACACTCCTACTAGCTAACGTTTCTACAGAAACATCAATTTCAGCGGTACAACGACAGCTTCATCAGGTACTGTCCTCGTCTCCGTCTACGGCTGGTCAACCAACCCCCTTGTCGAATACTATATCCAAGAATATTCTAATAGCAATGGTGCCGCTCAAGGTACAAAGCTCGGCACAATGGAAAGCGATGGTTTCACCTACGATATCTGGAAGCATCAACAGGTCAACCAGCCATCTATCTCTGGTACTACTACCTTTTGGCAGTACATCTCGGTTCGTCAGCAGAAGCGAGCTGGTAATGGTACTATTACTACGAAGAATCATTTTGATGCTTGGGCGAAACAGGGGTTGAAATTAGGTACGATGAAGTATCAGGTACTCGCTACTGAGGGGTGGGGTGGGGCTGAGGCTAGTTCGTCGTATACTCTCAGTGCTTGAGGCTTCTGTATATTGTGTATCGTGTAGTAGGTCTTGGGACGAGAAGACGGTTTGCGAGGTGAATTTCTTCAACACTAGCTTTGGACTTTGTTTTGACAACAGGTTGACCATATAAGTCCGTACTTTCAGTATGTAGGACCATCTTCATACATAGCAAGAAAATATTTACTCTATTACGTAACTGACAACCTTTCAAATCCACGACTTTAAACAGAAATTACTCGTAGACCTTCTAAATGCTACAAAGGGAAACAGGCATCTGAAGTTGGTTGCAGACCTGGGCGCCGATACGATATTTATCGGATTATCGCGATAAGCATCGCGATATATCGCCGGTTTATTTTCAGACGATAACGATAATTATCGTTTGAAAAGTAACGATATTCGATAATATCGATAATTGTACCTAAATTTAGCATATTTTAGGGGTGTCTTTAGGGTTTTTGCGAGGGAGAATAGAGGTAGCTTCGAGTAGTAGTATTTTAATTGAATTAAGAGCGTTTGTTAATAATAATACCTAGTAGTAGTAGTGTTAGTAGTAAGGTGGTAGTAAGCTTAGGGCTCGTAGTATTAAGGCGCAAGAGCGTCCTTGAATAAAGCATGCTAATTAGTCCGGGGGCGGATTTACGAATTTCCGCGTCACATAACCCGATAATCGATATTATATCGGTTATCGCTAAGACTACGATATATTATCGTTAAAATATTTACGATACGATAACTTATCTTCGAGCCTCTGATATCACATCGATAATATCGTGCCTAGGTCTCTTGGTTGCGAATTAGTTTAGTGTAGTTCCCACTTTAATAGATCTGTACGTATAGGAGGAACTTGAAATATTTCAGAATAGCATACTAATAACGATAAAAACCTAAATTACGCGTCTGGGTCGATCACTGTGGTATTCTACTGTGGCGAATTTTCGTTCAGAGGACAAAAACATAAGTACACGGAATTTCTGCGTCCCATTGATCGGTGTAACTGGCATGAATATACCTAGACAAGCAATGTAGGCTTCAGTTATGTACTTGGTTGACCAGATTGTTACTGCTGCAGAATAGTATTATTGAACCCGTGGTCTCAGCCATCGGAGTATTACTTCTGCAGATAGTTCTTGGCTGCACAGATGTAACGAATCTTGCTTTATAACACCCCAGAGCTAAGAAACCTTGGACTCGCGATATGCGTACAGTAAGTCGCTCGCCAGAGCTTCTTTCAACATGGCCGCAGCGTGAAGTAATACATAGGCAACCCATGACTCTCACACAATCCCTCCTAAGCGTACATAGAAGCTTATTTCTGGAGCGAAAAACGAATGGGTGAGCATCTGGATTTCAGAATATTTGTCAAATTGATACCAGATCCAGGTGAACTTCAATTAAAAGTGCATGCGAATTGATGGAAATCATAAAGCATTGTTCTTTCGCTTAAAGGCTTGGCACCCCTTTACGAGTATCTGAGAAAACCGCGATGGCATACGACGGCCACCTTATCTTCTCTTCCATATCGCAAAAATCAGCTATATGCAACGTGGCATGTAGAAGAGGCACCACAGGACTTCCGTATTCTAAGGAGGTGCATTTTCCATCCTCAAAATGTGCCCCGGGTCCTCAGTCTCATCTTAACTTCAGACGGGAGACTAAAAATGCAATCTAGAAGTACCAGTAGAGCTTCTTTACTCTCCCACTTTCATTAAATCTTACTCGTGAATGTTGTTTCTTTGGCTGTATGAAGATCTTTTCCGTCAAGACTCTAGTACATGGAATCGTCTGAAATAACATTTCCTTCGAGGTACAGTACTATACAGCACAGAGGAAGGATGGACCAGCTGGCAGCTGTTGCAGTCAGTTGGAGAATGAGCTTTAAACTCAAACTTCAAACTTTCCATAATCAGTACTTTCTTTAAAAAATAGAATACCTGTTCCCTCCCTTTCCATGTTCTTTTACACTTTACTAAATAATAACACATGTTCTCAAAGCCTCGGTAGCTGTATACAGAAGCTCTATATCCGCCCTTTCTATCTACAGCTCTTTTAGGACCCAATATATTCTTTTGTATCTCTGTCGGTCTTTTCTTGGGTCTTGGTATACTGTGACCCAAAATGGGAGAAGAACGGATATATTTACACAGTTTCTTATTACATATATTATACTTAGACTATATCAAAGCTCCTAAAAGGTATGCGGAGCAGTTGATTTAATATAGCGCTCCTTTTCTAGCGAGGCGATGCACTGTTTAGGGCACTTACCAAATTTGTGCCTAGAGAAGGAGGCTCAAAGTAAAAATGAAAAAAGTACGGATTATGAAGAAATAAAAGATTAAGCTTAATTTGCGACTAATAGTCAGTGCGTCTTTCCACTGCGCTGTCATGACTATTAACTGTATCAGTATTGAGGGTGCGGAGGAGTTCCAACAAAGTTTAAATGCATTAACTGTTCGAGAAGAGGACCACTGTTACCCGTAACCTTATTCCAACGTCGACACATAGCCTCAAGTCAGACAGCTTCTATGACCAATTGACGCTCTTGAACCTTGTTTCTACTTGACAACGGCCCGCTCTAAAAAGCTTGTTGCATATCTCCAGAAAGTTTCAGCTAAGTTTGAGAGCCCGTAGATGGGTTTCCCAAAGTATTAATTGAAATTTAAAGATCATATTTACCTTTCTGCCTTTATCAAAGCTTCAAATCTGTGAAGGCAGAATCGCAGAACTGTTTGGAGGACGCTTGTTGCGACTGTAATAGAAGAAGAAAATACCAATGCAATTACTAGCCATTTTCATCTAGCCAGAAAGCTTCTGTTCAGTACATTAGCAAAACTATTTTCATATTCACTGAGATTAACAAACAATTTACTCCAGGATGTTTGAATTTTCGAGTCATGCACAAACCCTCACTGTCCTTGGATGCACTGCAGCTATCATAATATTCCCGCAATGCTTTGCAGCGGAAGTTAACTTCTGCGACTGGAATTCCATCAAACTTTCACAGCTATGCACTAGAAATCGCCATTTTTTCTCATGTATAAGCACAAGATCCAAAAGCCATGGAATAAACGAGGAATTTTATGAAATCCAGGAGACGTGACTCGGCACGCAAATTTGACATGTAAAATTACACGATATCCAGACTAATCATTGCCTGAACACCAATACTGGTTGATAACTGATTAGTTTTTGAAACGAAACATGCCGTGCAGTAATATACTCGCCCTCGTTTTGTCGCTACTCATCTGAGAAAGCACAAGCCATTCAATTGACTTCTCCCAACCTGGACTGCGTTTCATATCCTACGAAGCAAAAGGGCTCAAGTTCGCAGTAGGGCTCTGTCGCTCTGCAGGAGGTAGCTCCATAGAAAGCTTAACTTCTCGACCTTCCAGACCCTAGATCCTGAAGTCTGAGTAGACCAATGAAAGGAAGCAAGTCTACTTTGCTGAAATATATTAAGGCCATCTAGTCAGTGCGTTTTCACCATCTAACTCATCTCTCAATCCGCATTATTTCCTTAACGATATTAGAAAACTTCTTCCCACAAACAAACAATCTCAATTGCCTCTATAATCAGCCAGACGCCAGCATGCACTTCTCAAAGCTCATAATCGGTGCCTTCTTGGTAGCTGCTACCGGGTGAGTATACCCCCTAACGTTTCTGTTCCCAGCAGAATCACGCTAATCAGTCCACCAGAACGCTTGCCGAGAAATTGCAACCAGCACATGTAAAACATATCGTCGTTCGCCGCAACCTAAAAGTGCAGCCAACTGGTCATGGCAAATCAGTTGCCCAAGAATTTTACTGCGTAAATGTGCAACCAGCTGTGTAAGAGAGGCGAAGAAGTCACCGAGAACAACTTCGCTACGGAACTGGCTTGCAACGCGTACAAGGAAGCTTGCCATGATTGCGCCTATGTCGACAATGGCTCCGACGGGATTAATCGCTGTGTATCTGCTGGGGAAAATCTGGATGAGAACACTTTCTCAGATGTTTGCAAGGAACTTGGTGCTAGTCGTGGGCAAGCTAAAGTCAACACCTAAATGACTTGTATGCTTCTGCATGAGACGGAATTTTGTTGGAGCTATATTTGGGCAAACACTCTCTTTTTGAATTCCTTTTTTCTTGTCTTCACAGTTGGTTGGCCATATATGTAATCCCAGCGAACACTTGCTGGTTTGTGTTTTGTTCTTGGGGCTTTCCAATACATAAATGGGGTAGATTTAGTGTCATATAATTAGGATAAGATACAGTATCTTGGGAAAAGCCGATGTAGGAGTGTTTGCAATATTGTATCAAGCTTCCACAGTATTATTGATGCTAGGCGCTTTCTCTATTGCTTTCTGCTACTTAGATCGAGTCAATTTAAATTTGTGTTGATGATTGACGAGTTCGTAAACAGCAGTGTAGTTGGATGCTTGAACTCATGATATGATTTCAGAAACATCCAAAGAACTTTTGGCCTTAGTGAGAGATACATTACAGTACAGTACTCGCTCATTAACGCGGAATTGACGAGAACACCTTTCATTTTACTAAATTGCATTCCTTTTAATCAGGACTCTCGAAATTAGATGGAAAAATTGATCCCAGAAACTTTAGCTATATCGCCGACACGCCGCAGATACATGTGCTCAAGGTTTGTAACAATCCTATACACAGAATTTCGGAAGCAGTGAATTAAAATTTGGACATCAATTTTGGAATTGCCATGTGGCCATGCTCAAGTTTTTGGGCTCGAACTATCTTCCAAGCGGAAGCCTCATTACAGTACATACCCTTCCATCATTTTACGCGCATTACTGTATCACTCGAAGAGGGCATGCTCTTTAACTCTCTCCGGCAATTTATTTGTCTGAACGTATTCTTGCTCCCAACCTTTGAGCTTTCAATTTTCCAGATTTAACTCCTGAACCATCAACTATTGTGGATATCATCACTCATAGGGCACTCGTACACCTAACCGACTCTGTACCTCATTTTTGCCCATTCGATTGTTTTCTTGGAAGTCCCGTTTACTTATGGCCTTGAACTTCGCGAGGAAGAGTCCAGATGCACACTGTAGTAAGCTGACGTGAGCTTTCGCGGGATCCAGAGATTTATATATATTGTAAACGCCAAAATTGTCTCCTCTGTCTATGGTTTGGACAGTTTATGGCACTTTATGCTCAAGCAAAGGAATAAAAGAAGCTTCTTCCCGCTCAAATACTAAATAATTTGGTCCCAGCGCTTTTCCCATGGAAGCCTTGTATTATGCGGTTCGCTTGCTGGATAATGTACGTCTACAGTAATGCTGAATTAAAGCAGTGCTAAACCGCTTGTTCCGAATACTCTACAGTGCCATACTGCGCTTTAAAGCCAATCATGTCTCGAGAGAAACATCTCCATTTAAGAATATTTCAGGCTGTGAACTAACGCCATGGTGTTTGTGACTGTCAGAGAAATGAAAGCAGGATGCATAGAGTACATCTGCATACTGTCATTGTTGTTCTAGGGTAATATTACAGGTATCTATTAGGCACCACTTTCAGCAGCCACTACGAAACACTAAGACGCGAAGTCTACGAGGCAGGCAACCTTTTCTGCTACATGCCTGGAAATTCGGAGTTCCTAGCATCGAACATACCTACAATTTTGACGGGTGCGCAGTTGCCGCCCCCACCCCATGTAATCTCACCAGCTTCGACATGCACAGTACTGTAACTGCTCAAACATCGTCAGACCCCCCCTCAGCCCCCAAGGAAGATATCACGATCACGATATGCATGCACAACTGAAACGACTTGCCAATAGTGGAGAATCTTCAAAGTGTGAGGCAGGCTCCTAGTTGGCTGAGAGATTTCTTCACATATCCCTGCTTCTCCCCTCTTTAATATATTTCAGTGCGCCTTATTTGTTCTGAGTAGTGGTTGTCAATGTCGGGTACTGTAAGTCAGCACCATCATTGCTCAGCCTCTTCTAAGAAGTAAAACCCATGTCTCACTCGCTCCATTTCCTCTGGCAGAGGCATCGGGGAAATTCCTCTGGCTCTACGTTTCTTCAATACAAATATCATCACCAAACTCAGAATGGCATGCGCTTCGGTGGTTGTCGGTCCATCTACATCTGCAACAGTAGGGTACGCTTGCACACCTGGCTCAAACGGTTACATTCCAGATATTGCTACATGCAATAATGCCAGCGACATCACACTCGCCAAACCCGACTATCTTATGAGGGACCCGGGATGATCCTGTGTTGTTTCTACAAACTTCACAAGGAGCAGCACAGGCATAGATGTCCTCTCCTCAAACTCTTCAGCGACGTCGGTCTTTCAGTCCTGCTGCACAAGTCCGAATATAGATATCTTTGTTAGCTCAGGATATGGCGTGACTGGTGGGCCTTGTGGTTTTGCATATTGCAACATCTCAGATGCAGCTGCAGCGCAAGACTTCATGTCGTGTTTGAGCAAGAATGCCCCTGGTGTGGAGGGGAAGTGTTTCGTCAGTTATATTCCAGGGCCGTCGAACGACACTACTCCCCCGCCTACGAGTAACACGGTGTCTACTGGGACGAAGAATATGGTTGGACTTGGGATGCTGTTGGGCTTCATAATTGGATTCTCTGGTCTTTCGGCGATTTGAGAGTGGTCAAATGTACTTCTTTTTTATTTCAAAACAAAAGCCAAAATTGTATCTCTTTTCGGACTTTCATCGATACTTGAAGGCATCTAATACAGGAACTCTTTCTGTTACGCTGTACAGTACATTACAAATTTCGCATGGATATCGTTTCGAATCAGTGCCATTTCTCTTCCTTGCGATCGAAATACTATTAACGAACCAACGAACCTCTTGTTTTTTTTGCGAGCCTACCTAGTCGGGGTCTTAGGCCAAAATCATCGAACTTTGGGGGTGATAGCCTCGAGTCTAACTTGCATTTGGATATGCATTTTGAGTGTCACCGGCCCACTACTCGTCGACGATTGCAGCTATTTATCTTGTTCCGGAGTGTCTCAAGCCATCAAAAGGCTGCAACTCTCCGTCGTAGCTTGTTTCAGGTTGAAGGTTCAATCTGTGAGTTGCGTGGTTTATCAATTCCCGCGCAAGTTCATTTCTTTCTTCTCAAGTCCCTTATTCTGATGGATTTCTTTCGGGGGTCGAAATTCCAGATCTAGTAAGACCGCTTTGGTATTTTGTGCAACTTTCCCGTCATTTTAGATCGATCGAACATCTGCTGTTTGATATTTTAAGAACTTCCCTCTAAAGATGACTCGACGATGTTTTCTCCCACTCGTATCTTATGTCCCGAGCTGCAGATTCGAGTATGCAAAGTAGCTGTTGTGCTCCATATCTCGAATCCTTCGGTCTATTGCATCTGCGCATTGTTGGAATTACGTAATCCGTCCTACTGCATTGTGTCTAACTTACTTTGTTAAAGACTCTTTGTTAGCTAGCTACATATAAACTAGCTACATCTATAGTAGACTGTTTATTAGCTAGCTACATATAAACTAGCTGCATCTATAGTAGAATAATCAAGTACTTAACTAGCTTCTTATTTACTATATTTTATTAGGTTATAAGCCCGCCCGGCTTACCGCTGCGAACAAGTAATAAATCGTACCCTTTGTTTAGATACTAAAAACAGAATTTCGACTACTCGAATATCTACTATTTTTAGAACAAAGATAGTGTTTTTATATAGAACACTACTATATATAGTTACAAGTTTTCTAGTACAAAGGCTAATCTTAGCTATATCTATACTATATTACCTAGCGTTTATAAACGTATATTCTACTATATTATCCCTTTAAATAATAAAGCTAATTTGTTTAAAGTAAATACTCTAAAATATAGATATAGATATACTTAACAAATATATAGTATTCTAGGATATCTAGCCCTTTTTTATAGTACTATCTAAGAGTACTATTTTCTATATATTTCGAAGATAATTCTACCTACCTTTTTGTAACGAATACTCAAACTGGCTAACTAAACTTGGCTGGGTGTTCGCTGGTTGGTATGCTATGATAAGAAGAAGACTATCGGGTTGTTCACTTGGAAGTGAACTCGTTACTTGTATCAAAGATGTCAAACTAATATGATAAGATTGATAACTAAGTTGAGCACGAAGCTCCTATCTAATGGCAGACGTGCCAGTCTTATATAGAACCTTCGTGTTCCTGAAGTCGACAATGTCGACTTCTCGACCAGGCGAGAAGTCGACCTGCATATATCACGTGACTTGTATACAAAGAAATTCCTGGATCGCTTAACTAACCTAAGCGATCCCTTTTTGCTATAAGAGCCATGATGTGTTTGTCCTGTCAGAACCCCGTCTGGACTAACTCCTCACGTGCTAGCACGTGATTTGTGACACTATCCCCTTTTTAGCCTAGCGTGTCCCTACGCTTAAGTACGACCTAAGAAATATCGTCAGAAGGCCAGCGACCTTCTCCTCCCTTCAACATGCCACCCGATCGTCACAACGACCGAAACAGTAGACTCCTTGGTGACGCTATTGAAAAGACTGGAAGAAGAAATATGGCGAGAG